CCTAACGCGGCTACCGGACGTAAAACTTGAAACGTAGAGAAGATCGTTCAGTCTTCGCACGAATTCAAGTTCTGCAGGTCGGAACTACGTAATTTGGAACTATATATTTAATCTCTGCTACGAATTTAGTAATTGTCTAATGTATTTCCCGTCTGTCTATCTGTTTCGTTGTAAACCCGGTATTGCTAGCGCAGCTTAGTTTCGTAAATTGTAAGTAATTCAGTTTTACCTAAATAGATACTCACAAGAAAAAACTACTATATATAGTAGCTTTTCGTGGGTAGAAAAAGAAGGTTGCGATATTAGAAAGAGGTGTTATTGGAGCTTATATCACATTTCAGTCGATTTTTACCCAGGAACTATTGGTTACGTGTATCGGACATACCGATTCTTTGAATTATGAATTAAGTTAATCATGTTTTTTTATCACGTGTGTATATGAAGTCAATATTTTTTAATATTCTTTATATTAAAAAAACTGATCTCATCGTGCCTCTATAATAGAATCGATGTTAATATATATATATATATATATATATATATATAATATCAAAAAAGTGTGTTTGTGTAGTTTTATTTATTCACATCTGTTTTAATTCCCATGCTCAAATTATAGCTTTCCTCCCATAAAGAATGGTGCTTCTACGGTTGAATTTATCTCCGTTACAAACCATGTTTCATTATCGTTCGCGTGTTGGCTTTTTGCCTATTTTCTTAATATAGTTAGCCGAAAATATTCAGCTTCAGACTTGTTTGCCAATCTAAGCATCCGCGCATCCGTATTACTCATCGCTTCTTACATGTAGAAATCCCGCTGCTTTTGCTGTTACCTTATATTTATTCCTATATTATTTGGTTTCTTCTGTAATCTTTTTTTTTTTCCTATTATCGCATGCCCTCTGCTCTATTTTTTAATTGCTCCCCTACGCTTCGTTCTCTTCCGTTCCGTGTGTGACGAATACTTTGTACAGGTCTGTCCTTGTTCCACTTTGATCCGTTTTAATTTTAACATGAAAAGTTCTAATCAGGGCAAATTTTGACACCACACGGTCAGGCAAGTGCTCAGTTTTACGAATAAAAAATTTGTCTGTACAGCCACTATCTGGGTTCATCTTAGTCCATAAGTATAGTAAGTTGTAGTAGGCGATGAAAGGGCAGAGCTGCTGGTACACATTGGAGTCTCTCTCTGATAAGTCTACTGTCTATGATACAGATATTCCAGTCCAACTGCGGTTTCAGATATGATTAAGAAAAAAAAGATATATAATTCAACACAAACACATACAGTCATTTGTAAAGAGTGTAAATACAGCTCTTGATTAGTGAACCTCTCCGAGAGTTTTTTATTTTTACTATATTTATTAACAAAACAAAATAATATAATTTGTTACAATTCTATGGAAAAGTGTTCATGGGCTCTATTATTCGCTGTTGTCAATGGTTACGTCTCTTGTATTTTATCGTTTACAATAAATGGGATACCCAAATAATGCAATATTAGCGTCAATGATGGGTTGAATTATGGGCAACCCTTAGAAGTCCAACAACCCTAGATAACCATAAAAACTGATGAAAAATGTTGGTTTTCCAATCTTCGACTACCTACTAAATTCTGCAACAGGCTGATTGAATTGACGCGAGATACATAATCGCTGTACCGTAGAAATGAAAGGGCAAATCAGTCAGATCCAGCAGTACAGTGTCTTTTAATGATGCGGACAACAGATTTATTCGGAGTAGTTAGGTAAGTACATAAGGCAAGCAGGGTAGCGACTCCGACGTCATAGGCTTCGCTTCGCATGTGCAGTGCAGCGAACCGTATTTGCTACCTGTATTAACTGACCAATGTCAAGGTCGACAGCGTAACAAGTTCTGGGATTTCCAGATCATTGTGGCTATTTGGAAAAAATATCTATCTATCTTTATATACATATAAACACCATGAAAACCTTCTCAAAACCTTTTTGCTTAATAATGCGTACATCATATTATGATTAATGTTAGGCATTTACTATGATTTGTCACGTTTATTATAAGGCATAAAAGTTCGATAACAGTATATAGATAACTGTACTTCTAAGGACACCTTAATGACCTTCAAGATATATCAAGGAAACCGGGCGCACATACTAATATGGTTCGCAGTTGGCCGGAAGCTTCTAAAAAAGTACAAATTAGGATTTACGCCCCAGTTACGCATAGGGAACAGCTGTGTTCGCCACACTGAATGATCAGGTTATCAACAAGCCCATATAAGCTATACCATATTTCTACAATACTTACTTAAGACATCCACCGACCTCTTTGGAATATATTCGTACGCAATAAAAAAAATACAGCTGGATACATCTCAGGCGCACAGTTTGAAAGTAACATAGAGTTTTAGAAATAGCGTTCGAAAAATATACAGACAGGTCCTAACCTAAAATTTCATTGCAATTAATTTTCTGTAAATTCACGAATATTTTCCATTGTTTAAGTGCTTACAGTGTTTAGTTATTAACTCCAAAAGGATGCGTTACTGGTAAACACTTTTTCCAAAGCATATTAGGACGTTTAAGGGGAAGGACACTTAATATTAGTAATCGCAGTAATATTTGGCCGTTGCCTACACTATTGAGCGAGACAGCCTAGATACAATGCTACAGTTACATATGACCTGTACCTGTTTTTCCTACTCTTAATCCTAGCAGGGACGAACAATACCTACTATTAAAGTTCAAGGTAGTTATAATTTCCCCGGCCTGAAAATGCGCTGCAAAATTCGAAAATCAGAGGTTCGAGTCAAGTATTTAAACAGATTTAGGAACCCGCAAGATATAGCTAGTTACAGGCGATATATGATAATTTTATGATGGACAATCCATAAGTTCCAGTTTGTACGTTTAGGAATATTGGAAATACTCTATAAAGGTGCAGAGCAGCGATTATTACTGCAAATGTATTACATGGCACATTTGTACATAGATCCAATATAAACACAATGTATATACGCGAGCAACTAGCGTCGGCCCATCGTTTATATATACGTACAGGTTCTGCATTTCTAATCTATTGACTTTCGTCTTACCGGTCTTTCAAAATGGCTTTCAGTATATGGGTACAAAGCCACAGGTTGCCAAAAATTTAAGGACGGCCTCCTCACACGCAATAACATTAAAAAGGCATTAATTTACTGGATATTGCCATGTTCTGCTAAAGTCGCGTGCAATGAAAACACATTGAGGTAATATGTGGTCTTCATAAACCGAATTTCTAAGATAGTCTCTTGGAAAGAAGTTTAAAACGGAGTATCGTGACCGGGTAACTGTTATTGTTGTTTATATGTATCTTGACATGATCGTTGATCCTCTTCCTAATATAATAATGAATTTCGCCTTTCCATGAAGTCGTGAAGCTTGTTCTGTTATTTTTCGGAAGCTTGTACTAGCGTTTGCCAAATCTCGCAAAACTAGCTGGTTCGTCGACTTTTACAATTTCTAACTTACACTCACTTTCTAGTCATGCTCAGGAACCTGTTGTTTACGGAAACTGGTTTCAAAACCTTGCGAGAACGCCGAATTGTGGTTGTCGTAATGGCGTGTTTGAACAGATTAAGAAGATAGCACTCAACTAACTGCGCAAACATGTATTCAGTGCTTATCAGCCCTTCTATACATATGAACGCGTACATATATGAATAGTTCGTAGGTATGCCCACACATTGCGGCAACATGTCCAGTGGTAAAACTCTGCGGAACATAAACGACTACGTGGTGTCTCGCAAAACCTGGCAATACCCACAGGGCCCACTAATACTTTTTGCTAGACTTAAGATTCTCCTGATATTAATATATATATATATATAAAATATATTAAAGCGGCCTGGCTTGGCCTTGTCGTTGACCGACTAAAAGAACACTCTCTAGCACAACGCTTATAAATATCGTCGTGAACATCTTTATTCGAAAATACCATACTACTCGATAATATGTATGGGATCCCCTATACCGACGTCACTAAACCCAGACTTCAATAACGTCTTTTTTACGTGTGCTAAAATATCACTCTTAGCAATCATGTTCATTTACATTACGAATACTTTAGCTGGATTCGTAGTGATGCTTCTGCTTTTCTGGAAGACATATGGTTGTACTTGAAATGTTTTTGTTAACGACTTGGTCGAAACAGGACGATCATCAGAAATGTACTTTTGAATGATATTTATAAGCTCGTTTATAATGCATTATCTAGTAATTGTTGCGTTCGCTAAAAGTGCTAGCTTGATAATTGTCAGTATAATCAAAAGGAGAATATTATAATAATGCGATAAAAGATTTAGTAAATTCAACGACGAGTAAATGTCTATAAGATTGAGACTCAACGAAATCGATTAGTTACTTAGTGATGATTATTACATTTCAAACAAAAACAGTCAATAGATTCCAGTAATCTGCCATTATGTTTGTACCTATGAGCTCTATCTATTCCATATTGTATAGCCACACAAAACCTTCGTCATGAACACGTTTGCAACAGAGAACCGAAACTGTATCACCGTTAACTGGCTATTGGTTTAAAAGGTTCCTTAATTTTTTGTACACAAGTCAAGTCCTCAGGCCGCCCACTAGTGGACCTAATCCGGTGCACGCACTACCGGCGAAGCGTGCAGTTGTGTGCATCATCATCAGTAGCAGAAACAGCCTGTACTGGCAAGTCTATACGGGACCCGTCTCTGAGTGGACAAGGCGTTCGTGCAGGAACCATCTCGACACAGGCAGGAAGGCTGCACCATGTTCAGCCAGGCAGAGCGGCAGAGGTGGATATGGGGATGAAGCATAACGTACTTGGCCACAGGAGGCGGGGAACTGAATCCAGTTCCCTTTACTGGACAGAAATAGCGTCATATTATCATATGTCCGTTTGCTGACGTTTGTATAATGCTCCCGGCTACCACAAGCCCTGCGCACGTCGAGTGGTGAGCACAAGCTCTACGAACGCTCTATGTAATGACGAGCGAGCCTAGCTCTTTTGTAGTGTACTGTGGATTGCATTGAGAAAACGGCACCAGGCAAATAGGAACAAAAACAACGACCATTTATCGTTCATAGCTAGTAAGCGAACAGTAATAGGTAATAGCAGGCGGTTATGGGCGAACGCATGCAAGCACAGGAAAGAGGCAGCCTTGCAAATGCAAGCTTGCAAGCTTGGCAAATGTGATGCCATTGTTACGCTTGTACAGATAGTTTCACACCTGTTCAGTGTGTGCAGTAAAATGAAGACAATTGTGCATATCTCAACAATGGATTGTGTTGACTAAAGTGCGCAATAATCGATCACAAAGCGCAGTAGGCGTTTCGGAGCCTCCAGTCGTTTATTGTCATCTATTTTTAGTAACTGAAAGGAGTGCAAGACGTCCAGGATTCTACAAGGACTTTACTTCCGGACAAGGAAGTGAGAGGATGGAGAATCATTGCAGAAAAAGCCTTCGAGGACCCTGAGCACTCCTTCAATAAGCCTGCTGTTAGGATTTCGACCGCCAACGACCGTTGAGCAAGTCAATTAAACGACCACAACCGATAAAAAACTGTTCGCAAATACTCAATGTGGAATGAACAATATTTAAAAAAGTGGAGACGAAACAGAACGCATCGACAGCTATAAGCAAAGCATATTATACCAACTATATTAGCAAAAGGTTGACTACGATGAAATAGCTCCTTTGGGGAGCAACTGATGAATGGAAGCCAGCGAGTAAAAATGATTACGGAACTGGGATTCGATGGCACCAAAAAGAGCAGAATGATACTTACACTAAGCTTCTTGCTTCTCTTCCTTATCACAATGGTGCCAGGTACGCAATAGAACGTATTTTTCGTAGGTCAAGGTAATAGAGGTATATAAAAACATCTTTTATTTGGTAGACTCACGGCTTCTTCCAAGATTAGGTATAAAAGGCATTTCAACTATATACATGTATATATATCCATTATGATTATTCCATTATTTTGTATAGGCAAAAATTATATATATCATCAAGACGTAAAATAAAGTGCTCTTTAAGTCCTTCACTTTTACAGGGTTTTATCTCGAATAACTTTGAGTAACTAAGTCATGATAGGTGGCAGTTTCAAAAATGAGTGTAATGATAAGAGGCTTTTTCTCCTGTAGCCGGTTGTTTCATTGCCAAAGGTGAGTCAAGGCTACATGCCTGCTAAAAAATCTATATAAATACTTTTCCCTTGAGCACGTTAGACATAGCCTTGACCAAATCTACTGACACATTTACTTACAACAGTTATGGAGGACGGTTTAAGGGCCAAGATAGTTTTCCAACTCAATGAATGACTGAGATTTTACACTGACAAAGAGGGAACGATAGCAAAGCTGTTATAAGATTTTTGTGATCCAAAAAAAAGTTGATTAACATTGATTTGCAGTTACGCTTTATTTTCTGATTAGAAAAACTGATCTATTGACCTGTTTTTGGCTTTTTAATCTAGGTTTAAGCTTAGATTTTCTCCAGCCTCGAACAGCTAACCTCCAAACTTTGTGGCCTTGAAACATTTTCCGGGGATGCCGCGAGTTTCGAAACAGGAGAGCTAACCTGAAAGACTGCCTTGAGACAACTTCAGAGCATGTTTGTTAAAGCTGTATCATGTCGCATCCTAAATCTTTTCCAAGTAGCACAACAAAGTTACGTTGACATCCTTAATTTCAGACTCTTTTTACTTAATTCAAGTTTATGCAACTTTTACTTTACACTGCTCTCTGTCCTGACGAAACGTCATCATCCTCTTTCAGAAGTACCTATACAAGATCAGACGGGTCATCCTAGAAAGAGCTTGAATTCGGTTTGTTTTAAGGCACAAAAAAAATGGAAGTCATGTGCCACGTAAATAGCATATGAAAATTATATCCAGATGTCCACAATGCCGACGATGCTATATATAACGACGCACTTACGATTCTGTCCTTTTTACCAAGCAGGTGTAAATGCCACCGAAGGCGATCCGCCGCTCCGACCCGCAATCGAAGAGACAGCGGAGATCTTTCAGACACAAAATGACAACCATCAAGAGGGAAACCTTCGCCAGGAAGTTCAGGAAAATGTAAAAACTTGCACGAGAACTTTTAAAAACTGCGATCCATCCAAGACCAATTGCATCCTGTGAGTTCAATACTGACTAGTATACTTTTGCTTCAAGTAGTTCGCTTTCAAGCAAATGCTTGATCGTACTAAGGGAAAATGGGCATAAATTTAATGCACCAAATCAGCGCCGATTTACTAATGAGCCTTTTCAGGAAAATAACCTGTTATTCTATCGATACGGTCAACCAAGACTTTCAAACTTAGAGAAACAATAAACAGTTTATATAACATTGTTCAGTTAACTAGAAAATGTGCTTATACAGGAAACAGGACTGCTCATCTAAATCTCGGTTCTTTCCAGCTGACTGGCTCGAGAGTCAAGACTTTCTTTGCCCAATAGCCATGTTACATAACTGCTGAAAGTTCATTCGCGCCATTGCAAATTTGTCATCATTGTCTCATTTAAAGTTCATACAATTCTACTTCAAAGCAAGAACGTGTTTGCTTATAAAATCGACCCTCTGGACATTTCAAATCGATTTCAAACAAACTTCTATTTTATATTCTCATTCCTTTAACTTTACATTTTTTAAAATTACCTAATGTTGAAATTATCGGCTTGGCAGCATGGGATACCTAATTTAGATTCGAACTCAGAGAGACCTTTTACTATCTGAACAAAGCTAAGCCTTTGTCATAAATGCAACGGAAAGATTCTTGGTAAAAAGTAAACATTGAAACACTTATATCTATAACCCTTGGACAAGCTAAAACAGGACACGATCCATACAATCGGTACATACACGTAATTTTTTTGAACACGATACGAACGAAGGTGTTCATCTCTCCCCTGGGCAGATTATTTGAACTATGTAACCAATAACAGCGGGATCTAGAACTATGAATCAGGTAGAAAAATGCATTCCCATATTTCTTCTAAGTCCGGTTAGTTTATCGCGATTAGTTTGCTCATTGCCCTATTTCCGCCAGTGAACCATTTGCACGGAAGTATTGTACGGCTTGCGCCATGGCTTCAGTTCCACCCACATACATCCTCACCTAGTAATAGGTGCTCGCAGCTGACGTGTCTTCTGTATCAGCGCCAACGTATAAAGCCTCCGAAGAAAGAACATACTTAGTTGTATTCTGAATATCTAAATGTATGTTACTATGCCAGTTCAGAGTCTATTTTTATATAAGGTTGTCAATTTGATATGGCTGATGTTCTCCTTTCAGGGAGACGCCCTGCAGGCACGGTTCCTGCAACGAACTAGGTTACTGCGTCTGCGAACCATGCTGGGACGGCGAGTCCTGCGACGATTTATGTGCGTTTCTTTAAGGCATTGCTATATATTTACATCATTTCAAATGTTTCCCATCGTAGAAAAAGGTTTCCTTGTGCGCACATATGAATTAATCTAAACATGTAACGCATTCAACCGGACTGGTAGCTACGACTTATAGGTTGTTTCTAGTTATAGTTGGCACAGAGACTCTGAACTACAAGTTCAACATGTAAGCTCTTAGCTTCAGTAAGTATTTCAGCAGTTACTATTTTAAGAGACATTGATTTGGAATAATGATAACTTGTGTCTGTTTTCCCAAGAAATGATTATGAACAGCAACGCGTTCAAGCAGCAGCAGTTAAGAATATCAAGGGACAATAGTGGCGCTATCAAGAAATTGTTGTTGAGCAACAAAATAATTACTTGAGAAATTCTGTTTTCATTTGTTTATATGAATGCTGTTTGTTGTTTAGTGGACACGTGGGCCCCGTCTTTCGAATCGAGGGAGGCGTCGGTTGTGGTCACCAACCCCTGGGACGACCAGCCCATCTATACTGCGGTAGCCCCCGACAGGTAGTTCGAGCAGACCCGTCTTTTGAAAAGAAACAATATCAGACAACTTAATAGCTTAGTGCTGCACGAGTCATATGAGTTTGTTTCGGATTTCCGCATTTAACGCATTACAGAGATTCGAACACGACATGTTTGGGAACAAAAGGAACCTGTTTATGCTCGCTCGTTTCGTACTTAATCATCGGCGGAAACCATAAAGAGGTAAGCGCGTTTCTATTAGGCGACTTTATCTTGCCTTTCATAGATAGTAGATCGTACCAACGCTAGTAAAGGGGCCATTTAAATTTAATAGACTCAAGCAGATAAATTATCCCAAACTGTAGTAATTATAATCGTTTGCAGGTGTTTACTCTTGACGAATCTACTGGACGCCTCTATATTTCTGATCCGGGAGCGTTTCTAGAGCGACGTGTATTCCTTCTTGAAATTGGCGCCTGGGCCCGTGTCGCTGAAGATAATGAAACGGATCCCTACAGCGTACTCAGGTTACTGGTTGCTTCTGATAAGGTAAATCATTGCATCTTGTTAAGCTAAAGTTTGGTTTCAAAACGAATCTTAAAGTTTGTAGAGAGAAAAGGAAGAAAGGTCTACACTTGGCTAAACGCCTTAATTGTTACGGATTTAATAATATAATTTTACTTTAAAGAAGAATGATGAGACGAAGAGCGTTTGCGAACTAAGCTAATTTAGCTCTTGACCCTAATAAAATACGAAAACTAACTAAGTGCATTTTCAGATTAACCTGAAACGAGTATTACTAGCATGTTAGATCTTCAGTCTGCTCTCTGTGGATCCTATGAAGTAGACACACGAGGCACAAATATTTTATCTAAAAAGATGTAGCAGAGCAAACTGATTTCAAGCACATCATACGCAGGCATGTTGTCTGGCTGACACAGACGCTTCGTACTAAATGTACATCCCAACTTGCTGTGAGCTTCAGATTCCAGCGGCACACGGTCATCCAAACACTATCGGTAATCGCCACCGTACAAAGCGGGAACTTCAAACCACTCAAGAAGAACTTGAACCAGAAGAAGAAAACGAGAACTACAAAACTGATTTCAAACTAACATTGAAGAGTGGAGATCCCGCGTTGATGGAAATTGGAAAGGTCAATGCCTTTCCAGTGTTAAATAGTTCTTGTATCAACACATATGTAGTATTGTTTGTCCATCACATTAGATATATAACATAGTAACTTATATTAGTATACTAGATACATAGTGTGTATAATCAGTTACTGATACCAGGATTTTTCACAGACATTGAACTTCGAACTGGTCATCACGATACCTCCGACCGAACGACTTGATCTTCTGCTCGACATTTTTACCAAGGTGCTTACTGAGATATATATAGTATTTAACAAATATTAAAGCTTGCTAGATCGAGATGCTACTTTTCGGAACACAAATATCAGCATCGAACTGTACATACCCTACGCAAGTGCAATGTGCAATACAAATTTCTAGTTTCTGATTGGCAGGATGTGGTGGCGGATTCGTATAATCCCGTCCTGGGTATCTTTAACATTGTTGTGGATATCCCACCGGAAGTAACTCTCAGCCTCGGAGAACCGCAGATCAGCAAAATGCTTTCAGGCCAACAGGACAGCAATATTGTACGTACGGCCCCATTGGTATATATGGCAATTCGATCAGTTGTACACTACAATTTGTAAGCACATCGAAAAGTTCCATTACTAACTTTTGCAAGCACTGCACTAGCGCTCTGAGCGGTATAGTTGAATTTGTAATAAACGGTTTCACGATACGTACTATATATATATATATATATAAATTGTGATTAAGTAAAAAAAGGAAATTAAATAATTTACGGAAAGTTCATTTGCTTAATATTTAGATAATTTAAAGGATACGTATGTAACTCAATCTTTATTTACCTATGCAGTACGATCGAGTCTTGGTGAACTTCGGCGATATTATCAATCCGGATACCCCTCGGAAAATCGTCGTTTTATTCTCCGTTACAGCTGCCCGAATCATGTCGACCTTCAAGGTGAGATGTCGAGCAGGAAGAATCTGAGCTCTTACTGACTAAGATGCGTACTCTTAGAGCCTGTGTATCATTGGACGTTTTTTTCTGACTTTTGACTAAAGTTAGTATGGCATGGATTTGCCTCTATCGTTTGCAGCTCCGAGTTCTATGGATTTGCAAGCTGGTGTATGCCCCCATAACCTCCATAATTCCAAGACCTCCATAATTAATCGGCTACCTTTTGTTCAGCAATGAGCACTAGTAATAACCCTGGACTACTTTGACCTACCTCTAAAATTGGAGTTTTTTCAATCAACCTATTTATTTTATTACAGCTTCATTATGTAACGATAGGTGCAGAATACGACTTTGAACGGTTCGTCTGGATATCGCAAACCGAAGTGAACGTGCAAAACGCTAAATCGGTAAGTACCAAACTCCATTCTGTTCATGGCTGCTGAGTTATAACTCACGGCTGTACTGTGTCACTATTCATATTTAAATCTAGCCGAATAACTAATGGGAGCGCTTGCTAAGTCTAAACTTCCTATAAGATTGCCTATAACTTCAACGTGTTGAACCTTTTTTTGGGCAGAATGAAGACGAGAAACTCGTTGAAGCAGATTACGACGGGCCTAAGGAGATCGCAATGGATAGTGCGGGCATCTTTACGGTTGATGCCTTTATTAAATTAAGGTAGATAAATACATTTGGACAACCAGGTAATAAATGACAATTCACAGAAAAAAATTACACTGGTGGCATATAGATCTTCGTAGGAGATATCTTTTAGAGACCTCTAAACATTGTGTTTAAAAGAATATTCAAAAAAATACCCGATAAACTACATCAATTACACATTGCAAAATGGACGCAACTAGATTTGATAGTAAAACAATACCTTGAAAAAAATTAAACTACATACCTTCAGATCCGATCGGGTGGAGATCCTGGTTGAAGGCCCTACAAACTTTGAAGATGTTATTAGCGTCGGCAACCTTGGGATTACAGGTACAACAAGCATTTGTTTGAGAAATGCACCCTAGTTGTACTCTAATCTATCCATGTATCAAATCGAATATTTTTATTCATTCTAATTCAAAGATAGATTTGCTAATAGTCTTACCATACGTTCATGCAGGGTTTGGCGCACACTTCCAAAGTGTGCCCCAAGACGTAGTCCACTATCGCACTGTGAAAACCCCGTCTGCTACGAAAGATTCCTTTATAAAGGCATCAATTGACATGGGCATCCTGACTAACACCGGATCCATGTATCAAAAGCCACGAACCTCGAACAGCGAAAACAAGGTCAAATTGAAATTCAAATATTGTCAAGCCGATTATGGGGTTACCTATACATGTATTCACCTTTGTCTTTGCTTGTTCTTCTATTAAGCTCGGATACTGTGTCAACTGAAACGTCTTGAGCAGTGCTTATGCGGCGCCATCTTTTTAATGTCAATATCTTAGAGTAGACGAGCGCGTTTAATACCCTTCATATGAACTTTTCAGATTCTGACTTGCTAAATTTGTCTTGTACAGATGTCATTCACGTTCGGACTTTTTGCCCTAACACGTGACGACACGATTGGGTCAGAGGAAAGCTTCAAGATAACTATCGACGTGGCAGGAAAGATCCTCTGGCAGGAGACAGTTCGTGTCAACATTACACAACGAAACGACAACGAAACTGTACGCCAAAATTAATTTCCCAGTGTTGACATCGACCATTGACCACTATCCATTGTTCCCTAAATGTATTTTGTAAGCTGTTAGCTTCGTCTTATTTAAATATAACGTATGAAAAAGTTCTTTGTCTGTGGATGTACACAGAGATATTATCACAGTCTTCTAGAGGAGGTTAAAACGAAGACAGCCTGATAATACACTATTATTGCAGGTAAATAATATAGAAGATTCTCGGGTAGCCATCGCTCCCCCGCGCGCTCTCCTAGGCAACCTCCTCCAGTACGAAGTACATCTTAATCTCACACCGTCTGCCTTCACTGAGATCTACGTTGTGCAGGTGACTGCGGAAAATGAAAATGAGTGGTCAGGGGAAAAGTATCTAACATTATTAACAAGCTGTTACACATGCCTGCCATTTATATTATTATCATCGTATATCTGTTACTGTATAACTGACACCTTGCCTTTGGCACAGCAAGTCTAATCACGATCGTAAAAAAAATATCAAATCCATGTTTCGGGTATGACATCAAAGTCAATTCTGTTATTGGTGCATGACATGTACATCACAGTGCTTCAGACGAACATCCGCAAGCATCAGTTTTGCTATTTTATATTTAAATGCAGGAGTTCGATCCGACAAATCCGATCACCTTATGCTCAGGTCGTTTCGCCCCTGATAAAAATGGGTTCAACGTCGTATGGGCCAACTCCACAAGTGCTCGTGCCATTATAACGTCGAATCCAGACGAGATCGCCCTTGACCTGGGCAGGCTATACGTTTCCGAACAGGTATTTTTCACTCACACCTGTAGGATGACCACGAACGAGCACTATTGCACAGATATTCTTCGTCCACCTATTAGACAGTCACACGCTGGAAATAGCGAAGTTACAAAACATGAGTACTTTAAAGATAGCATTAACAACGCGTATTGCCTAACGAACTGCATATTTTCAGAGAAGCGGCGTTACGGATATGGAGAATACAGCGGTTCTAGAATTATTCTTCTTCGTTGATCCTGATGCTGCAGACTCTACGGCTCCAAAAGGAAGTGACGGCGAAAACTTCCAGCCCGTGAAGGTGCGAATCGGCCGACGGGATGATCCACTTGTTGTCAGCGTTGAACCCCTCGCCATCGAGTCCAAGGTATCGCCAAACTTCTGTGCGCATTTTGCTTAATTCGCATATTGATAATAACCAGTTATCTCCTATATGAAACAGGTAGAGTAAATGAGTAACCAGCCGTAGCTTTAGGCCGAACTATAGAGTGAGGAAATTATGAAAAGTTCGATACAGAATCTGTATATATTTTGAAATGAAATATCATCTGACACTATGTCTAGTGTCTTTTTTAGGTCGAAAAGGCATTGTATCATCTGCAAACGTTTTACAATTGTTTTTAATATTCAAACAAATGGAAAGCATTTACTGATACTCTACAAATACCCATTACGATCGCTACTACGCTTTCAGCGTTTCGTAAATACGCTAGATGTCCGAACTGAGGACGCCGTCACCTGGCGAGAGATCTACGTGGGGGGAGCAGTAGCATACGACATCATCATCTCACTACCGTTGGGCGCGTTCTATACAAACCTGTCGCTCAGTGTCACAGACTTGAGCAACATTCAGTTGCCGGGCGCGCACATATGTCGTGCAAGGGTGTCCCATATTGGTCGGAACTTACCCTGCGCGCAAAGTCAGCGGGACCTCATAAACGAAAACTCCATCTTCTATTCGAAAATGTGAGTGTCATTTCACATGTTTCTCCGTGCGAACCGAACCTTATCCAAACCACCGAAGAAGTCGTATTGAAAACTTGAAATTTTTCGAAATATTGAATTGTCTCGTTGGATACAATTAAGTTCTTTGATGCGGTTGCAAACGCTGAATAGAAGCGCTAGGCTTTTGGTACATAAATATGGATTTTGTCCTTAAACCGTTTACATCTTGAATTTTAGCCAGCAGGAGCGTGACGACTTCGACTCTGTTTTTGTACAATTCGACCGGCTGTGTCAATTGGCGCAGTCGCCTGGTAACCAGACAGAATCGCAGGTAAGTGATCTCTACCACATGGCTTGATTCCATAGTAGTTCAAGTCTTACAAATACAAAATAAGAATAAAAGCAGAAAGATAAATAAAATCATTCTCTAATCAGTAGAGATCCTAGCTCAATTTAAATCTTGAATGAAATTTCGCTGCGAACTTCAGGTGATAATCAATGTGGTAGCCAGTCTGCAGGGGGAACAATCGTTCCAGAATGGGCAACCTTATGCATTGCACACCGTAGTGTCACTCAATAACAAACCAATTCACCAGGAAGACAAGAAGTTTAACGCGGCCAGACCACCCTCCAAAGACTTTCTCAAGGTAGCAAAACAATTTAGTCAGAATGAAGATTTTCTATGGAACGTAGATTAATGCTGTACTGAATGCAGCAGCACACTGACTAAGTTGAAACAATCTGTCTTATTTCAGATTGAAAATTTGCCAATTGAACACCACATTTGGCCGCAACTTTAACTTTATAGCGTATTTATAAACCAAAAAGGGTCACAAAGCTACACAAACTCGAGTCGGTTATGCGTAGGTTTTCAGAAAGTGTTTAATAGCCCATAAGGGTACACAGATAGCCTCATTATGATAGCCGCGCCATTGTTCATCAAAAAAAAGGAACGTGTTTTTCATTCAATTTTTCGGCTACCGAAATGTTTGTGATCTAACTTTACATTCACAAAGATCTACACTCGTAATAATAATTCTGCTTCATAACTGGGTTTATTCAAAGTTTGGTAGATTACTATTCGCCCTTTCCATCTTTTAACTCTAACTCACACGTTACTGAGTTCCACTTCGGTGTCGTTTTCTAGTGGAGCAAACGCTTAATGCTACTTCAAACAGGAGATTCCACGGACTAGTTTTCATGAAAAAAATAGTTGAAGAGTGTAACTGTAAAAGAATGATCAATATGATATGAAAAGAAAAACACATTGAAAAATCCTTACCGAATTCATGTGTGGGACGTGTGCTGCCGCTGAAGTTTGTGCTCAGGTCCAGAAGCGAACTTCCTTCCCATAAAGTTTCGACTTTGCTCAAGACTCGGCATCTCATTTGCACTTTTTATCATCTACTTAAACTACTGACTCTGCCTCGCAAAAATTCTCGACGTAAATATAAATTTTCTCAATAGCTTAATTAGTACACGCCCCGCTCACTTCAAGACTTACATCTATCGATCTGTCTATCTATCCATCAATCTAACCTGCATGACTGTTAGGCTAAATAATTATGCTATAATATATATTTGTTACCAACGCATGCGTCCTACCTTGTGTTGTATAACCTGGTTGTCTGTCTTGACTCTCAATAAACGGAATCAGATGTGAATCTGTCCAAATTATTCTTCATAAAGTATTTATGAAATAAGCAATCCGAATAAATTTGACTCAAAGCGCCACATGCTTGATCTGCACAGAATCAACCCGCGTACGTGTATTTTACTAGTTTGAGCCCATCGTTTGTACCTGGGGGAGTAGGAGAAGTCGAAATTGTCCTCAAGACGCCGCCGAAAAGCATGGCTGCTTACTTGATCGAGGTAAGTGAGAATGGTTTCCCCCAGCTTTTCGATAGAACCACTTCTTCTTGCTGGTCAAACCGTTGTGCCGATTCAATATTCACTGCGAAGCTTATATATCGGCTTAAGTTCATTTAGCGCAGGGATTGCACATAATAAACCTGTTATAATGGAATATGACGTTCCATTATTTTCACATTGCAGCTATTGACGAACGACCCCGACGTCAGCGTTTGTATTCTAAAAATCAAGTCTATCGGAGACTCAATGCCATGTATCGAGAGAGACACTCCGGCTGATTACATCCTCCACCAGGATTCTGATAACGGCAATAGAAAGGCGTCGCTAGCGATCGACGCGCTCGCCAACGTTGGTCTGTTATTTACTTATTAATCAAAAAAATAATGTACAGGTAGTCATAACTATGAAGTAGCAATTCTTCATGATAGCGACTGCGAGACCTGACTAGGGCTTACGCTTATCCTCCGCACGCAGAAAAAAGTTCACAGAAAAAATCACGTGAAATTAATAACCGTTCACATGAAAAAATAACAGGAAAGAAAACTATCGAGAAATGTAGGCTTCAAATTCGGTATAATGGATTTGGAATGTCGTTAACAAAAACGTTCTGACGAGCTAGAATAATATTGGAAAGAAAATGCTATAAAGTTGAGATTAAATTTTAGGTTTCTAAAAACACAATACATTAGTGGATTTTGTTTCATCCCGTAGGTACATATCCGATGAAACAGGGTCACTTCCTCGACCCCAACTCGCTAGTGTTCTCGGCCTTTGTCAAGGTCGGAACGCGCGCCACACGAAATAAATCGCTCAAATTGAAGATATCCTATGGATCAAAAGGACAAATAGAAAATACAATCGCACTGCCAGTTGCTAATGTTCACAATACCACTGGCCTTTTGACTTCAAGCGGGGTTTGTACCTCAATAATTTGCACTTAATGAAACTTTGTTAAGTAAAGCACTTAGCGTCAGTTGTATTAGTTAGACGTCGATGCCTACTCTTAGGCCGTACTCATGCATGAAATCGTTTTGATAAAAAGTTAATCCTATAAATTAACTTATATTACTAGCATAATATTTTTTTAAATTATTTATTATTACTCCAGCTGCGCATAGAGTCACCTTGGCAGCTAGCGTCAAAATTAACTAACTCAACCCTCTAGGCTAACTGCTTTGGCTAGCAGACTGGCAGTCGCTTATGTCAATGCTACTCCATGTACTTATGTTGTGATCGAATTAATTTCGCAGAGCGCCACCTCCCCTCGGACGATATTGCTGGCACCTTCTGAGCCCGCTCTGACTTCGCTCGCGCCTGGTTCCGTGGCGTTAGTGACGTTAACCGTAGAGCTGGTCGAATTCTCGTCTTCGAGGCTACAGTTTGACCTAATCCTAGACGACGGGGTCGTGCGAGGCAAAGATATAGAAGTGTGCCACGAGGGTATCAGTCATCTCGGCAGAAATTATCCATGCTCTGCTCCACAACAGTGGACGAAACACGAAGAAGGGTTAGTATTTAACATTGATGATACCCGTTACACGCACTACCGTGAACTATAATTAAATTTGTATGTAGGTGACCAAAATATGAGCGTTCATCACTTACAAAGTTCTCGCAGCGTAAAGAACAGATTTGCTTCGCTGAGAAATCGGTATCTGCTATAAACGATATTAGACTTTTTTGCTACTAGTGGAGCCTTGTAGTTTTATTTGATGATTTCTTACAACAGGTAACATGCCTAGTACTAAATAATTGCGTACCAAGCTATGTAAATATTTAAAGGGAAAATAATTAAGTATAGACAGACGACTACCTAAATGGTGTTTCAATCCAAATATTTCAGAGAAAATCTTCTTGGTCGGTACGATCTAGGGCTTCTATGTAACTCATTCATTGAAAGGAATAAACCGGAAGATAATTATGTAAGTGCATAATAATGTTTTCCTAATGCCTACTGTTTTCATCAGTTATATACAGTCACAATTAATTATGCCGCCTAAAAGACGTATGAAAGAAAACTCGGTCGGCAGCCTCAACTCAAAGAAAGTCGACAGCAAGAAATTACATCCTGCGGAAGAACTTGGTTGATTGATGAAGACTGGTGAATGTTCCATCAGAATGCTTCTAAAATTAGGTAAATCTCTACGCGTTGATATTTTAGGTTCGTTTCACAGTGCCCGTCATGCTCAAGACAGACGCGAAATACGTCGAAGGCACGTCCCTTGCGTTGAGTTCTCTGGTAGTGAGCAGTGGGGGCAAAGAACAGCAAAATCTTCAGTTCAATATCGCCAAGAAAGCGGAACAATCTATTGGGAACGTGAGTGCTTGAAATTGGTCAATTAGGTAAAATATAGTTCTGTCTCATTTCACATTATTTCAACGAGTATAACCGTTCCACACAACCTAAGACGACACCTCGTTCACCAAACCGGCTGGAAGAAGTTTCGAATTATTGCTGAGAGAAGCCTAAAGAAGCGAGTTTCTTGTTCGTTGCAAATGATTTGCAGTCGAATGTTTACAATGTTGTGATGTGCTTGGGTCTTCAGGTCTTTCCACCCGCAGTGAAAGCCTCCAGTAGCGAAGAAAGCATAGGTATTCGTCAACGTCGCTGGATACCGTTTAATATTACGGTGCCTAAAGGAGCGATGACCGAAATTACTGTCACAGTCCAGGGCGCCAAAACGGATAAGGTAAGCATTTATCAACGGCGACCATTTCATATCAGTGTCTTCAACATTGAACTATGCTATGGAAGACCAAAGTAACTGACGCATACAGATAAGACATAAATTGGGGCTACTAACTATTGCCGCTATTGGAAAATGTTTGTAGTCCACCTATGGTAAATCGCAAAGATGTAGATCTAGCCAAACAAAAACCTATCCTTTTTTCCTGGTTCCATATCTTCCGTGTAATTATCATTTCAGTATAGTATTTTCACAATCACGCTCACTTAGAAATCGGCTGACCATTTATGATAATCAAATTGGATGTTAACTATATTTGGTACTATTTGTTATACCGTCATTATTTCTATCGTGTCTTTCGCTATCGTGTCGCATTCATTACATTGAACTAAATATAAATCACTCACAATGTATTCAAGGTTGCCATTGTAGTTGTGCACGACTTGCGAATTGCAACCGTTGGTCGCAATATACCTTGTTATCGGCCTTCAAAGCTGGATGTTGCTCTCTTCTCGTCATTCAAGAACGTACAAAATGATAAGGCACAGGCTTTCCTTGGATACTTTGCCAATCCAGGTAGGACCGAAGTAAACGCTTAGCTGGCTCATCTAAATATACTTTATGTGCATTAATTAGTAATTTAGTTTTGCAGATGTTTATTTGAATGATCATTTGTTCGAGCTTCACCAGCTCGCGTCTAATTTGTATGATGATGCCTTGTTGACAGGTTACAGCCATGTGCGAGAGCGTTTCCAGCAAGGTGATGATGATATCGTTTTAGAAGTGTACGTTGAATTAACCGATCACGAATTCACCAATGATGGTTCCAAACATCCTGTAAATATTCAGGTGAGGCTCGCAAATTCGAAATAAATTCCATGCGCAAAGGCTACGTGTACATTCTTGATATATACGTATGTATCTACAACAGGCCCGTATAACGTAAAGCTATTATGAATCTACACCAATTACACCCACCAATCACTACAATTATGTAGTGAAGAATAACAGAAGCAAGCATACATCGTGCTAGCTTACTACCCGGCTGTGGCATACGATGATCCCTCTTTTTGTTAATATTAACTAATTCATAATAATTTTCATGTTCGTAACACCTAGGTCGAGATGAGCGGGTGGAGAGGTACTGCTCAGCAGGAGATGACTATCGTACGAACAGGCAAAGAAGCAACCTCCATCGATGTTAAACTATCTGTCGATAACACCCGGCCATTTGAAAGAGGGTAGATATTCGGTACTGTGCATACAGACTACAATGCGGAGACATGCTTGTTTTCTACGTTGGTGGTATGGCAAAACTACTATCGCAAAATAAGACAAACAGTAGGATTATTCTATAATATTTAATATCTCAAGTACCTAATCGTTGTGAGGGGCTTTTTAGGGACACGATTTCTGTGATGGCAGAACTACGACACTTCGTATCATCACTAATGGAGCCTACGAAGGTTGCACTTCGTATATTCCTACCTCAATTTGTGACGTTCGGCGGAGTCACTGAAATACGTTCGGGATCAGGCTACCAGGCTGAAGTGAAGAACGCCTCGAACGGCGTTGACATTATAGTGAGTAGCAAACAATGTTTATATATTTTTCCAATTTTGCAATATATATTTGACACGTTCCACCATATGCTGACAAAGTCTCGGAAATACATTGTAAATAACCCAACGTTTCAAGTTTTTTCGATATGAATGCACATATCTAACTTTATTCTGTAAGGTTTTTACCTTTATTGATAAACATTAATTTATAAAAGCATCTTTGGCTTGTACAGAGATGGCCTTTTGATCAAAAAACAAGATGTATCTATGTAAATCTTTCTTTATTACAATTTTTCCGTGTTTAAAGTTTTGCTTAGATACAACGTCAATTAGGTAAGCTCTCTTAGCCTTTTCCATGCCAGTTAGTCGCTTCGCCCACTTGTTAGCCACTTTTTCCCGTACATCTGACCCTTTGTTTACAATGGCACGGATATTTCTCTGAAGTTTGTCTATTTTTACATGGGAGAGCATGTGAACGACTAAAATTTCTGCCTGTAAATGGAAGAGAATTCCTAGACCATCTACAAATAGGATCTTCATCCCAAAGAACACCGTTTAGTGCGTCGTGTGGGCCGAAGATATCATTGGCTCGTTTTTTTATGGAACTGTAAATTTTGTCTGCAACCGGGAGGTGATCTTAAGCTTTCTTGCAAGCTAGAGCAAATTATTAGGAAAAGCTTGAAAGACTGGTGGTTTTAGCCAACTACTCCATCTCGTAACTAATAATTATAATCGTGCTACTTAAGGATCACTTCGGCGAGAGGCTAATATCCAGACAAGCTGACGTCGAATGGCCACTCAGATAATATGACATAAGTCCGCTAGACTTCCATTAATGAATCTGAAAAGCAAAATTTTATATGACTAGATACGAACAGTGCACAAAATAAATAAAATTATCCATGTCGTTATTTTAAAAATAGAGCCAGATCTATCTATATGGAGAAGTGGTTCAGAACGAGCAAAACGTTTAATTGCCATTAAGAAAGCCAATGGAGCTCTCCTTTTTGATTTTAGATTTGAATTAAATCTTAAAGGTATAAAGTCCTACAGAGTAATACAGAATTTAAGTAAGTAAATTCACTTGTTTTTGTTGACGTTATTTTGAAGTTGCCCCGATCAGATGACCATTCCTGTATGTATATTTGCAGATTTAAACCAAATAGCCTACGATTTAAGTTTTCATTATTATCACTGCGTTCTTCCGCGGAGAAAGTACAGAGTATACAATATTCTACATCATCTTTGTGTGACATTTAAGAAAACAACTAAACTACAAATAAGGACAAAAGAATAAGCAGAATCATGATAATTTTATACAAGAAGAAAGAGAAGAATTAGTTCTCGCATGAATCCCTTTCAGTTCCCGAAACTGCTGTTCGCAGACGAGATTAAAGTGAACATGACACTCGTGTCGGATCCCGAAAATCGCCGTGGCTACGGGACAGGCGTCATTGATGCCACTTCGCTTTACCGTGTCGAATGTGAGTATACTCCTCGGAAAGACCAGACCTTCGAACCCTTCTGCTCCGACCAGCTCTTCCTCGCCTACAAAGTCAACTCCGATGGTAAGTTCAAACGTTACGTTTAAAACTTCTAACCCAACAAGTAAACATGACGAAGCATATAGACAAGCTTCGAATTTCCTATGTTCATATTCGTTGTCTTCATGCTCCTGATTTTTTAAATAGCGGTAAACGGCAGACGAGCTTGCTTGCGTTATGTTGGTAGGTATGATGTCGTATTGTTAGTTAATGGCATACTTTCGAATCGACAAAAATCACTTGCTACAGTCTTCAAGTAAAACCACTCTCACAATTTTTCATTGGCTACTTGACTTTTAGAATGTGTGCTCAACCTAGGCATGGAAGACGGGACCATCAAAGACTGCCAAATTACGGCTTCTTCGGCGGTCGATTTTGAGCATGCGCCTTTTAGAGTGCGCAAAGGAAGCCCACAGGGTGCGTTTTTAGTTACTACAAATAGCAAAATTCTACAAAAACAGCTACTGAATAAATTAATAACATGTATTGTCTCTTGCTATAAAAGCGCGTATATATTGTTTGGAACTACAAAGTAACTCAAGTCTAAAAGAATATGTGAAATTAAGAAGCATAGCCATAGCATATGTTTCTAAATAGAATGCATAGTGTGTTCATGATTAATGTCCTATATTCTTTCCTTATAAGCAGTCTGGTCGCCGGGCATCCGGGAGGGCATGGCCCAGCCTTACCTGGACATCGCCTTCCTTCGAGTGACTCGCGTATCACAACTCGAAATGATCTATGTGCCAGGCACTCGTCGAGTGCACCGCTACCGATTGCAGGCGTCCAATGACGGACGCAATTGGTGGAATCACCTACAGGTAGATGAGCATATAAATATTCAATGAAAAAATATACCGAGAACGCTTTCCTACTACCAAGAATACTATATATTTTTGTTCGTGGGCGTAGCTTGACGAAGCTCAACATCAAGTTTATACGAACATGAGTTTGCAGATAATGTATCTTATTCTTATATAGTAGCGAACTAAAAACGATCGATATAAACTAAAAGCCAAACAGGCGTTGCCGGACACCAGTCTGTTTGTCACCAGAATGTTAGTACATTGGCGAAAAACTGTGCCCATGTGTGTTCTACAATATTCTAGAAGTCTACAATATAGAGTAGCGGCTAACATTTTAACCTGTTACAGACGCGTACATTAGTGTATCAAAACGGCGTGGCAATAGATCGGCTACCCAACGCCGTGCAGGCAAGACATCTGCGAATCATTGTTGTCGACGCAGCTGATGAGCATGTGAAAGACGAGCTGAACGTAGGCCTCCAAATCGAACTTTATGGATGTTATATTGGACCGTATAGCAAAGATGAGGGCTGTCCCGAAGATACCACATTATATACCAACCTAGAAAGCAAGTATAACAAATAATTGCATCTCAGACCTCTTTTATTCTCAGTTAATTAATCCATTGCTCCTTATTGAGAAATATGGCCTACAACTTAACCGTGAACCATACTAGCGAATAATAAACCGCAAGTTTACAATTTTGCGCCAGAGACTACTCAAGTTACGTCGACTTATTCGTAGTGTCTTACACTATTAGTTAGTCGTTGCGGAATAACTTCAAAAAGTTTTATTAATACAAGCGCGCAGTTTTTAGCTTTTTCTCAGAGATTACATGTGAAGCGATTGGTGTAGGCGTAGTCGTAAATTGTCGTAAAATCGTTACTACAAATTATTTCTATATGGACAATGCATATTTGCGTTAGCAGTTAAATCCTTACGCCATATATATATATATATATTCTTCCTTTCAGCGCTCAAAACGCGTCACATGACGGTTGATACCAACACAGATACAGCATATTTTTGTGACTTCACCGATGCAAGGTTTGTTATTGTAAAAAATCGCATCTTCGTTTTTTTCACGTAATTTTTGTCTAACGTGTTTTAAACTAAAGTAATATTTTTAATAGGACTCAATTCAAGAAATAATTTCTTATAATACAACAGGAGGGCATTAGAAGTCTTCACTGTTATTGGAAAAAAGGCTCCATTAGGAATTTTTATGTGTAGTTTGTGTTATTATAAAACAAAACGTCCTATTATACTTTCGATTGCACTTGCGTAGTAATACAAAAACACTTTATATTTCATTTTAGTGGCAAGATTTGTATGTCTTCGTCGGATGGAGGTGCTAGCTGGAAACGTAAGTTCTATTAGCGATTGGTATGATAAAGTCGGTATACAAATAAGCTACCGCTTAAAGAGCGATAAGGCATAATATTATTATTATTATTATGGGAAATTAAATTTGTTCGCGGGTTTCTCTCTGTGTTCACTGATATATTTACTGTCGGCGATGCAAAAAACAGTTTATGTAGTTTATGGAATAGATCTTTTTTAGATTTTAGCTTTTTTATGCCAGGATTAATAATTTGCAAGTTGCCAAGTTTCAGACACACACTGACCTTAAATATTTGTGAGTAAAGGAGTTATTATTAGCCGTCTCATTATCTGATCTGCTTCTGATCATTCGGGTTCTTATAAATACCATCTGCCTGACATCATTGTTTCGTTGTGTCACTATCCAACCTTCTGACCCAAACACGAACGTGTAGGTCAATTGTTATTTCTAATGTTAATTAGCTGGTCAATCAGTCGTGATTCATTTAATAACATTCTGAAATGTGACATACAAAAAATTCTTTCCGTAGTTCAACCGCGCTTTGTAGGCCGCCTGTTGGGCTTTGATCAGGTGCGAAGTTTGGTGTACGCTAGGGATCGTGCTTCAAATCACAGTTCCCTTCTCGCCACAAGGGATGGACTCACCTGGATGTCTGTACACGAAAACGAGGTAATATAGATATATTATCTTATAATATTATATATGCCTTATTATGTATATATATATATATATATATATATATATATATATATATATATTAAAAAGAGCTATCAATCCAAAAAATTTTTGTTTGTAGGTGAACCTTGATTCTTTGTCTCAGTCTGTGGTCATACCGGCTCGCAGCCGCAGAGCGCTTTTCGGCAAAGACGAGTACAATTTTGGCAAGTGGAAGGGTAAGTAGAATATCCTATTAAAGTATTGAAGGTTGAATCATGTTTGTTTCGATGATTTGTTGTTACGTATTATTAAAAAATAAATTTTCAATTCAAATGAACTTCTATTCAAGGACAGATATAGCACACGTACTATAAACAAACTTACCAATAAGAAACTAGAAAATTTGGGTAGTGTATCACGAAATCCGGTGACAATCCTAAAATCAAAATGTAATTTATTCTAGACGCACTATGCAGGGCACTAAAATGTCTGCATAAAATTGTATGAACTTTCTCAAAACTATGCTATCGAATTGTTGTTGCGATAGCTTTTTAAAAGATAACTACTACATCATATAATTAAGATGATTCTAATGCTAGTATTTGTTGCCATTTTTTATTTGATCATTTAGCTGCCTTTGACGGTGTATTTTTCTCAGACACTGAATCTCCAGTCGCCCGCTGGGGAGTATGTTGCTCTCCACGTGGTGACGGAACCGCAACTATAACCTCCTTCGATGACGAAACTGTAGAGCCATCCAGATTGTAGAGCGGCAATCGTCACGAATAGTAAAAGTTACCTAACTAATAATAATGGATTCACTACCTACAAAGACTTGAAACACCACTCTTCACTCTTACTTAGATAGTAGATAATAGCATCCTAAAGATTTTACAGTTTTACCATACATTTCTAGGGTGTTACTACCTACGCTGTACTATCTGATAAATTCCCGTACACATCTCCTATTTTCAATTAAAGAAAAGTGTGCAAGAAATGGCACAACAATCAATACACTTAGATTGTCTCTCGATCACAGAACGGACACTTAACGATCACAGCGATCTCAGTAAGAAAAACCGTTATTTATTTGGAAGTTGCACCGTAAACGATAATATTTGATCGTTGAAAAGAGCTAATACTTTTCCCTTTATGAACGAATTTCACAATCTAGTCGTATTGGTAAAAACGGAGATCTAAATTTCAAAAGAAACCGTTCTACTATTTTGCGTAGATTTGATGCATTTTTCTGAATTTATATGTGGAAAAATTCTAACAACATAGTAAAGGTTCTATGACGACTTCTACCACACAATTCGTGTGAATCACGTGAGTTATTTCATGGTTCTATTAAGTTGTATTACGTGTTGTATGGATTTTCCTCATAAATGTGGTTTAAGGTAGATTACCCTCAGGGTACACGGTCGCTTTCAAATACATCTCGCTATTAACAACCAACGGATGCATTTTTCGAGTGCATGGCGCACCAATGAGTGCTTCGAAAAGGCCAACTGATAACTGTTGTAAAGCATCCAGGGCTGGTTCCAAGTTTTGATTAATCTCAGACAGGGGAGGCGGCCGTGATAATAAAGAGATCGTGTTTTTCCGTTGCCTAAGCGAAATTTAGGGCGTTGTTACCACGGAGACACCCCAATTTCCATATAGAATCAACACTTAACTCCCGCTACTGTGTAGGTTCCACACTTAGATTAAACGATAATATGTGAATGGTAACTGTAATAAAAGAAAATAAATAACTTCAACACTAACAAAGAAAGTCATTTTTTTTTTAACTTAATACCCGGATAGACTTTATAAAACCCAATGATCGATTAAATAAAGAAATCGTTATATCGCCTGAAAACGAAGTATATCACATGTAATATTCTAACTGGCGACTAAGACTGAAGAGGAATGTATAAGATGAAAAAGATAAGCTCTACAAAAGTTCTATATATATTATATATATATAAGTTTATGTAAGTTATATATAAGACACTTATACATGACTTTTATAAACAAGAATAAATTGCCTAAGCATGCAGCAAATAGATAGACTCCTTGATTTAACAGTCCTTCGTTCATGCTGAACTAGCCCCTTGCTGTTCTTCGTGTCACAAGTACAGTTGTATAGTGCAAAGGTGCTGGTGTTGAAAAGGGTTAAGTTCCCACAAAAAAATACTATGACATAGAATAGCTGCATATATATTTTCCTCTTAGCCATTGGTTCTTGGAAAATTGTATACGGACAACTAACAGAATATTTTGTGTTTTAGCTTGCCGACGTAAACCAATTTTAGGCTACTTACATGCCGGTCAATCGGGCTACTAGTTTTGATCGTATATTTAAAGTGATTAACCTTGTTCAAAAATTGTTTTTGTCAAGACGTTTTAAAAGAACGTTTAACAAACGTTCTTTTTTTCTCTACTCGTGTAAAATTGGCCATATGTAGCTAGGTGAACTTTCAAGCAAGGATGCATCGGTTTTGATGTAAGAATAAGGCACAGCACAAAATGCCTTTTTTTTCATTCAAGAACGTTTCTTAAATATACATTAAGAGACTGTTGAAGGATCTCTAAGTGTTGGCTTTTATTATTATTATTTACTATTGCATGTAATAACTGCACACGAACATATGCAAAGCTAAAGTTTATTCATACAACTCTTTGTGGTCTATTATTTGACAAGTTAGTACATATTAACTTAAAAAAATTTGTTGACAACGCGTTACCTAGTACACACCATTGTATCATGCAACCATCTTTGCAGTTAAATCTGAGGTTAGCTGTACCCATCAAAAGAGGCATTGAGAAAAGTGAGGAGTGCTGTCAACGTTCTTTGTACATACGCATTAGCTTATGCAGCAATGCTTAAAGCTAATTTATTAGCTACTAGAAAAGTCAATTATGTTTTTCACCAACCAACACCCTGGTAAGGACAAAAATAAAATATAACTTGTGTGGTAGCATAACAATGATTTGGAAAAGATCAGCTTTCATTCGCGCCTTTAACTGTCAGAGTCGCTCACCTACTTGTCCCAAACCTGCATACGTTTCTCCATGCCGTCGCTGTACTCAGAATCTTTATTATATAGCTGCAGGCATAATGTTGCAGTCGCGCATTAATTTTTATACTTATACATCTGTAATAAAACTATAAAATACTTAGGCTATAAATATGTTTTAAGTGCAGCAATGTTCAGACATAAGAAGTCAGTTCTGCTATATCATTTTCGGTACCAACTAAACCTGACAAAGGTAATTGCATATATTGGAAACAATGGAATATATGGAAAAGTTATCGTTGGGCATCAACTTTATCGTTTCAAGTTGACTTACAGTTACCACATTCTGACAAGTGACAATAAGAGAGAAACTTACTAGAACGCCCATCGTATTTCAGTCAAACAACTACGACTCTTATTACTTTTATTAATGGAGTATGGAATCTATAGCGATGATGCTTCTTTGTTTTTTTCCGAAATCAATTGTTCGGATATAGGTGCTATCGCACGTGCACCTCAAACGAATTTTCCAAAAGTCAATTAAGGTAGATGTAAGGTTTACTTGAGACATTTCTTGTCAACTTTAGTCTATTTCGCCACCCGGATATTTGTCACATTCAAGTCTCCAATATGACGAGATCGGCAAACAGGGCGCTTATTCGTTTTTGCCAAGCGCCTGGATGCGTTCCTGCAACGGTGGATGTGAATGATGCCACGCGGAGTACAATGGATCATTTAGAGGAAAACCCAGATTGTCCTTGTTTAGATTGATCAGCGCCTGCAAGCAACCACAGTGTTTGTTACTTTCTACATGTAAATACAACGTCTTATTCATATATCATTCAAGAGGCAAATACGGGCCATGAAAAAACTTTACAAAAACTCAAAGGTCAATTGAGTGGTATATCGGTGCAATATTTTCCAACAATAAGTGTATATTATTCTGTTATCTTCAAAATGTTTACCTTATTATAGTATACTAGGTATGAAAATACAATTAAAGTGGTTAAACGGTTTTAACTTATGTCGTTTAAGTTCCTCACCTGTCTCAAATATGAGGCGCGGTGCATTTTTCGTGCAAAATCGTCTGCTTCAAACTCCTGCTTTCTCGAGTAGTACGTCAAGAGAAAGTCCATAAACTGCAAACCGAGGAACAAAGTAACGGATTTGACAATACATACGAACTCATTGATAAAAACTATATTCAAATGCTGCTGCACTAACCAAAAGAGGTGTTGAATAATACAACATTATTATTTGAATAGTATACATACACGCATATTCCTTACTATTACAAAAGCGCCTACCTTCACTAATACTAATAAACAACTGCAGTAAAAAAGGTTTTAACACTAATTATTGTATTAGATTGACGCTCGTCCGCTTTCAAATGCGGATACTGTTTACTTAATATCGCCAATTGCAAGGAATAGAACACTTTGATTAATACAAGGAATTGTTGAATTCTTATTATGTGGGACATTCAAATATCTCTTACTTCAGATATATTTATAAACATTGAGACGAAAATATGCAGTAGATAATCAAGACGTGGTGCAGCTGTTTTTTGTATAGTATACAATAATCGAGTCGATAAACGAAGCTTAAAGTTAATTAGTTCTCATTAATAAAATACCTAAAGGGGCGTTTCGCAAGCTATCGAATGCTTTGCATACATTTTTGAATTTAAATGGTCGTCTAAGATGTTATTGACTGTGAAATAAATTATGCACTTAGGCATTTTGCTACGCACATTATCTTAAAAATCTTATTTTTGTTCGTGCAGAAGTCAAGACCGAGGAAACTTTCAAGAGTTGGTATCACAATACTGAATAGTTCGAAATGGCTAAGTAATTCTTCTCTATAGCTTCGACTTTATCCGATGTCCGCAATCTTGCAATTTCCTATAAAAATGTAATTGTTCAATAATATTTCATTACAGTATAAATAAAAAATATTACTTAAGTAATTGTCGCCTAATATATTTATTAGCGCTGGCCTCTTTGACAGGGGACCCGCTGGGTACCTTTAGACGCATAATGTTTGTCGACGATTTGTTCTCCTGACCGGATGGCAGCTTTTTTTCACAAAGGGATCTATGTGAGGAAGCAAATTTAGGTAGTAATTGAAAGCTTGCAATGAACCAGCTCCGAGTAACTTACATGCTCCTATAAACCAAATCCTACGTTTCTACTCTCAACGGTAAAACCGCTGCTTCATCGCCGAAGGCGACATTTAAAAATACAGCGTCAGCGCTCCCGCGGCATCGGGGAATAATCGCATTATTAATGGTGACAACGACCGACAATGCCGTGCAATCTAATGATGCAACTACTATTCAATGAACATTTAACTATTGCTGTAGAAACAATCAACGGGTACTTCAGCTAAGCTAACAGGCATTATATTGTTTATATATTTGATATTTATCGATTCGGCCATGATGATCACCACTGTTACCGCAGGAGACGTGGGCCGTTTTTGTAGATGCTCTTAACAGACTCCGATGCGTATCAACTTACCAAGCCTACCTTTTTATGCCAATTTTCGGGTATACTCACTCTCCTGTCCAAATGTTAACCTCTTTTTACATGTAACTCTATGCAGAGGGAGGTAATTTCACGTTGGGTCAACAAATCTATTCGTATTACGGAAACCATGATACGCAAAGTATTTGCCTGCGTCACCTAATTTGCAAATGCTAACGGTGAAAAAGACGTCTAAAGATAAGCGTCGCTGCCACCTATATTAGATTCGTTGGTAGACTCTACAACGCCTGTCGTTAAATTTATTCATTCGTTCGTTTGTTTGTACATTGACACTTACCACATTGTACGGTGAGAATATATACTCTAGTATAAGCAGCATTCCGATAAGTATAGGCTTGTCAGTATCGAAACCGAACGCCTTATAAATGGTGGCGTTTTGGTACAATGACGCAAAAATAATGAAGCTGAACAGCATGTGGAGGTGCACTGAAACATAGGTTTGTGAAGATAATTAGACCATTGAATTGCTACGGTCATTCGAAGTACATCAGCCACGGAAGCAATAAACTGCATTAATTTAGAAATGTTAAGAACATCTTAGTGCTTTTGTTATAGTACGTTCTTTTGATATTTAATGCACTTAATTATATGATAAGTATATTTATATATAAACATATTACAAAAACGCCTCCATCTGTGATGCACATTTTCACATATAGCAGTTTATAGGGAATTTGTTTCTGACCTAAACGTTAATCGTAATTTTGGAGTACGTCGGCAAATATTCAAATGTTTGATATTTGAAAGGTGTATAAATTAATAAAGCAAATGCCATAAGAAAATACGTACGAATGACGAATCGCTTGGTTACATGCCACATCTTCCAGTGGCCTAATTCGTGGCAGATAATAGCAACAATTTCGTCGTCAGTGCACTTTTTTAAATCATCTCCCTTCTCTTCTGAACTGTCAACATTTCTACGTTTGATGTTGGTTCCGGGCTCACCGTGATCATCCGGTTCGTCTACTCCTTCTGTCTCTGTAGCATTATCGTTGGCCTGCACATACCCCGAGATAGAATTAAATTGTTAAACTAAAAGAAATTGTTTCTTTCCAGGCTTTATAAAAATCGTTCGTATATACTTGTAAAAACAACTTATAAACAATTTGGGCTATTGCTATCTGTAAAAAGCGGATTTCTAGCCCACTAGATGACATAAAAATAAGATAAAACAAAAATCACAAGAAAGCTCGTGTCTTTTATCAGATTCTATTTCTAAATATTTTTTAGTTCGACTAATCATTTTGAAACATTAATATTGATCAAAAAAAACAATCGCTGCTTGTTAAAGTTTGTTAAAGAAGCACTGTATATGTACAGCTTAGCGTTACGCCATTAATACCACATTATCATATTATAAAACATATCGAATTCTTCATATTCTAATCACAAAAGTGTGTTTACTTCCTCAAGTTTTGATTTTTATATCTCCAAAGAATCAAGTTAGAGATTCTGGCCTAATATTGGAATAGAGCAAAATTCTCATATACCTAGATGACATTTGCAAGACAATAAGAATACGAACCGTGTTTTCATTTAGATTTGTTGCTTCACTGGATCCCTTCAAAAGTGTGTCGAAGAGGACAATTTTTTTACTACTGAACATACCATATAGGTACGCGTTGCTGTGGGCAGATCGCTTCGACTGTTCGACAATGTACAACTGTTTTAGTGGATATTCAAGAGACGCCGCCACAGCTTCAATTTCGTTCCTGTTATACATTGAAGCAAAAGCATTGGAGACGTAATAGGGTTAGATTGCACAAATTTTATATGTTTTAATCTATGGAATATAAAAATTTGATTTGGAAATTATATAACAGAACGAATTCACTTAACCATAGAAGCATCTTCTTTTTTAAAAATTGAGTAATAGGTGGATATTTTATCAGCAATGGACAATATACAATTAGATGCAATACGCTATGCTACGTTGTGTAAAAAATGCTATTTATAACCGAATCATACATTGGCTATATGTGTACATTTCTATTGCGTGTCTTGTAATACCTGAGTTTTCCTTCAGGCAGCGGAGAGAATTTATCGAATAGAGGTGCGATGAAATCGGGATAAATTGTCATAACCAGGAGTGTGACCATGAACATGAATGCCCAAAGATAGACAAAGAACAGGTCACCTCCGACTTTAACGATTTGAACCATTCCGCAGAGAATAGGCAGCGTAATGAGTTGAGATACGATGAACTTTTTTATCTTATCCCACGCGTAGAACTTCAACGTCTATAAATACAATCACAAATAATTGTTATGCAAATAATTGTTACGAATAAGTTAACATGCGGCAGAAAAGCTTTAACAAAACTATTGTTTTATTGAACTCTCCCATACCGTGATACAGTCCATTTCCATTATGGATTAACGATGGAATAAAAAACAAAAATAAATCCAGTGCAGAGAAGTAATACTGTCTAGGAGTAGGTGAGAAAAATAGTTGCAAGGAAGAGGAGTGTCGTTGCCCAGCAGAACTTGATTTTCGGACCCTTGCTCTGGAATTCTAACTTACATTGACGATCTCGCGCTCGTGATCATGGCTAGAACAGAAAACTCTTTATAAAACGCGGCCAATGAAGCACAATGGATAGATCGCAACTATCAACACTTGGCACCTAAAAAGGCGGAAGCCCTCTAACTAATAGATCGGAAACGGACGGAGGGTTGACTTTGTGGTAGCGGATCATTCATCATAGTAAAGCAAAGCATCTTGGATCGTTTTGGATACCGGCCTATCCGCACTTGCCAACGTGAAATACGTTTCGGCAAAAACTTTCAAGCTATACCTGAGCCTGACTCGGACCTTGCCGAGAATTGATAGGGCTTTGGGAAATAGTCGCAGGATCTTAGCCGCGGTTGCTGAATCAATACAACCATATGCATAACCTGTATACGAAAACATGATATTGCAAACGGCAAGGAATAGGGACGCATTAATCTCGGTCTAAAGGACGCTGGCCATCAGGATTAGTTTAGCGTACAGGGCGGTCTTGACCGAAGTGTCCCTAATCTTAACCAAAATGGCGCCGTGGAATTTCCTAGCGAGAGGAAAAGCTTACAGCTCTTAGATAATGACATAAACCCGACTACGGTATGATGTTCGAAGAACAGTGCGACAACCAGAAACCTGATTCTAGATCTCCGGATAAGTCTGAAAGAAAGGAAAGCTGACCATGGACCACTCCGAATCTACATAACTGAAAAAGGTATGTCTTTACAACACTGCGACGGAGCACAACATGAAACACACAATTTTCCATCGCAGGCCTCTAATTGAAGCAAAAAAGAAACTCAGCAGGTAGGGACTGGAAGAAAAACAGTTAAGGACGTCGTGGAGTTACAGTTAACGATAACACGACAACGACCCTAGCAGCATGGAGAGTGGTTAATACGTGGTGGAACGTAGTATAAGGCTAAGAGAGCGTAAAGAAAGGAATAGGACACTAGCATTAAAAAGGGATGGGGACAGAGAAAGAATGATTGAAAGACAGTGGGGACGAGGGATGTTCAAATGCCTCTGAAAAAGACCCAAAGCATCAAATTGGGTTGACATTAGTAATTTCAACCCACTGGTATATAAGTGAAGTGAATCGATAGGTCTACTTCAAAACTTAGGGACTTGCTAGGTGAGGTCGAGTATGTTTCTGTTTACAGTCATCTGCACACAGTTTGGCCTGTATTTGGAAAATCGTTTAGCACATCCCTGCGGTAATCACTCATGTAAAAAAACAATGCCCCCTCCCTCGTAAACATTTAAAGAAAGCGAAAGTAAAGTTATGATAACAGTTCTAGCGTATGACTACAGGTGAAAATAAATTGCAAAGTTATTATAAAGAATTACAGAACGCATCTAGTAGTACTAAAATGCACTCACCATTTTATTAAATCCATGCTTTTCTTCAATCTTAAATGTTCCGTAGAGATCCCAGGGAAGTCCGATCAGTGTCGAAACAAATGAGCCGATCAGTACAAAGACGGCCGTCGTGAGTAGTTCATTCTTTTTACTGTATCCTGTAGGAAAGATCAATGTCAGCGAACTTATGTTGGCTACGAAACAATCAAATCTTGCAAATTTTCTATATTACAGAATAACTGTTTTCAAGTACATGTACAGTATACATGGAACGATCAACTCATGGTATCATGCACCCAAGACAAAAGGGTTGATATTTTGTTTTCCTACCTGCTAACGTGACAAGATGCCCACAATAGTCCCAGAATTTTGGGCCGATATTCAATGAAAGCACGACCTAAAATTGTTGAAAGTTGTTTATTAGAGAAATTAGGTATCCGCGCGCACTCGCTTACCTAAAACCAATGAGCGACGACTATAAGAAATTACACGCAACTTACAAGGGTGAGAATCCGAGAGAACGTCTCGTGTACAAAGGCAAATCGCGTGAGATCGATGCGATAGGCACGGGCCTTTGCAAAGTATTTTTGTTCCATGAGAATGCACACTTCTGGGGGGACGAACTCGTTCAGCACGTACACGCGATACTAAGAAGTTTAGACAACCAGAAACAGCTTATGTTAACTTTATGCTAAAGCCACGGAATGATTTAGATACATATTCAGCGACGAAACATCTGCGTATATATATATATATATATGAAATCCTGTTGTATAAATTTTTTTGCGATACTGATAGATACATCTATCAGGTCGCAAAAAAATATATATTTCAGCAATTACCACATGGTCCTACCTGTCTATACATAAGGTACTGTTTCCACAAGAATACCAGGAAAGTGAATCCCACACAGAAGTAGAACACATTTGATGGTGTCCAGTGAGAGTCGATCACAAGTGATACCTGAGGCAAAAAGTTCGTACAGTTAAACTTGAACTCGAAATTATTATATATGACGCAAATAACTGCAAAGGCAAACGCAGCATCTTACAGATAGTCTATGGAAATGAAGCATATGGAAATCATGCTGTCTGGTGACTATTCAATGGGTAGTTTGTTATCATTTACAATGGAGTTCTAAGCCAGCCAACGGCTGCTTGGTTTACTCTCTACTTTATATAAGGATATATAAGAAACACTTGAAACCCATTGCAGATACTTTGGAGCCCATTCATGAATCCATAATTAGCTAAACTATAATTTTACCGTGTTTAATGCTTCCAAAGTAATAATTATCGCAAATTTTATATAGATTCAATGTAATACAAAGCCAACACGATTACTTACCTGCTCTTTAAAATGTTCTTTTGCAACTAGAAAGGTATCCAGATATCCTCCGCCATAACCTCTTAAGGTATATGATCCACGCGGGGTGAGAGGAGGCCCAGTGTTCATCTCCGCCATAATGAATTACTTTCGTAAGCTATTGCCTAAAGGCCTATTAAGTTACTGAAAATCACCAATTTTCACCTTCCTTAAAATATGTGTCTAGGAGTACAGATGTATAATGTATAAATTAGTGATAGCTATCCGAATGTATCCGAAATGATGTGAAGATAACAAGATTAAGACATTTACTTGGATAGATATTTCGTATTTTACCTAGGACCCTATTGAGTTTCCTAATATATCCTGCTTTATAATACTAAATGCTTATGTACGCATAAATTTGTTATTGCTGTTTAATAGAAATGTTTATTTGGACTTTTCATGGAGATTTCGGTAGTTTCATTTTGACAAGTGATTCCCGGCATACAAGCCGGCTTGGATACGTTAAAGTAATTTGATGTTCAACAAACGTCGAACGGTTAAGACACGTTAGAGAATTTTTTTAATTTAAGCAGATACGAGATATCTTTATTGGCATAGCTGAACTTTGCTAACCACATCACAGACTGGTCAATTAAATTGGTTCACATACGGCGTTGTGACATGACAGACAAACGTTTCTACGGTACAAGGCGTCGCAAATCTATACTTCAACAGATCACTCCGCTAGAAAAATCCATATAAACCTCTGCATACATAAACGTAGCGGTTAAATGAATTATGACAAGGCACCCTAAGATGCTATCACAAGAAGTTAGATTACTCTGAGCGTCGTTGGTCTTAGATTCTGTTGTATCCTCGGAGGAAGCTTCATTTTCCAAATTCGCCTTTAATAACTGACTAATTTATCATCTACTTAATACGAGAATTTGAAAAATAAACTCTTCAATCATGCAAACTCATTCCTCGTGTACGGCACAACTCATATTGCTGGATAAGCTTTTGCTTATAGTCATAAAAATACAAAGTGAGCTTTGCCTAATAATAATAATGTTCCAATGAAATTCCTTTCCTAATCTTTGTTCCGTTTTGCACTATTGTTGAGATACTAGGTCACTATAGGTTTTACACACATACGTATGTACAACGGCCTAAAAACAGGGAACGTGAGTAAGTCACCTTTTGGAGTTTACAAGAGCGCGTCGAATTTCGTGTTTCCAGGGTATATTTCCGGCGCGTACTCTATCCCTACATCAACACGCACCAACAAAAACAAAACTAGTTGCAATCTCTGCAACATTCATCTATAGTACGTAGCGTAAACCATCGGCGTGTTGCTTAGAATGACAACGCTGTCTCCTACTTAGGCCTCTCTCAATTAAAAATAACACTCTCTCCCTATCAATTCGATCAATTGAGGATGCAAGCGCTAAAACGAATGAACGAATTATTCTTCAGCTGTCGATTTTTGCGCCGGTCTATATGTAAACAACTCGGCCATTGATAAGAACCCTATTGTGCCTAAATACGTTGAATAAAAAATCTACACAACAACCTAATTCGATAGCCCAGAAATAAAAGAATTTGCAAATTGATAAACTATTCTATTTTAATAGGTAAACCGTATTGGCTAACATTTTACCATGATTTATTTAGATTGAGCCATGCACCTTTAAAGTCTAGCGATATCAAGCAATGCAAGCGCAGTAATTCTAAATTTCAATACGTTCAGCAAGGCCGAAATCAGCGGCCATTATCGATCATATTTGTTAAATTCAGTAGCTTGAATTTCTTATTGAATAATAAAATTAGAACTAATAGATTTAACATTTTGTTATTACTTTACATATTTGTAAAGCGGAGAAAATGAAATGATAACGTAATCTTAATTAAGTTTAGCGAACTGTTAATTTGATTGTACCTCATTTATATCATTCAACAAAAATACGGCTACATATAGAAGGAAAAATATACCTAAATGGATTTTTAACTGTAAAACCTACTGTTGAGTAAAACAGATCATGACTAAGTTCGATTTAAACCAGACGATAAAGAAAGGGGAATGTTTTGTTTATCTCGATGATACCCAGACGTGTTTCGATGTCTCGCGCTCGCCTTTGACTTATAACGCATTTTATGTTACATTACAAAAATGAATTGGTTTATTTAATTAATTTGAAACACAGACAACATAATGTTTTACTAGTTGATAATCCAACACGGACAATTTGAATTTGTACATGTTTTCTATTTGTAAAATTCGAAAGAAGACTACCATTGTGTAAGTGGAACTTTTCAGTTTAAATTACCTTAAAATAATTGTAGCCTATTGGTTTATATTCTGTGGGATCATACGATATCACAAGCTTGATTCGAAGATAATAAATTATGCGATTGGCATTGTGATACAGTAATGGAAATAATTAAATTAATAACAATAATTAAAATTAATATATTAATTAACTATATTAATGCCCGAAAAAATCGAATGTTTCAAAACGTCCTCAATTCTTCTACTGTCGTTTAGCAATTGGCTAGTTGCCGTAGATGCTTGAGTTCTACAATATTTTACGTAAGCATAGAGCATTTCCGCCATTAGCAACTTGCAGAGAGAAAAAAAATAATTTGTAAGCTGTATGTGCAAGTCCATGTATATGAGATTCGAAAAACGAGCGAATTATAGGGATATTTTACAAAAAAAGTTGACTATTTGGAAGGTAAAATACCAGTGTAAACGAAATTCGCAGGACTCTGCAAAACTTTTCTTCTTTTTGTTTTATAAAGCTGCAGTAGTAACCATTTATACTTTTGACAACCTTCTCTACTGACCTGATCCCAATAATGTTGCATGACTTAGCCAAATACGGTATTACATAATAGGTAAAACAGCAGTGAATATAGTTTCTTGAACTTACAGCAATGCGATCGAAATAGAAACTGCACTCAGTATGATTAGTACAGTATCACAGTTTAAGGTTAAATATCGCTTTTTAGAACAAAGCCTACGGTCAGAATAACAGGAAATCACTTGTCAGGATTCTTGGAAGGTTTGAGTCCTATGAAATAAGATTGTAATAATTTTATACGCGCTAATAACGTTCTACATTTATGACATGACCGTTAATGTTCCGTTACCAGAACGGTACCTGTGTTCTGTTGTAAAACTGTACTGGTGTTCTGTGTTTCTCTGTTGTTGATAGTAGTAAAGGACGTGTTTCCGATATGCCACTGGCGGAGTACGTGACGGTCATTGAGAGTGATCCTAACGAGAGTCCGGCCTGTTGTCATGGGCCAGCGTTGCTGTTTAATCGGGTTGGAAAATACTTCTTTGCTTGTTCCGCTTGCAGGTTAGTAAACTATAGTTTATTAAAGTGAAGACCTTACAGTTTTATGAAAGCGATTATTCAACGATAGCTATAAAAATATCTGGCTATACGCTAGGTCAGCTGAGTGTTTAGGTAAAAAGATATGGTTGGTTAGTTGAAGTAGATTTTTTATGCATATCATAACATTATGGTATGAACTGTTTATAGATCTCGAAAGCTGTGTCCACTTTACTTTGAAGTAGACTTGAAAAAGAAGTTCAAAACCTGGCATGAAGTACGGGAACAATACATTCCAAAAGCTGAGCACCATGATCCTCCGCACGTGTTAAAGGACTCCTTATTCTGCTCGCAATGTTGCCGTATTTATACTACCTCACAGAATGGTTTGTAGTTGCTTGTTTTAGAATCGTATGTTTTTACGGATGAGTGCTGTTTAATTTCTTTGCATATGAATTGATCAAAAAATAATTTTAATTGACCTCACAAACACTCTGGCTAAATAATCTTATGCTGAAGAGTAATTCAGCAACAATTAAAAGAGTATCTACATTTTGGTCAAAACTGAGAGGAAAAAAATATGATATTAAAACAAATTAATATAAATTTTTATTTCTCCAGCTGTGTTCATGTCGACAGTTCATTATCTTTTTTTCTTTACTTGTCTCTCAGCATGTCTTCATCACAGTTTGCGAGGTATCAGTCCGACAGAGATGAACACGCCGTCGTCTTATTTGGCCCAGCTCTCTACCAATAAAGGCCATGCTCAATACCACTTCGATAAAAACACGTTGGATTTCATGGTTCGTCTAGCATCCAAATTCGAAAAGGTAAAAGAAAAAGTAAAAAAAAAACGATGATCTTTCGTTGAAATTGGCATCAGCCTCTATATATCCAATGTGTAGTATCAGGGCTTTTGAATGACACAACAACTTTTAGATAGAGATTTCTGTAGTAACTTCTACTCACTATTCAATCTGATTTCTGCTACTGATCATAAAGCACTATTCTATATCCTCTATGAGTTTTATAGTTGTTTAACCATATTGCAGATCCCGTAGAGATTAAGAATGTCCGTAAACTTAATGCGTAACAAAATTCCATCTATTAATAATTATTTTTTCAAAATAAAGATTATTGTAGTTGTTCATTATTACTATGACAAAATTTTACAAATATAGCTCTGTGCCGAAATAGTGTTTGGGCGACACCAAAGTATTTACAACGTATACGCTATTTCAGGTATTATGCCTAGGCACACCGTCGATATTTGAACGCCTTCGCGTTCTTGGAGTGAAATGTCATTTGGCTGATATTGATCGACGCTTGGAAGCGTTCTATTCCTCTAGATCATTCACCTGGTTCAACATGTTCAATGGACTCGCATTTCGTGATGGCGATGAAAGCGCTTTGTGGAAATTTGTAAACGGATCTGAAGAGAAACCTTATAAAACTATTACTCCAGAAAGAGATGTGGCAGAAAGAGAACGACATTTTTCTGCACAACAAAGCACTTTATTCGATTCGGGGGAATCACTTAGGACTTCGAGAACAACGAAAATGCCATCCCTAATAGGCTCTAGTCAGACTGAAAGACCACTTAGAAAGCGACGACGTCGTGATAAAATGGTAGTTTGCGCTAGCATGCCCTTACAAATTGCTGGTACTGATTCCGCAGCAGAACAGTTCATTTGTATAGCAGGTGAACAAGATCAGGAAGAAACTGGAGATCCTGAGGCTATGCGTAAAGAACTATATCGGAATCAGGTTTTAAAGCATTCATCAGAATTGCTTCACAAAAAGAGCGTACGCCAAATACATAACACAGATTACTGTGAAGAACGTTTTGATAGCGCTCTAGTCATCATCGATCCACCGTTTGGTGCTTTGCTTGGAGCCCTTGCGAAGACTCTAAAAAAGCTAACAAACCATGGGAACTGGAACCGGTTGCTCGTGTTTCCTTATTTCAACGAATCGCAGGTACCATAAGAAGACCATCGTTTTATTTTATTATAAAAACATCAAACGATTAAATGTGTCCGATAGTATTGCAGCAGCACTAAGTTAACCAGGAATCAATTACCTAGTGAGTACTAGAAAGAATTAACGCTCAACAGTAAATTGGATGCTTTTCGAAGTAGGTTAATTTACATCTTCCCTCACTGGCGATGTGCGATCTCGCAGTTCGATATCGCAATCAGCGGAAAATGAAAAACGATTCAAGCCCCGTAAGGATTTTCACCGATATCCCGCTGAACGAAATACCCCTTCCAGGACCCACTTACAAGTACGGTCGATGTTCTGTCGTGGTATTAGATGCTTGGGAAAACTTGCAACTTATTCTAACTCTGTGAATTGAGAAAATATTCACTAATTATTTATTGCCCGTATGTCCCTGGAATACAACGTTTACTTGAATGAAACAAAAAATTGTCCGACTTATGGACAGAAGCTTTGCACGTGGTGACTTGTCGTAGTTTCAAAATGACCACAAAATTGTTGTTATATGAGGGATACGCGAGATTCAATTTAAACTATCTTAATAATAATGACGGATATTTTGAACAGATACTGCATTAAGTGCGTTCGATGGGTACACAGCGTCAATGTTCATTGCGCAGAGTGCGGAACTTGTCCTTCGAAAAACCATGCTGCCACTCGACACTGCTTTGTCTGCCAGCGATGTGTTAAACAGACCTGGGATCACTGTATCAAGTAAAAGTCTGAAATTTAAAAATGAACTTTTCTACAAGATGCGTACCTTAGCAGTTGTTTTTTATAGCGATTAATGCTATTAATCATTTGGTTATTGCTAGGTAGCTGGCAAAAGATTTAGCAACAGAAGGATTATTCTTTTGCTAGTAAAAATAGAGTCACATCTTATTACTACTTTCCTTTGGGGAAGTACTCTAGAGTAAAGTAAAAAACACAGTGTTATTATTCCTCGCTTCTTATAAAGCTGAATTAAGGTAAGCTTGAAAAAGAAAATAACCTTCAAATTTGATTATGTTATTGTTTTTTTCTATAGGTGCAAGCGTTGCCATCTATCCGGCAAGTGTAATTTTTATAGAAGGAGTAAAGGTTCCGCGACCAGCTCCACGAATACAGTTTCGTTGGTGAGAAAATCAGCTCGCCGTCAAAAAAAACGATAATAAAAATAAAAGTACATTCTACATACCCTGTTTTGCGCCTCGCTTTTAATGATATTGGCCCGCCCCCGAAAACACTAAACTGCATAAATAAATGACGCCTAATTTTTAATGTTATTTAATGAAAACCTATAATATTAATTTTCTGAGTAACGCAACTTGAGAAGTTTTGTAAAAAAAAGGTAAGTTGCAGCACTTTGGTTACTGGAAAATTGCGCTAATATAACCTCCCCACTGATAAAAGTTAGTGTTTGTTATTAAGATTACTATTTTGAGGGTGTTTGTAATATTCACAACGATTTGTATTGATCGGACTGTCGCTTAAGCTACGTTCAGAATTAGTTAGTAACAAGAGAAATTTTTAGGCGAGCTATTTTATCCATGAATACGCGGCGATATCACAAAGTAAACGGGTTAAAAAAATATCTAGATGCGCGTATTGTGACGGCTTCTCGACATTATTTGACGTTATAGGAGTCATTGTGTTGAATACTTAAAGCAACTTATGTGCTACTAAGGGGATAAAATATGTTTTCAGGGAGTAATTATTTAGATAGAACAGAAAGCGGCCGCTCCGTTAAAGCAAGCGTTTACTTAAGGAAGTATCACCGAAGGTACTTCATAATCTATTTCACATTAAATAATCATTTGTGTAGAGCAGCTACGAAAATCACGAAGACTGGATACATCATTATGAATAGTGCTTATATATATAAACCTAATAAAAAGAATAGTATGAACTGTATATTTATGTAAAGCGTTTTCTAGCTATTTTCGGGCCAGTACCGATGGGGCTAAAGTATCCCCCATTATTTAGGTGGCTCGTAAGTAGAGACAGGCGGTATCCTCAGTCGTCATTAGCTTGTGCAGCATTCTTTTTTACACCTATGAGTGAATATAATTACCATGTCGGTCATAGTAGAATGTGTGTATCGTTATAGCCCAATTATACCTATAGCTAGCTATACAACGATTTTGAAGGCCTGCCTATACTCCAATATAATGGTTGTACGGGTTTTCCCTATGGAGATATATTGATGCGCTATTGATATGTTCAAATATTCTACGGAAACATTTCATAACAAGTGTCCCACCCACGTACAAGTTAAGCTTTTTCTGTTAAAGGTTATAATTTTGATCGCCTATAAAGTTGTTAACTGCTAGTTTAGATCAGGTGCCAGCTGGCACTTGCCACTAGCCTTTTTTCGGGGAAGAGAAGCTTCTTGCCTGCCACATGCATAAATAGCAGGGTGGCTGAGTAAATGCTAAAAGATCTGTTTACATATCAGTGTATACAGAAACTGCTTTGAACAATAGATATGGTTTCGAGAGAGCTAGTGTTTTTTAATTTGACAATACTATTAGCTTAAATTATGAGGGAGCCAAGTGATGCAACTCTTTTTCTATACTCCAGTGCACAGTTATTAGTTACACACAAAAAGTAAACCGTCTCTAGTTTTACTATGCGTAACCCAGCGGGTCCACTGACTGCAATAAACGATTTGTCAAGATGTTTCGACAGCGGCTTTCAAGAGCGACAGCGAGGGGTAACGCATTATATGTTGTCATGGGTTTGAGCGCACCATGATTATCACTATTATCATACATCATGGCCCCATCATTTCTTTTGTAGTTTCCTCCCAGCTAATGCTGAGGCTCATCTTGGCTTCTGGATTGCCGCTTTTACGCCCACGAGTAGGTAAACCGAAGCATTATCGACTAGCAGTCTCTACCTACTAGCGAAACCGGATATATTGCTGGCCAGGGTAGTTCAGGCGTCTGACGGTGATGACTAGTGTGTAGATCACCGCATAATCTTTTTCATCTTCGAGTTCAAACTCGGGTCGACAATTTCGTCGGCGAGCATGAGAGGAGATAAGGTAGGTTGGACTGATGCCTGTTGTTGCTACTGTGGCGTATAACGATATCGCCATTCGTAAGACACCAAATCGTTGGCGGAGTAACGGCTCTGTCGAGGTTGAATGTTCCGAATGGAACCCGCTGTACGGAGACGCCGTGCATTTTTCTTAAGAAGCACACGACCATCAAGACGCCGCTAGCATTTGCTATCTATTGTGTTGCATGAATACCCATCAGCCAGGAACAGCTTAGGCCATTTTTAGCTGATGAGCTGCTCAGCAGGGTCATGGCCCTACGACTGACTTGCCTGCTATGGACTTAGAGTTGAATGGTGTATACGCTGAACGCGCAGAGTGTACGCTTGCTAGACGCTGTGGACGGATATTTTTTGTGTTAGCTACAGACATAGGCGCAAATTTTCAAGTGCCAACTAAGAGTTTCCTTCTCGAGCTTTCGACTAACGGGACCATTGCGTTGATGCTTCTTAAAGTTCGAGCCTCGAATGAACACACTGCCAGTAGCACAAAAAGATTATTTATTATCGGGTCCAGTGTGGCACGTGGAGATGCCAACATCGGCTATCGCCTGTAGTCCCTCTAACTGCTCATGATAGTGTTTGTATGTCCGGCATCATCACAGTGCTTGCTGAAGTTTTCCATTGTACTCAAAAGATATACCTCTGGATACATAATTGATCTTCTGTGCAACTCAGCTGTAGAAAGGAAATCTGCTGTAGTGTGTATGAAGTCTGTTGATCATTGTGCCGGGTATATGTACCGCAATCGCATGAGGATTTCGACAACAGGCGTGTGTCACGCTGATATAAGCTATTGTAAGAAGAGAGCCTGTCACTAGGATATTACTCTTCATGTCTGTTACTTGCTTTCTGCATTAATTCTAGATCCAAAAACGACACGGTGGAGTGCTTTCGTCAGGCAGGTGCCGTTGCCGGTGAAACTGCTCTTCTCAACGAGTATCTCGTACGATGCTATGATTTGCAAGGGGAGTCGTGTTTTTCGACCTGTAAAGCCGACAAGCGCTGCAGGTCAGCTGTCAACGGTTCTTTTACAGATATAATAGCTTTTATTTAATCTAAAATACGGAAGGTAGTCATTATGTTTGCATATAATCAAGTTTTCCTGTTTTGGAAAACGATGTAATAATAATTTTTCGTCGGTTTGTGATCAGTAAATCCGAAAACCCCTATGCCGCTCCTGGAAGTTCGAAGATATTTTTCTAATGGTGATTGGTGTTAGTAAACCGGATCACAGCGTTCCGTTCGTTGAATTTTTCACCGTTGACTCAAACTAATTTTAATAGGGGAAGCCAAAAATCAAATTATCTTTAAATTGAGATTCTAGTTATAAGGACACAAACCGCATAGAATATGCCGCATTGCAAGGGCTATATCTATTATTTTATAATACATCCAAACTCATCAATTTGTATCAAAATGTAATTTATCAAAAATTTGTTAAAGCCGTTAAAATATCTTCCATGAAAAACGTAAATAGTAGGTTACTAAAATTGTAGATCTTGTCTTGTTTTCAATAAGCTGTTAAAAGCAATTTATAGATTGCATCTTTTTAAATAATAGCCCACGAATACTATACATGTCTTGAAAAAAATCTATCGTAGCTGAGTCGGCTATATTTAACAGCACAAAAAGTGTTAGTTTTTAGAGAATCTTTTTTTAACTTCATTCATGCAAAGTCCAGCATGTACGTTATCAGCGACTCCCTTGATATTCTTTCAAACTTCAAAGAGTCAACTTAGTAGGAGTGATCTCTAGTCAGCTTGAGTGACCGATCTTTTATAAGCAAGTGTCGTTTTTCTTAGCTCGCGTTTACCGGTTCACTACATGGATACCAAAAGAAAAACATGTCCAATACTGGTCTATGAGGACAGTTCTCCGGGCTTTGTCAGACGCATGCTAGACGCCCTGCTCGATTACCAGACGCTTAAGATTATCAACATAGGTGACAAGAAAATAGGACTTTTACATCGACTTATTCAGCTAATCATCCTCGTCTATATAGTCGGGTGTGTAAAGCTTCATACGTTAACTATTTGCTAGTTTAGCTTACGAAACACTTAAGCTGATAGTTCGAAACTTAATTTTGTAGTGTTTTCAACGATAATTAGAGGTGGCATGCGATGTCATAACATCAGTATTTATGCATCATGGACAGACGCATTGAATATAGCATCGTAAACATATAATTTGTGTACCAACCATTTCTATTGATTGCACTAGTTGATAATAGCGGTTTAGTAAGTCTTAACTAAACTTCGTCTACCAATCACTTTCGAGTTGTCATGGTCAGTTCAAGTTGAAATACCTATTATTTTATCTAACTGTAAAGTGTACATTTTGCATGTGGAGCGTATGTACTTACAAGTAGAAGTATAATGTCGATAGATAATGAGATATACTTACGACAGTTTTACATTTTGTACTTCAAAAAGCTTCTGATACACTTAGAATTGAGGGAGGGAGGCGATTATTAATTGAATGCTATACGGATGCGAAAGTTTCTATGTGCAGACGCTATAGGAGAAAACCTTATCGAGTTGGTTTATCTTAAGATGGCTCCCTAATTTTTCTAACAACATTTTAAAGTTTACAACAAATGAAAAATTTCCAGTCATGAGTAAAATGTTCAACCAATATTAGGGCAACAAAATGTTAGGCTAGCCAGTCTTCAATTGCTTGGGTCCTAGTTTAGTCTATAACATTACAGATGTTTTCAATATTTAGATGGCAGTAACTGAACCGCCTCTCTGGTAAAAGGTCTGAGTTTCCAGTAGCTTGCTTGTGCCACTATCACTGCTTCATTTATGAATTGATTCCATCAAAACTTGGCTCTCGAAAGTTGAATTTGTAAGGTTCGTAGGTGCTAACGGAGGACGCATTACACTAAAAAAATTGTAACTGTTTTGCAAATCTATATGAAAAACGATGAATGTTGTCAATGGCATAAGTGAGATTACATGCATGGCTGTTATATGCAGTGCAGCAATCATAAGTTACTAGATATAAATTCTTGTTTGTGTGTACACACATTGTGCTTTCATGCTTATGCCGCTACCTTTCGCTTCAATGTGCTTAATTACTATTATCGCAATACTTGTTTCTACATATCATTGTTCAGATTAAGAAAACAACAGACTCCATTGACAACGCTGTATGTTAACTGCACGTCTTATAGGACACGCAGCAGTAATTCGAATGATTATGACAAGCTTGTCTTAAAATAGGTTGCTTACTTAGAGTAGTAGTAAAGAGTTTGGGAAGTATTTCGAATTAGATTTGGTAATTTGGGAATTCGCAGGTTCGTTATAATCTACAAGCGAGGTTATCAACAATTTAGCACGGCCAGCTCCGCTACAACAACAAAGGTATTCCTATTTTTTTCCGAACAACTAAATACTTACATTATGTAGGTCTTTACCTTTATTATGTTTGTATAAGTATATTGTAATTTGTCGTTACACTGACTGTACAGGTGAAAGGAGTGGCGTCAACGTTGCACCTTCGTGACTCCGATTTCGACTCATCTGTGCCAGATACTAAGGTGTATCGAAGAGTATGGGACGTTGTTGATCTCGTTCAGCCTCCCAGTGTTAGTAAAATTGAGAAACATATTGTACCCAACTGCTAAGTTATTATAGTAACAAACAAATGAAGCATACTATAACCTAAAAAAGTTTTTAAAACTTCTTTTTTTTGTTCAATTTGTTACTCACGTTTAGGAGCCCGATGCTTTTTTTATCACAACAAATCTCATCATTACGACGCAGAGGACAGGTCTTTGTCCCGATGAAAATATTAAGGTCTGTGCAACACTGAATTTATTTGATAAATGCGTTCTAGCAGCGCTTTAACGGGTCTATAAAACACTGTTTCATAATCATGAAGCTACTTTGGATTCACACAATATATTTCTACATCGTAGATTAAAAATAAAATTTATGGAAAAGCAATAATTTATGGGTATACTGAAACTGAAAATCTGTTTGAAAATGTTTTATTCAGCCACAACAATGAGTAGCCAGTAACGTGGAACGTAGTGATCGAACGATGGCTGAAAATTTTAAAATAGTTTTATGGCAGGATGCGCGTTGCCATTCTGATGCGGATTGCCTGGACGGCCGAAGACTGCTGCTCGGTCATGGCGAGCAGAGCGGCCGTTGTGTAACAACAAGCGGTTTTGAATTGGGAAAATTCGATCGACGAATTAATGGTGCGTCTTCATGGAGGGCCGAGGCCGCTTTTCCTAGCGAGGGAGTTTGCGAGGTTCGGGGCTGGTGTCCTGTGGAACACGACATCGGACCATTGTGAGTTTTCGAGTACCTGCACTGTAATAAATTCTGGCAAACGTGCTCTGGAATAGAAAACTTGCAGCATTTAGTACTAAGTTAATGCAATAATTTAAATACACAAATAACTTTTTCTTTTAACTCTTTATTACTTTTTTTTACTTTGTCTGAGCATATATATATATATATATATATACTCAAAAAAAATATATATATATATATATATGTACTTTAGAGATCTATATATGGACGAGATGAAAATAGAAAAGTTTCTTAGAATTTGATGTTGCCGATAAGGTCGCGCCGACCGAACTTGTGCAAGTGACCGAATAACTGTACCTGAAAATCCGCTATCTGCCCACCCAGACGATTCCTGCTCGAGTGTAAAGGACGAAGGCAACATCAGAAGTCATCCGTTAGATAGCTGCAATAAATAGGCCAGTGGGGATCCAAATTACCGCAGAAGGCAAGCCAGCCTCGGAGCAACCTCCAGTAGCGCCTGCGTTATTAGGTTGTCATCCAACGCACTAGCATCTGCGGAACGAGACTGGATGAACAAGGAAAATCAGGACTATGCCGTTCGGCAAGCAAACGGCTATATACCGTATGAAGTTACCACATATGAACCGTGGGAACTTCGGAAAGGCGCTAGGGACGTGCCACGGCAATGGACAGCGGTTCGAGAATGCCGCGATTCTTAGCGAACTGCGGTAACGATGCACAGCTACGAGAGCGGTGGCCATTTACAAGGCGTACCAGCGAGGGCGCAAGCCCGTTAGCGAAGGGCGGATTTCATACGCTCCATTAGCTCACGGCGCGGACTCCCAACATTCGACTGCAATTGTTTATATAATAACTACTTACTTTTACGATAACGTTCTTTCTTGTATGAGGATATCGGGTCTGAGCCGAGTGCGGCTTGTTAGACGAAGGTATATAGAACGCACTGAATATAGCAGCCATTTTACAAAATATTAATATTAACAGTTTGGAGTGTGAACTGTACCTGTGATGGCGTCTACTCGTTGCCTAGATCAACGTTAGTCTCTGCCTTTAAACTACGGCAAAAGACTGTGTATGAGACCATTACTGGACCGACAGATGATTAATTAATACATATTATCGCTGAAGGATGAGTTTTTGCGTTATCATTGACGTATTAGCTCTAAGTACCTGCTTGATTATGTAATAGCCGTAATGAAATCTCTGCTTTTACATCTAAAATGCTACTATTTCCAGTGAAATAGTTTTAGTGAATAATGCCTATTTAAAATATACTGCAGGTCTAAATAAACTGGGGAAAAAAAATTAACTTAGAGCAAATCAAACCCAAAACTGGATTTATTCAGCGAGCTCTTTGTCCAACTTCGTAATTGTGCGATCGTTTTATTGTTTCACATTTTAGCTTAAAGCATAGTCTTTGTAGATATGCTAAAAGAGAGGTCCAGTTCCTTGATGGTTTTCCTATAAGACCTCTGCGGACGAAGTCCAGGCTTGCTACTATTCAGAGCAACACCTTGATCCCTTACATATAGACTACGATAGATACAGAAGTCCCAAAAACTTGCTAGGTCACAGCCTTTTCTTGTACTCTATTTTGTTAATAACAAGATTAAATGAGGCTAAAACTTAGCGTGGAATTAGAATAAGCAACCAATAAATTTGCAGCCAAAGACATAGCCATTTAAATGGTTAGCCTTATTCAATGAACGAACAGAATGTTTGTCCACGTAATGTCGTCAAAACTGTTTCCACTTAGCATTTTAATATTCAGAATGTTCCTACAGCCTATCAATTTTCAATATCCCCTTCACAACACCTTCGCACAAATTTGTGACCTTTTCCTACTTTCTGCTGCCTATGTTAGTTAAATGCTATCTGGAGTACTTCTGCTATTGTTAAGCTACTTTTAAGCTTTTTAGGCCAGCATCTTTTTATGCTTCGGCGATCACCCTGTTATATAGGTTGAAGACTTTTCAGAGAAGTACGCCCACTCAACATGAGATTACTATATTGTATTATGCATTTACATTAACAAGTTAAGAAGCCGAGCTGATTAATTACTACATACTATTCTTAAATATTTTGAGGAATTAGGTTAAATGATTTGTGGAAAGATCTACAGGGGGTTCGAATTGTCGCCACGGAAGTATCATTTAAAGTGTCTATACATTACGCAACCAGATTTGCAAATTCTGTATTTTCAGACGGAATAATACCCCTCTCTTCCGGGATGTCCAGGACTTTACTGTACTTTTGAAGAACTACGTTGACTTTCCAGTATTTCGGCTTAAGTTGTAAGTATATGGATAGTTAGGCTCTGATATCTAACAACGTTCAAATATTCATCATCGTTCATATCTGTCGCGAGCAAACAATTTACGTTTTACAACTTTATGTTTTGATTTAGGCGAAATATTGACGATTTACAAAATCGTAGCTATCTGCAGAGCTGCATCTATCATCCGGACCGAGACCCCCACTGTCCGAAATTTCGTGTCGGTGACATCATCAAGCAGACGGACAATTCGTTCGATAGCATAGCTGTTAAGGTAGGCTAGAATCGTCCCAAGAGAAGTGAAGCTTCGTCTGCAATCAGCCATTCAAAACTTGATCTTTTTGAACAAAATAAATGCCAACGTCCTCTCTCGGGTTACTCGTGAATTGAAACCCTAACCAAGACAGCGTTTATAGTAACCTGGCAGATAGGATGTTTATAGAAAATATTTTGTACGCAATTTTCTTTCTTTTGATCGCCTGGATTGCTCTTTCAAGAATAGTAGATTACCATTTACTAGATTTTTTTCCATTTTTGAAACGGGACCGTAATAAAACGTTCTGAACGAGTCCGGGATCATTCGTAACGGGTTGTCGATATTCAAAATGGCTATTTTCTAAATTCGGAAGATTTGAAACAAATCGCAATATTCTATTTTGAAGTTTGCTAATTTGGCTGGCCGGATTGGCTTCTCTTTTGTTTTCATTTTATCGATACTTCAGGGCGGAGTCGTTCGTATAGTTGTGAACTGGGATTGCAATCTAGACTGGGATTCACGAGGTCGTAAATGCGTTCCTCTGTACACGTTCAGCAGAATTGATGACGCCAAGGCAAACCTTGGACGTGGCTGGAATTTTCGACACGCTCTCGTTCACGATCTTACCCATCGAACGTTGTTTAAAGCTTATGGAGTGACGTTCCGCATTTCTGTGCAAGCCCGTGCTGGAAAGCTCAATCTCATACCCATTGCTATTAACGTTGGCTCCGGACTTGGACTTCTAGCCGTGGTTAGTAATGAATGAGAACTGCCCTATTTCTCTAGCCAGTACCCTGTATTTTGAAAAGTTTACTTCCTAACCGCTTTGCTTCATGTGTCTAAAAAGCTTGGAAGGTAACTAATACCTAATGTTGAGCGACATCTTTTTTCTGCTATTTCACAAAGCTATTTCAGCTGGTAATCAACGTGGTGCTGCCGACGCTAGTTTCAAATATTTGCCTTTGGTTCAGTATAAGCGAGATCGCATTTTAGTTACACGAAAAAAGTTAAAAGAAACTAGACTAGCTAGGACTCGCCAATGAAAACCCGTTAACAATCGAAATCTTATTCTTCAGTGTGATACGTCTTCAGTCGTACGCCAGAGTTTATTATTATTATTTATTATTGTGTCACTTCTTATAGTACTGTTAGTTAAGTGAGTAAATTTTCCGAATCGTTGATTTTTAAATGTAAACTTAAGTAAAACACTAAAAACTTGCTCTTATTAGGAATCTGGCCGGTATAGGCCCCGCTAGGATTGTTTGGCGATTTCTCAACAGACCTATGGAACAAAGGTCATGGCTTAAGTACACCTAATTTTCCTTATTTCATTCTCTATCTTTCTGATCATTAATAGTTAGTAAAAACTTTCGCCAATGCTGACATTTGAACCTGTATGGTAGCATTCTTGCCAGTTATGGTTGCCGCGGCAATGCACCCAAAGGAATATACGTAAACCACCCAGACCGTGCCGCCTCCGATCGAGTCACCTACGTTCATATTGACAATAATAAAAAAAACCCAGCGGTGAGCATTTAAGTGACGTGATCGATTGATTTGTGCTTAATCTTTAAACTGTTTACAGAGGAGGTGCCATACGCGCTTGTATGAAATAAAGCAAGCCTATGTAATACGATTTCCTTTGAACAGGGCTAAAAGATACGTACGTAATCCATCCGCATTTGTAACGAATGTCAACACGGACGTTTCAGGCGAAGGTCGTGTGTGATTTTGTTGTCATCTATTGCCACCGACATCGAGAACTATATAAACAACACAAGTTTCGCTTCGTTGAGATCAGGGGGCAGAAACCACGCGCCACAATTAGTGTTAGTGTTTAGCAGATATTTTCTCAAGCCATGTGAAAAAATAGGCTTAACTCCAACTTACTTTTTGTCAATTGTTCTCGATAGTCATAGATAGTCAGACATGAAATTTTGGAATCCTTTCTACTTGACTCGCGCTAAGAACTGGGCTGGCAGTCGACTTCACTAGAACAAGCTAGCTCACTTGACTCAATCCATGACTATATCCCATAGCTCTTAAGTTTACGCATAAATTCTTTTTTACTGCTCAAACTACGCAAGTTTTTGCAATTTACTGTAACGATAAAACTTTTAATTTCGAAACGCCTTTTATATAAGCTCTGTTGTAAATACTTTCGGAGCCGCTGAATGCGTTTCCAAACCCGTCAACAACGTTGTACATAAGCCAAGTAAATGGCCTGTAAATACTATTCATCAATAAATAAAGGCTGATTATTATCACTAACTTGTTTTGTTCGGCTATCAAATTATGTGACTACTACGTTCACTAAGGACTGTTTGGTGATTTTTGTTTACTAGCTACGACAGGCCTCTGGCTCGCCTACGGTACGTTATTACACTATGGAAGCGGACATAAAGTAGCTAGACAGTTCTCAGGGCTTTATCTACTACAAAACAAAGCTAACGCACATTATAAATCATCCGACATATATACATACAATTGGCATTATCCTCTGTGCAGCCGTCCGAACGAACTCCGCTTCAACAAACAAAACGTCCATTACACTTCATCTGGTTTCTTTTTAGTCGACCATATGCAATGGTCAGTCAATATCCAGCGGGCGCGGAAACAACAATGTTGTTAATTGTCGTTAAATGTTCATGTTAAAGATTTGTGATTTCCGTAAACAAAAAAACAGCTCGTTTTTAATGCGGCAGTTGACACAGGCGAATATTGATGCGACACTTTTTCGTGCTACAGTATCCCTTGCGCAACCCTAACCTGAGGCTGGGCTCACCTAGTCACTTTGCATTACGGTTACGACATTTATATAGCTACATTTTGAGCATATATGTATATATACATATTTGACCCTCATGAAGTAAGATAGATTCATGCAGAAATCGATCACGCTATGTATTAAACGTATCGATTAACTATTTAATAATAGAAAACCTATTACGATCGCATAGGACATTATTTGTCGATCAAAGGGTTTGAGCCAATTAGCTTCTTATTGCTATTATGAGTGCAAACGGCTATCTGTATCGCTCTTCCACTAGGCTACTGAACGCTTTCGACGTTTTTTTCTCCACTTTCTCTATGTAGCGTCGATTTGCCAGCTACTTTGTCCCGTCTCCGTTTCTACCGTAGCCGTTGCGTAATAGTGCATTACCAAATAGCACCTGTAGCGCAACATCTTCTGGACGTGTTTTCTATGCGATGAGGCTCGTTCTCACTACGATGTTAACGCACGAATACTAGACTCCCCTCTGCATTTATCATGCGATCTAATCATAACACTTATACAAAAGGCAAAAGGATTCGACCTCATGCGGACAACGAAGAACGCCATCAAGACACCGCTCCCGATTGCCCCTGTATCGAATCTGTGTGTGTGTTTGTATGGCATGTTTGTGTTAGGTCTAGCGTTTATAGACGTTTAGTCACTGATGCTTATGTACGAACAGGCGATGAAAGGAAATACAACATCGTCAGCGGACTACCAAGTGCGTTCTGACAGAACAAACAACACGACAGTTTAATGTTGCCGTCATTATGCGAGGAGGTAACAGCGAAACTACTATGGTCAATAGGCGCCAATCTGAAGTAGTTGTTGGTCACCTTGGGGGGTTCTTACCGATCAGAGCGACTGGCACACCATCGAAGCAGAAATGCCCGAAGCCGCCTTCGATGTTGTCAATCGAACTTAAAAAAAAATGCTTATTTCGGTATCCCTCCTAGATATTCTATGCGTACAATATTTTAGCATGCGATGTCAAAAGCAAGAGACAATACATAGAAGGTGTGTAGGTACTTGATATCACCAGCCTGTGCATTGGTGTACAGTTGGCAAAACAGTTCCCGTGCGATTACAAGAGCACCGTTATAGAATCGACTCTGTCGTTACCAACGAAAGTAGCGAAAGGGACGAAAAACAGCCAACCAAACCAGTAGCGATAGTGGCTGGAATATATGACCAGATATAGGAACTGGAAGTGACGCCAAATCATGCGTAGATAATTGGATTTCTGTGTGCGGCAGGCTGTCGCTGTAGATCGCCCCCCTAAGCACTTGAAAGCGGAGAGGCACCATATGTGTACATACGCGACAGGACCTATCGCATTGGCCAGACATGGCGGTCGGCAGATCGACCAGCGGCAAAGCACGAACACGATTGTATTGTCATGACGCAAACGGCACCGATGATATCACCGTACAACGCATATCTGTGGGGCGTCGGATAAAAGTTTCGATATGTGAAGGCTGTACCAACAAGCGCAGCTAACTCGCAAGAATCGATTGCTATACGTTAATAACCTGTTGTCTCGATAGTAGTAACGGCACATACTCACTGCTAGAATAAAGTATTACTAAATAATAAAGTATAAAGAAACTGGTATAAGTGGCAATCAGCTACGTTTATTGTTGAAAAGGATATCACTGTTACCATTGCTATTGTTACGCTCATTTCTGATTCGCAAAATATTAAAGCAAACGTTTCCTGGCGAGCCGTAACCAGTGGGCTTCAATTGAACCAGTGGGCAATTCGAAAGGGCTTTCTTCGTTTCGATACGATTTCATACTTTCGCTGCATTTACTGACTGCGTCCGTCATAACGATATTCAGAAAACGTATTGAGTTACCGTAGATACACGGTCAAAAATGATAGCTAAAAAGAGGCACATATATAGTAATATGGAAACGTTTTGTCTTCTTGTTTTGTTTAAGCGCCCGCCTGATCGCGATGAATCCAGTTATCTTTATTTGTTTCAACGCCTTTGTTATGACCGTTCTGGTTTTCGTTATTGCCGGTGCTGCCGACACTCAACTGAAACGTGAAGGTATTGATAAAAATTAAAGCGATTTGCCACTAGCCACTTGTTCACATGGAAACTCGGGCCTGATGACAAAAAATAGCAGTCGAAGATGCTGACGGACATATATACAACTCGCCAATTTAGGCGGCTTCTCGTATTTAACGTTAGACAACAAGCCACTTGCTAGGAGCGTTCCCTATGACAGAGAATTGAGCATCGTACTATTCTCGAATTCATCATGACAAAAACAAGTAGAAGCGGAGCCCTTGGTCTAACCAGACTTTATCTGAAGTATGACGAACAAGTTTAGGTAGCTGATCAGGCTGTAAACGGGACCACAAACGACGGCCTTGTTTCATTACAGGTGTAGGCGCCTATTTGTGGTGAGCGCTTGTTGAACAGTGGGGTTTGCTTTCGAAGGCGACAGGAACGATTATCAGGTATCGAATGGGCACTATGGAAACGGTAAAATGTTCAGCTTTAGCAGTCTTCTAAAACATCAAGTACTATGTAAGCGGCACATTATACATCTAGTAGAACTGGGTCAACTGTTGCACCAGCTACCTTCGGTGACAAGATGTGAAATAATCTCAAATTTGAGCGCTGCCTGTTATTGACACTGACTGTATTTAAGCGGAAAGTTTCCTATCGCTGAGTTATACGGATGCTCACGCGCAGGCATGGAAGACCTAACACTATGTGTACAGAAGCTCCACTAAACAGATGAAATAACGTTGGAAAAATCAAACATTAAACATACTATCCGCACTCAAACGAAACAGTGCAACGTTCACATAAAGCAATATAGAGTTATAAGTGAATGCCTCGTGTAGTTACATTACATACATATATTTTCACACAAACAGCAGCTGTGGGAATCATTGCCTTTTCGCGCAAACGTTTACGCCTATCTTTTTACTGCAGCGGTCGTCGCTCGTACGCTAAACGCTATCCGGAAGTTCGCTGGTTTTGGTGCTGTAGCGCTGACCAGTGATGGTGCTCACCAGATCAGGTTTGTCTACGACTTGTCTCTTCCGTCGTATTCCATTCTATCCCATTGTGTTCATTAATCGCTTGCGCGGAGTAAAATTAGGTAGTTTCAATCCAGACAACAATAACGAAGAAGTGCTTCTAAAATAGCGCCGCAACGCGAGAGGGAGACCGAATACAAAGTAAAATTACCAAAAAAAACATTTCGGTTTTTAACCTCTTAACAGCCGTAACAACATTAGACAGACGCACAGGCATTATTTAGTCAGTAGAACCGGCACTAGGCGTGCAGAAGATACATAGTGGTACGTACATACATATATACATATCTGTAATAATAGAAGTTGGTGCTGCAACTTCGGTTGATTCCGTCGGAGAAGTGCTCGTAAAACGTTTACCGCGTAATGGTACACTGGTTGAGTACCCACATAACGCGTGGGTGGGAGACACACTAACGACAACATGACTGTCCACTGAAGGCTGATCCTTTTCTTTCTTCCATTCATGACAATTTGTGGAGGTAAATGACCATTCTTCTTTCCTAGCCATAGAAGATGCCATGGTTGCCTTTGCCATATTTGTGAACGTGAACAACTTTGCTGAAATTCAATGTAAGCATATTCTTATTATAGAAATAGAAACTAAAACAAAATACACTATATACTTAGGTTACACTATTTGAAATATACGTTAGTTAGGCAGAACCGACGACATGCACTTGGCGGACATGGGTGAACGCGTGCAGATAACAGCGCCGTTTCATGCACGTTATACATCCTAGGGACAGCATGAAGGAGCAGAGCGTACAGTTGGTTTGTACCACTGTTTCATGTCATTTATCGCGTTGTAACACAAAATAGAACGGTATTGCCTCGGAGCGTTGTCTTATGCGACTGGCTCGCGGTACGAAACGAAGTGCGCTCACGTCCGATTTCGAAATAGGACCAACTTCACTGTCCCGTCAATCAGTAGGCAGTCGTCATTTTACCACTGCTGCACCATCGTGTCGAATCGGCAGTTTAATACAGATAAAATGATTGCGGGTAGTCGAACGTTTTAAACTGACTGGGTTCATCTGTTGAACCAAAAGAGGCAATACATGTGAGTACAGAAATCCTATCGAAAAAGCCTTACAAAGCTGTGATCACCTACTAATTTTACTAATTTCTGTTTACGTTAGTAGAATTTTCCGCAAAACCCACCTGACCAAATACGAAACGACATGGTAGCTAGCAGACGGCGGGCATAAGCTTTGATTATCAAACCTTGACGCCAATATCGTTCTGATGTTAGCTTGAATTTTGTCGCTTTCTGCCTAATGGCTTTGTCGCACGTCGTCAGACAACCTTATTCTCGCTGGGAGGTAATTATCTTTGCCTTGCACCTGTCCATAACGAGCCTTTTCCACAAATAATTTCGTCCTAATTCTAACATTACTCTCGGTTCTCTTCCTGTTTGTTATCACTTTCCGAACGACTGAGCCACTCATTATGTGGCTTCGACTTGAGGAATTTCTTCTGCTTGTTTTTTCTGCGGATCGCTCTCCTTCGAGCGAACGAATCTTCTTCGACGCCGCTAACGTCCTTAACTCGGTGATCATGTGAATTGTGTTGCGCCTCACTATCTTCATCCAGTTGGTGATAATGTTTTTTGCTGTCCTTGTAATGGCTCGGTGCGTCCTTATTGGTCAAATCGTGTCCTTCACTGTCGATCTCTGCCTCGTCATCGTGATAATGATGATGCTCATGAACGACTCTTGTGGATTTGTCATCTTGACTTTTTGGTTTGTACAGGTAATGAGCTTCTTCCTCGTGTGCTGGTACTGCCATTGATGTTTTCCTATAGGAAGTGACATCTTCGCTAACGACTTTGCACTCGATCTGGGCGTCAATGGACATTGTACGGCTACTAGATCCTTCTGGTGGATAAACAGCTTTGTGATATGAGGACTTGCTGTAGAATGGCTGATACGCATGTGTCGATTGGAAGATTGTGTGAGAAGGCCGAAAATAATGGTAGGGCGAGTAAGCCGAAAGCCACGAAGCGTATTGAGGCCGACGTCGATGCTCAAATGAGTATCGCAGAGCTTTGCGCAGATGTCGGAGCAGCGGCGAAGGGTGAGGCCGTGCTCGGTCTAAGTATGAATGCTCGAAGGTTCTGTAGTACGTAGTAGAGGGACTAGAAAGGACGTTAGCGACACGGGAAAAGGGAAGGACAAATGGACAAGATAGCAATTAGGACAGCAAATAGCAGCACATTACAATAACAGTAACATTATTCACAACAACATTAACAGACAAACAGATACATAACATATAGATAAGCACACAGCACAAGTGAATCTGTAGATACCAATAGGACCCTGTTAGACCTCCAGTACAAAAAAAAAACATTACAAAAGACACACAGAGAGATACGACAGAGGAAGCAATGGGGACTTAGGACCCTTCAAGGTCGATGCGCAAAATGTGTAACGTATCCTCGAAATTACTTCTTATCAATTAAGGCAAAGCTTCAAAAGAATCTTAATTAAGTACAAATATGGGTTATCCTGACTATGCGTAGAACATCAGACGTTCGTCGGTTCATTTAGACAAATCTGACTGCTTGAAAGGCTTCGAAAAACAGAAAAACAAACGAGTGATTACCATTTGGCAGCACATTACTTCAGTGAGCTCTCTGCGGGAATAAGCTACTTTTTACAAAAATAGCCGAAAGCATTTCGAAGTAAAAATTCAATGAAGACTATACGACTAATTTGATATTCATACTTGTCCTCCTATAAAAACAATATCTTTGGTGGTAATGGTCCCTACTTGATTTTTTCACATTGTGTTTATTTCTATAGAAAATCAATTAGGATGCGCTCTCACTTAAAAATACAACTCTTAAACATCAAATTGCTTATGTGGTGTATGCAGTACATAGATCCCGTCGTGTGTCATGCCTGCGTTTCTCTTGTAATCATTTACCGGTTTAAGTACGTTTAGGTACTGACCTTATTTGTGCTATGCTAAGCTAAGCTAAGCTTGATTAAATCAATCTTAAAAAAGTAAATTCATATTAGGTAAGGCTGTTCAATTGTAAACATTGTTTTAGACAATATAAATTAATGCAGGAGCTATATGAATGGTAGATAGAAATCTCTAGCTACCGTTCGTCCGATCAATCGTTTACCCATATAGAATATACCTATGCGAGTCAGTAGTGAACGCGGCACCATCTATATACGGTATATGACATCATACAGGTCTACAACACAATTTCCGCGCATCTCTAATATTATACTCAGAGAAATACTCACAGATTATATTCACGGTCACGGTGAGCTCCTGTAACTGCGCCGGCGACTACCCCGCCGGCAAGACCCGCTCCCGCACCAGCAACTACGGGTAGGGCAATACCCGCTATCACTTTATGCACTATTTTCGCCTCGGCAATTTCAACTTGAGACCAGATCACAGCCATTATCACCGCAAATAACACTGACATTTGAAAAAAATTACGCATGTCTGCAAAACAGATCGTAACAACAACAACAACGAGAGCAACAATATCAAATATTAACTACTGCCTTAACCGAAGTATCACTAAATGATTGTATTCCATAGGAATCTATATTTAAAAAGTTTCCACCGTTATTAATCACACGATGCATTTCGACGTGTCGAAGCTACCTTCGGGTCCAGAGAAAAATAGTGGATTACGACGAAATAAAAAGTTACATTGAATGAGCTACGGCGCGACCCGGGTCTGTGGTCGCCTGTTGAGCGAGGGTAACGTGAACACTGACGCGAAAGGCAACGTCTGGGAAAGTGAGTCCGATATCAATTGATCTTTAGCATTACCTTGGAGAGAAAACAGCTGTACCAAAAGACCAATATGTCATAAAGGAAACGCTTTCGTCACGTAGTATCAACAATGTGTACCTCCCACAATGTCGTCCTACTTTGACGGCTAACGGAATCCAACTATCCTAGTTACGAGGTCGGCTGATGCTTGTACACTTCTTTGATCAACAAAATTCTGTACGAAGCTTTATTAAATCTGTACTGATACCTCATGGTGTAAGTTGCGAGTTCAATACCAGATCGCATGGGTAACTGCATAGCGGGACCGTTTAGTGAACCGAGAGAAGATTTACCCGTAGCTGGTTGCCGTTCGGTAGGGTCAATCTTCGATTCATATGGTTCTGCTAGTCGTGAAAAGTCTATCGACTATAGCTATTGCGCATGAAGATCAATCGTCACTCGAAATGATCTCTATGAAATTAGCTCTCGGAGATAGAGTATCAACAACGTTGGCACTTAACACTCACACTGAAATCCATACATAGACCAATCATGAATATGTAAAAGTGGGTTGTTTTTAGGTTTTAGAAATTAATTTTTTTAATGCAGATAGAGCGGGTGCCGAGTAAAGCTTCCACTGGCGAGAACGTTAGAGTCTGTAAAAGAACACGCTTAATAGTACTACTCTTGATTACGACTCAATTAATTTATATGCGAGTTCTGACGTACGGCCTAGCTGAAAAGCCTTGGTGAAAATCTTAGATAAAAGGCGTGCTCCAGAAAACAGGAACCCAATAAAAGTCGACTGCGTGTAGATAAGTAAGCAAAATACATTGCGATAGGTGAGCATGCCTAATACTAACATAAAAAGAAAGCCCAATATTAGGCGTGGTAAAAGGTCTAACATAAATTAATTCGAAATTGGGCCAAAATGACTTCGGGACAATCTGAGCCTCAGGATTAAATGTCGCCAGGATATCATGTCCTGAGCAATCTTCCGGATGACCGCTGTCATTAGAAGTCCGCCACCCACGAAAAGAACAGCTGACATTTAGCAGATAGCTGTTAGATCATCGTCATCTATCATTACACAATATTGATAATAGCGATTGATAGGAACTGTCTGTTCATTGTACCCGCTAGAAAGATTAGTATGACAAACTTCATAGATAAAGACAAACTTTTGGCATATAAGAGAAGCGTTCAGGCTCTATGCGATTATTTATTGTTGGGCTATTTGTTGCGGGTGGTGCAGTCGCAATCTACTCTTTAAACCGATATGCGATGCTCTATAGATAAAGCTAATTTTCATTGACGCTCCGACACATTTTTAATGAGTCGTATGCATGTGAGCTGAATTCTTTAGGAACATGGTCCAGCTTCGTAGTCCTTCTACAATACAGCAGTTCTTAACAGCTGGAGCTTCTAGGAGAAGTTGGCATCCGTCAACAAAATTCTGACACCGTACAAGTTTACTTAACCAAAATTGATCAAAGCATCAGCTAAAGTAGGAGCGGCTGTAGCGGATGATAGGAACGAACGAGTGTGAGTGCATACTACTGAATGTACTTAGCTTCGTGTCTATTCAGACGGGTGGAAGCGTATGTTGTGTAGGGTAAAAGACCACTGGCTTGGCCTCGCCCTTCGGTCACGACCTAGGACAAGGGATTTGGCAGTAGCGGCGGACGAAGAAGAAGCAACCCCGCTTATTAACAGCTCACGGTGGTTCGGCTTTTGATGTTTTCGTCATCGTGTTCAGTACAGGGATCACTCGAGAGCCGGTCAGTGCTCTATGAATGAAGTCGGCCATCTAACGGCAGCGGAACAAGCTACCATAGGCAGACAATATGTCTCTATTTCACTCAACAGTGAGTTCCTTCATGGTTTATGGTTCTTCCTTTAATGTCGTATGTTTGATAGAGTCGGTGTTTATTATTTTAGGTACTAAAATTAAGTAGGTGCACGCTCAGTATTATCTATCCATGCTACAAATAAGCAGGAGTTTTAAAAATAAGACGGTTCCTATTAAATGTGCAGTGAATCTTCCCGTGTTGTTAAATGGGTGATATTTATAAATAAATAAAAGGTGATATTTATGTGATCGACTCGGGTCTATTTTGTGGGAGTCATTGTTATTTTTCTAGTTAGTGATTGTTGAAAGAAAGACTCAATAAAAAAAACAAGTAAAGGTTTGCTGTGTTCGGTTGAGCTGGTGCTGAAATGTGTAAAAGTAACTTACAATCTTATAGTGAATTCATTGAGCTTCTTGATGTTCACATCAAGAAGTCATGGGTGCTTCTGTTTAGTCATTTCTATACGTTAGTTAACTTCTCCAGTCGCGTTGTCTAGACAAATGCGGACCCATTTATCGTTTGAAGTCAGGAAGTAGACGATACAGTTTCTTGATACAATAGGCTCTTCAGATCCCTTACATCAAGAGTGACCTATCGTATTCTATTATCATTTATAATTATATATTTTTTTTATTTTCATTACTTTTTTTTTCAATTTAATTTTACATATTGTCTAGTCGTACATGTCAATAAAGGGTGAACCATATTGAAACAGGTCCTGGTGTATAGTACGTTTTCAAAATGTAATTATAACAGATAGACATATTACCGACAGAATAACAATAGCCAAGCAGGCCCACCTGACTTATTTCCTCTGCGTAAATTTATAATTAATAGTCAAGAACTAATTAGGGACTTTGTTAAAGAGTCGTCACTGAATCTATCGCATAGCCCATAACCCATAGCTGCTGATGTGTGTCGTGTTTACTAAGGACATTTTTTTGCTACATTTCAGAGAGTTATTCGTATAATTGCCGTATCCTGTCTTGTCGCCATGATTCTATTGTCTCGAGCTGTATCGGATCAGGCCCAGCCTTCGAGAACGTTTCAAATGTTAGACGTGCCTGCTATTGATTACTAGTCACAGATCCATGCAATTCGACATTAAAAATGTCCTCTCAATTCAGCAATAAATAAATGTCCCACTTTAAGATTGAGTATCGCTTAATAATGTTACATACAAGTAATTACAGTAATAGCTATCAGCCTAAACAATTTACGATCGTTCGCTGACAGACTCTGATATCGATAGTAGGCCCGATCTATGCGGAAATTCTTCTTGTTCCATGTAAGAGGGGCCTGTGCCCGGACACTGACATATGGCTTAAAATAATGTGACTAAATTATATTTTCTTATTTCAACGCATTATAAAATGAAGTTTATATTGATAGGAACGAACATCACAATCTTTACTATTGCAAATCGGTTGTTTAAAATCTTAGCGAGAGAAGAAATTTTATATGTGGGTTGTTGTGTTCCGATACTATTCAATTTCTGATGGAAGAACGCTCAACAGTTTTAACCGTCATTGAAGACACCGTATATTGATGCGCGCAGACATTCGGAATTAGTACTATTTGGCCATACTCAATATCAAGTCCATTACCAAGTTTTATTTTATCGTTCTTCTGAGGATTTATATATCTAGTTGTTTCAATCGACCAACTGCACGAGCGCACGGATACATGTACGTTATCTTGTACGAAAATCATCATTGTATAAACTTCATCAGCTAACTACAGGGTCTATAGCAATAATACGAGTTCTCTAATGTTCCTGACGGACCGGTCAGGTTGTCTCTAGGACGATAATGTATGCAGTTGACTTCCCAGGAATCATAGGACGATGCATGTAACTAATATTAGAGTCACTTATGGCACAAATTGTCCGTCATATTTCGATCCGCTCTTGATCCGTCCATGACGCATTGGGCCCTCGACCTCTATTGGCCCCCTGGCGCCCGCGCAAATGGTTCGACATATTTAGGCCGAGCTCACTAGCGACCTGGGCTTGAGAACGAGATCCAAACAGGCGCGGAAGAACTAATTATCGTATTTTCGTTAGCCAGTCGTGGGTTAGCGATAATTCTCACGTAGGCAGCGTCACGAAATCTCTACAATTATATGCAAAATGCCACTGCCGGCCTTGTTTAATTAGCCACCCGTTTTCGTGCACGATCTAAGTGGTGACGACAAATGAACGTATGGTAAGTAGAAAAATGATCGAATGACGTTCATTTGACGGCTACTGTCAAACGACAGTGGTTCGACATATTGACCGAGCATATCTGCAAAGCTCAAAGATACTGAGGTAGCTTTCTATCGAGCTCGTTGTTGGTGGATACTGGAACTGTTGACGAATAAATAAAAATATATATATAAAACTGTAATCAATTTCTGTTGTGCGATTGTGGCTAGTATGTGACTATTAGGATCAAGCTTTGCCCCTTGCTTTTCTGTCTTGCCTTTAAAAGAATGACGCGTAAATTCCGTGTACGAATACCAAGCATCAATTCTTAGTATCTGCCACAGAGTGTAGTGCCGACGTTTTGTAACTGCGGTGGTGCCCACTGACAACACAGGTTTCTTCGCACCTCATAACACAGCTGTACAAGCTTCGCATACTTCACATATAGAGCGAGAATATATTGATACTTTGACTTATATCGTCAAGAAGAATTCTGTTAACTGAATATACGACTTGATAATTTTCAGTTGAAGCCGTATGTAGAAATAGTTAGATAGATAAGCGCTTCAAGCTTAACGATTGGTTTGCTACGGTAATTTCTGAACTTTGAAACATGTACATCTTCCTTCAGACTGAATTGATTAGATTGATTAATTTGTTAATTAATTGCCTTACTGTTCTACTTACGGCAGGCCCGCTCTGCTGGTAGGACGCTCTCATATTTTGTATTAAATGCAATCAATTTCATCTCACAACGGCTGTGTGTAGGGGTATATGACTAGAATCCAACTGTATGCTGTTATTAGGCTATTCAGTTCTTCTGTTAAATGAGACGCCACTTACAGGTCCGTGATCGTTAGACGCTGCGCTTTATTGACGATCTCCTCTTATAAACTTTTCAAGCCGTCGGTAGGAATGGATAATTGAGGTGGGGAGCGTTCTAAGCAAACTCAAGTCCGCGCTCATGACACGAATGACCTAAGTGGTCACCGGCGCTCGATCAATAGTTACAGCACAAGGACCCTAGACAATTGCAACCATCTCTAAACTGACTTCAGCGCTTAATGAGTGATGTCTTAACGTCTGCGAGCACTTGAGGTGGGACCTGAGACAAACGTAGCAGCACTTCATTTCTGTGGCTTTGCTGCCGGCCTCTAGTGAGACAGGACAGAATACGTTTAGCGGCAAGACGTAATCGGTGCATTTCAGTTAGAAGAGTGTTATTGATTACTGAATTGACAAAAGGTTAAATATTTTTCCAGTTTTACGCTAACGTGATTTTGTTATATTGTTCCCGTCTTGCGAGGACTGTTTAATGAGAACATCACATACATATTTAAAAGTTAAAAACGTACTGATTCTTGAGATTTAAAGTAAGATCCGATTTGGTTTGCGGTGTGAAGTGCTTCTGTGTAAGGTAGCTACACCCTTACTTCCGGCTCATAGCTGGCTCCGTTGACTTTCCGAGTGGTTTCATAACTAGTTCTATAGAAACGCCCTACGACAGCCTTTTACACTACGTATCTCTTCTTATCTGAATTCAAGGTAAAATTGTGCGTTAACAAGACAAAGGTAACTGCATTTGTGTATTGTACGCTAAAAAGCTTGTTATTATTTAGCATTTTGACGATTTCCACGTTACAGTGATCGTATCTAATATTCCTTGTGTATATTTTAAAAACACCTGGAAACGCCGCAGACGCTGTCTGACTTTATCAGAACATAGATGTCATACGCTGGGATAATATATGAAAATACGTTTTTCGATTCAAGCCCTATACTTATAAGTAGTTAGCTCTTTTGTTCATTTTCATCATGTTATTAGGTATTCTAGTTCAGCTCTTTGCTAACTCCAAAGTAATTTCAGTAAAAGGCATAGGCTCTCACAATATTTATCTGGGACTAAATAATTTGCGCAGATCAATATAGTGAGCTCGTGGAATTCTATTTTAGACTAATTTATATATTTAGAAGCGTACATATGATATTAAATTATAATTATTGGCCAGATGTTGACGATGCTTGCCATCCTCTGTTAGGTACCCACAGGATAATCCCCACTTTAAGCACGTTTCAGATAGCAAAAAAAAAGTTTAACTCCACTAAATTTTAGCTCTCCGATTTTATTTGGCCCCTCTTTAAAAGACTAGCAGCATCATTTTGAAGTTAACGCTTGTTTGAACTAAACGACGTAACCCTAGCGTCTGATGGAGCCACCTGATCGCAGATGCCGCCAGTCGTTCCGACTCTGTATTGAACCCGTTGAGTCTGCTTTTAAGCATGTACGATGCCATTTTCAGTTTTTGTTCTGTGTTATTTTGTTATGTATGGATAGTATCAGCGACCTTCTGATCAACAAATATTCAGCTGCGATCTTAAGTTAAGCTTGTCACGCTAGCATGTCGGGTTTAAAGGTGGCAATGTTCTTGGGAAGCGTACGAGAAGGCAGAATGGCTGACCGGGTAGCCAAAGTCGTGCAACAGTCGTTAGAGAAAAGGGAAATGCTCGTACAAATCTTCGGTAAGTATACAGACATAAAAGCAGCGAAGGTATTATGTCGTTTGCTTCGGCTATCGCGCACGTAACATCGTGCCCACATAAGCAACAAAGGATGGTCCTGAATATTATTTTATTGCACCTAATATCTGTACAATCTCATTATGTACCTATAGAGGTGTTTAGGCATGATTCTTAATGTTATAACTATGAGTCTATATATATATATATATATATATATATATATATATATATATATATATATATAAAAATTTCTTGTATGTCTCTTTCTGTAAGATCCTCTAGAGCGTGAAGAATATCACATTCTGCGTAAGCCAATACATTTTTACTCTTTGAATGAAGAAGTACCTGAATATCTTGTGGAGGATAATCAAACGCTGTTAGATTGTGACGCCTACATTATCGTCTGCCCTGAATATAATAGGTAAGAGTATACATTGATTTTACTCTACGAGACGTATGTACGAGAGACGATTGGGGAGTAGGATTTATCTATTGTGCTGATGTTTCTGTAAACCAATACAATTTTCGAAATTAGTACTTCAAGGTAATTGCTAGTTTTGGCCATGAACAATTAATCGGTCAATATAATCTGATCTTGTAGCTGCTATCGTTGTGAGTGCGCTATTATGAGCACAAAAATGGAGCCGAACTATCGTTATCAACATTTATCACTTGATAATAACGTAACCCATGCGTTTTCATTGAAGAAGTGTTGCCTTCTTTTTGCTCACTTATAAGAGCAGTATATCGAAAAAGAGTTTCAGCATTTAATACTGAATATCGAAGTGCAGAACTAGCTATCGTCTATACGAATATGGCAATATTACCCTTACAAACTTGGGTAATGTTTTTTAATCAGTTGACGAACTCTGATTCGTTATCGTTGCGACATATTCATGATATTAGATCGAAAATATAGCCCAAGATTACTCTGTGTAGTTTAAGTTGTATCAGCCAATTAGCAGTACCTATTTGTTATGGAGTTCTGAAAAAGTCAAAATTATTCCTAATCTCTTTGATTATGTAGGTGCATTCCAGGAGCCTTAAGCAACATGCTCAATCACTTTCCTCCTGCTACGTTTGCTGCTAAACCTGTAGGCGTTGTAGGTTACTCAATGGGTCGGCTTGGAGGTGCTAATGTTACCGTTCAGCTAAGAGATTACCTGAACGAACTCGCCATGATCTGTTTACCAATTATGGTAAGGCAACCTCTTACCGCCTCATTGAGCTACTGGAAAGAGTATATACACACATATAGGTGTATACAGAAGCAGCTTTTTCGCATCAGCCCCTTTAAACTTGTAACAATTGAACACCAGACCGCTAAGAAGGTCATGTAGCACGGTTGCCACCTACAGCGAACGACGTTAAGCAGTTAAATGGAGAACGCTTTTTATACCCTGAAAGCCCATCGTCTAATAGATTATAGAGCTTATGCAGTAAATGTTTGGCCATCGCCGAAAAATTTCAAGTACGTTCATTATACCATGTGCTGTTACAGCGTAGTGTGAGATAATTCGTCACGGGTTTACTCTCTTTTGTCTAATCCTAAAAAAATGTGAGGACTACTTATAATCAATAGGCCGTGCAGTTTGCAAACATTTAACGTTTATAATAGTATTCAATGATTCTAGCCCAGGAGTGGTACCGCTGCCTTGTGTCGTATTTACGCTGCATAAAGAAAAACACTTATTCAAGTACGGTAGTAGAGCTCTATATTACGATAGTTGACTCATGATAACTTCTACATTGATAACTACCCTAGTAAAACACTATTTCATGGCAAGACAGCATAGTCGTGACCTAAGCCTTAGTAGCTACGGTAGCTTTTCAAAAGTTAAGCAAAGCTTGTTATTCTAATAGGTTAATTGAAATGAATAATATCCGATCTTTAAACATACGTTTCACAGGTAAACATTCCGTTTGTATCGGAGGCTATTTCAGTGGAAGGAGACATATTAGACCCCCGCCTAGAACCTTTACTCAGTAACATGCTCAATCAGCTCGTGTGGTACTCCTACGCCATGAAAAAAATAAAGGAAGAGCATGGCCAAATGCCCCTTTGAGCAAAACGTAACAACGGCAAGCTACGACCCGCTGTCTATACCTAGACGAGCGTTCTTTCTGATCGAACAAACCGTCGAAACTTTTTGAAGCAATCAACACAGTATACTGATAATATATCTTACCGTATCTTTATTTTTGAAAAACTAGAATCTCACTCTTCCATGAAATGAAAGCCATCACTTTTCCATCATAGTAAACCATTGTCGGCAATCGTTTTCACAAATGAACATCTCTTAAATGGACGGTGACGGAATTTTTACACACTCTTACTTTCAACTACCAATCACATATTAGCTTAAATTATACTGGAGAAAAGGTCAGGAGGGAAGGAGAAGACCTGAGCCCCTTCGACTAGTCCTACTAAAGTGTCTACAGCGTAACGGCTGGTTGCCTTTAGCTCCGTTTGTCCTAAAACAGGTGGTAATTTCACTCGATGACGTTAGTACAGACTTCGCATAAATCGCGACACACGATACGATTTCTCAGGAACTGAACAAACAACTGGAACTTATCGACACTTCGTAATTTTAGGCGTTCCCAAAAAGCGCCGAATTTAAGTTATTCTGGGGGTTCTTGGTTCTATGGGAACTAGACATTCATAAGTGTTACAGCGACATTAAAGATCACAGCTCTGGCAAATTATACTATGTTGAAATGATAGCTATCCCGAATGCGACTCGTATCTTAACATTGATCATGACAATAAACTTGAATTAAGCTATGCGAAATATTAATAATTCGTTTTAATTATTCGTTCAGTCTTCGCTTAAGTATTATAATAATTGCATGCTTAATTACTAGAATTTTTATATACACCCAATAGCTGATTGTAGGCGTTATTCGAAAATGCGTGTAGTAAGAGAAATTGATCGTTTATAACTATTTCTAATCTTTAGCGAGAGGAGAGGAGATCTCTTCTCGGTGACAGATTCGATTCTTGCAAGAATCTGTAGCTTTTCACGACATCTGATACTTTTAATCGACTTTTATCTGCTACTAAAGCCGTTAAAGCCTGAGGGCAATTTGCTGAAATACGTAAAGAATTTCTAAGTACTGCCAACACTAACCGATGCCTTCTTTCAAAAATGTCAAGATGTTTTTGCTTTTGTTTTGTTAAGATCTACATTTAATACGATATCTCGAAGAACTTTTCTCCCTCTCGAGGGAGCACTATGCACATATACTTCCATCTATCAAACCGAATTATTTAGAGCAAATTACCCTTCATTTGTTTCGTTTCAACGATACTTTCGATAACTCGCCACTTAACATATGCAGTAGACGCGAGTGAAGTGACTGGAAATTACGAGTCTGTAGTTGGCTGTATACAAGTGTCCCATGGGTTTTCGGTCCTAAGCTTCATAAACGAGTCGATCATTTCTATGAACGAGCTCATAGTTTATGGTACACAGGAGCGAAAAGGTATGACAGACGCAGATACCTCATTTTTTTGAAGTGCCATGTTTAGCCGAAGCGAAAATTCATTTTGCAGGTTTGGTAGCTTTCGATGGCTCGGGCTCGTTTCTGCTTGTCAGCGAAATAGTAGCACGGTCCACATTTTTTTTTTTTTTTTTCTACTACAACAATGGAAATCTATCTATAATAAATATTGTTTTTCCACTGTTGCTAGCATGCAACATGGTAAGTTGAACATAATCGTTGCGTTTTAGTTCGGTTTAATAAATAATGATTAGAAGGGGAGGAGGGGCAAAGAGGACGTGGTTATAGCAATCTTGCAGTTTATTTACTCATTTCAAATGGGATCATATCAGAAGTTGATCAGTTTGATTTCTGCCTACCCTAGGTAATTTTAATAACTAGCATTCCTTAATTGCATTTTATTTTATTCCTTATCTACATATGTATACATAGATATTTTCATAGTCTAATCTCTTCTTATCAATTTTTGTCCAAAAAAATTCGGTTTATTAATAATAATAACTAACCAACAGTAGTAATCAGTTTCATCCAAAATAAGCCTTATTGTTTTTCAGATACCGTCAAAATCTTAATTTTCTACATCTGGTTATCTGTTTAGATATTAATTGGTCACCTTCATAGGGTACTATTTCTATAATGTGATGCACTTTCATATATGATTTTTATCCGTTTTCTCCGTTTTATCCGTTTGTGAAATTAGCAAAAATATTTCAGAAAAAAATAATTTTTTTGGGCTGAATGTACTCGCAAAATACGCACAGAATTTAAACGTTCGTCTATGTAGTTCTTTTAATAATGTGTTTTTTTCTGTGTTTTTTATTGGAACAACTGCCGCATGCTTCGTTCGGTCGATAATAGGGATCATGTATGGATATGCGAATTATCACTCCTATAACATTCGTTTGTAACGTTCGGTTTTAGTATGCAATACTGTACCTTCGAGCTCGTTAATTATTTACATTTTCTATTTCAGCATGTCTGCCGATGATCCAGTTACAGAAATAGAACATAGAGACATGTCTTCAATTCTTCATTTAGACATATAATTATAAAATAAATCTCAGTATCTCGAGTATGAGGAATTCGCAGTAGGAATTCGAGTAAAATTAACTGTACGGCAAAAAAAAAACTTAAATTATACTTGGTTATATGGGCTATTTCCGACCAGCAACATATATGGGCAGCTTCCGACCAAGATCGCCGTTAAGTCAATTACGGCCACCACGCCAATGAAAAATAAGGCTACAAAATAATAGAGAATTATACAATACGGTACGCTTTTGTATTATTTTATACAGTATACATAGTAGAACTGCGTGTACCTGGATCAAGGAAACAAGATTAGGCTTACAGTTAACAGCAGGATATAAAAAGGTTCACATGGCCGCTCAGCTGTACCACATGTAGTTGTCTGCCGATGCTGATACACCTTGCGGCGTCAACGTATCTATATTGAATCTTTCGAAAGGAATCCATTTAAAAGAGCTTCATAAGAAGAATACCCATTTATAGTTGCTACCTAAGAAGATAGATAATCCGTAAATATTGTATCTCTGAGCGCCGATCTGCCCGACAAGATCGAACTTATTTATTATAGTACCTTAAATGCTAGGCAGGAGTGCGGGTCACCTTCCACTCGAGCCTGCTTTTTCCAAAGTTGTACGCCTACTCCTGAGTCTACCTTTCACATAATATTAAATTGGGAACAGTCCAAGCGTTTATGCAATATAGCAAATACCTTCCCATTTTCCTTCGCCTCACAACGTTCAGAACGACTAAAACGACCCCCGTCCAATTTAAGATACAGTGAACTTTTGCTTTTTGTAAACTTAGCATTTCGTTATAGAGCTACAATATGCTTATATGCATTATACGACGCACCTACGCGGTTTACAGTATTCGTACCGGAACAGTGTCGGCACCACTACTCATATGTTATCTATTCTGTTCGGTTATAGCCATTCCATAGGTAAAATTCTTCATTTGATTTAAGTTGCCAGCGCAAACGCCGTCTGACTGCCGCCTGACTCCATTGCCGATGCGGTTTGTATCTACGATAAAAATTCAATATGGCGACAACAACAGAACAGCAAAAATGTATATAGGTCGAATGCCCTTGCTTCAATACTGAAATATCGCTACTATTTGTGAAACGGGAGAAATAATTATTAATAATAAATATTAAACCCACATTGCCTACAAACAATGACAGCGCCATCTGGTGGTCGATATGGCTATTTATAAAATGGTCATATTTTTTTTGTTACGTTTTTGATTGATCGATATCGACTATATGTGTCCATATTGAAAATAGAAGGTATACTAGATGTCTATGTTTGAGTATTCGATGTTTGACGTACGATTAGTAGGTAGATAGTAACCGGTGGATGTTGGTTCCAACCATTACTTTGTCCTGCAACGAGTATAAGCACACATTTAAGTAACGATGACGTTTAACCTATTGTATTTTTAGCATCATCACGATCCTACAGTGCCTGTAATATCGCTTATGACTTAAATTAGGGTCAATTGTGGCTGGGTAATGGATACACATACTGTAAATTAATGTACGCACATCTACTTCTGTTTACAGAGGTCAACTTCGGAGTTAATCGAGTACAATGAAATCGATTGATGTGTGCTATGAACTTCATCATATAAACTCGATGAGGTGTCTATACCTAGTGATGTCAAATTGTTTTTTTTCCATGTTGGAATATGCTTTCTATATTTTTGACGTTTACCATATGCTTCCGGTAATCAGGCATCAAAGGTCCTTGCTTCTGCAATGCGTTCAGCTAATGACAAGTGTGTTATTCGCTGACCATTATATGGGAAGTGGATTAAATTTTATATATCATCCCTGAAAAAGAAAGCTTCACGTATCGTATTGTCGAGCATCACAATATTTTCAGCATTTAGGAAAGATTGCTACGTTTCCAGAAGGCAGTAGTTGAAGATGACAATGGAGTCATTTAGCCGAGTGCTAGAATAGGTCGTAAGCCGACCCCATTAAGCACTCCTTGCACCTTTCCTTTTCCCAAGTTCTTGTTTTCTGATTTGCTGGTGTATCGTGAAGTCGCGATAGGCTTCACCATTGACGGCAAGCAATTTGCTTGAATTCAGTCGATGCATGACTTCGTTACAAACGTGAAGGCGGCTTTTGTTACAATAACATTGAGTAATAAAAATAATTGTGTAACTCCGGTATTGTAAATATCTGGCTAATAATATACGGCTTGTAGACGCTGCCGATCCAATCAAGCATTAATGAGACGGATACAAAGCTCAACCCAACAATGGTAAATTTCAATGCGAGCAGAAGTGTAACTAACGACAACTCTATTAACCTCGGAAGTCGAAAAAGATGGGCTTGAAAATGGTGGACCAAGAAGGCATCGAGGATATGATGAGGACAGGCCTACAGACCAATAATTGACAGCAAATATTAATTAAGTTAAAAACTTAAGACAGCAAATTAAAGATGTATACTTCCGTTCCACGTTAGTGTGTATAGATAGACCTTTTGTTGGATTGTGCTTCACCATGTCAACCGACAGAAGGTAGCGGATTAACTATAGGCTAGTAAAACCAGAAGCGAACTCTTGTGATATGAGTCTTCGATTGATACGGACCCCTCATTTAACATATCAGTCGGATGGCTAAAATAAATAAAAGCAGGATCGTCATTTAAAAAATTCGTTCGCTTCATCAATGAAAAATGTATTGAGAACACTTTGGCTACTTAACTTTACTTGTTGCGCGCAAATGATCTGCTATTTGGATAGCCTAAGTTGAAAACTTTTTTTTTCGAAATACATGATCAAGCCCTCTGTCGAATTCAAACGTCACAAAAAACTATTTTTCTAAGTATTTGGCCGCTACGTACGACAAAGGCCTATTGCATAAATCATTAAAATTTAAAAATCTACCGAATTAAATCCAGTTTGCAAAAAAAAAATACGAATATACTTCTTGTCAATTTCTTATGTATCTAGCTATCCATTTGCAGTACGAGGTTAATAAGCTGTGTGTCTAAAACACTGATTGCTTTTCTGCCCTACCATAACGGTATTCTTTTTTCTAGAAGCCCTGTTGTTGTCCGCTAACGTGCCGCCCTCGACTGACAGAGCTGATGAAGCCCCCATTTTGAAGATAAAAGCGTTGTCTTTTTTCAAACTTCATCAACGAAACTTAGTGAGTGATGATACAGTATTGAACAAAACACTCTTACCACACCCGCACAGGATAAGGAACAAAACACCCGAATATTAAAAGTTACTGACCGAACAAGCTTTAATTTGCCTTAAATAACTATCATTTACGCAAATGCCACAATCATCTGAACAGCAGTGTGTGTAACTTTCGCTTTTCTAGGTAAATGAACACGCTTAAAGGGTAATTGCTTTTACTTTTATGGGCAGTTTGCTACATGGGCGCAGATGGTAAACACTTTACAAGTAAAACGTGTATCGTAATGATACTTCGTCTTTCCAGGAGAGATTCGAACACCGGCTGCATTGAAGTGTCAGTAACATAGCAGATCGCTATATTTCGAAAATAGCGATTTCTCCAGCGGAAACGGTTGGTGGCGATTTCTCCTGCTGAAATAAGGGACGAGCTAATACATAGCAAGCCCGCACTAATAACAAGCTCCGCCTTGGCTTCAACGTCGTTCCGTAGTCACACCAAATGAAGTTGCCTGCTAGACATGACAGCAGTCGAGAAATTATTGAAAATCCTTGTGGGTAACGCCGATGGCAGCGGCTGAAGCGTTAGCAATAATAACGGCAACGTCAAATGATAGGAAAACTCTGATGAGAGAAGGGGTGACTAAGATAGAACGCAAGCCATTTCGCAACGACGAAGCGCCCGAACGAGGTGGGCGTTTCTGAAATCTGGTTCACCACTGAAGCTCAATGGTGTTAAATATTGCAGAGTGTCGTTGGTGCTGCTACCGCCATTGCGGCCGATGAGTTCTGAACGTAACTGTGTCTGTATGTATATATGTATTGGATTGTAACGTCTATGTATTGAGACGCGTGACCATTGTTCGCTGCGATTATGCATCACGCGCGTAAACATCACGAACTTCCTCGCCCTTCTGGACGCTGAACGAACGTATTCCGGAATAACATTGAAGACCCAGACGCTCCCTTATGCGTTTGGTGAGGGTAAGGGCTGGAGGAAACGTGGCGTCTCCCTATGCGACTGTATGTGTGCCGCACTGCAAACTACGGAAAAATGCGCTCTTTCGTTGACTGATGAAGAATAGTCAGCAACATGTAAAAAGTCTCCCATTGCATCTCACGGCATCACAACGAGTTCTTCAAACTGATGAGAAGGAGAGTGGGGCGCGTTATGTGAAAACACTTTGCTGGAAGAAGCAGGAGATTGCTTATGCTTTCTTTGGAAGATGAAAATGAACAACACTAAAAAAGACGAAGGGTTTGCTGCGTAGGGAGGTGGACCACCGCTGCCTTTGCTGGCGCCAGGTGTCCCTACGTTTGTCGCTCATATATAACGCGCGTCAAAGGGTCGTCGGGGTCACAATTGTTGTCCCTGGCTGCGAATATACCTCATTCCCAAACCGCCAGACGAGCGAAAGCTGAAATCACGAGAGCGCACGTTCTTGCAGGCTCAGTTAAAGCTGCGTCTGTGACAGACGGCAGCATCGGGGTGCTGGTTACAATGGCAAGTGTGGTGAGTGAGGTGCAATCACTGCAACTGGAGTGCTACTATACAATGAAGTTACGTGCCTGAATCATTGTTGAGAATGTGATGTTTGTGCCCCCGCTGTGTACTCTTGCCCTAAGGATATTAAACCTTTGTTCACTTAGGCTGCTAGCTACATCCATCGGGGTTGTTGGTTTTTTTTTGCTTCTGTAACATATCGAACGAGAGGCGGAAGCCATAACGTTTACAGCGTGATTCAAATGAAATATCTTTAGATATCCCATCCTTAATCAGAAAACGAATTGACAAAACATGCCCATGCTTTTGCCTAGGACGTCCTTTGCCTAAGAAATCGCACAACCTTACATATCTAATATTGCTCATCCAGTGGTTTGCTAATAGCTATAATTGCTATGTTATTTCACAAGCAACAACCTTTCGTGTAGCTTCCGTGCGCGCTATTTTTTTATCTACTCCATTCAGTAATCTTCACCTTATGGTCTGCCTCAGACTAATGAGTAGCCACGCGGATACCGTTTTTTCAAGAACTTTTCTTCTTGTTCTACCTTTGTGACTCACGAATTCAGATGTCTTACAATCAATGTACAAATTATTCCTAATCCACTATAGGTTTGCGTCATATAATGGCGTTTGCTATTCATGCAACGTGGATGCTCGACTAGAGCTATTATACTTCAGCGTGCAAACGTACCTGTACAGTGCGGCACTCTATTTTCATTATGTGGATGCCGCCTTTTTCCAAAGACATTGTACCCATTCTTTACAAGGATACAGTACATGTAGTAAAATGGTGAAATTATTATTATTGTCACAAAGCTTGGGCGATTTTGTTTACGCACGATTGAACCCAGCAGAGTAGTATTCATCCATGGACAGGTAAGTGTGGAGCTCGGTCCTCACGGGTCGGCCTTATTCCAACAGGAACACTACTCACTATTCTCAATGTCTCCTATAAACGTCTTTTCGACAATCCGACCTTTTAACTAATGGTATATAACAAACTGCTTAAACGGAGTGGTTCGTGCCTCTCTCAACCCGTTAGTTTAGGTTTTACTCCGGTCGGGTTTCTGACCGCGTCGGACCAGTCGCTTCCTAGGAAAGAGAAGTTGTTATAATTAAATATAGAGAAATAGTTATGCCCGGGTGAATGAAGACAACAGTTCTGCCCGTCGGACAATATCAAAATGTAGCCTGACTTTGAAAGCAAACAAAGTACTTAGACTCATCCCTTGGGATAAATTAGGAAAAACGTACGTGGCACACAACCGCCGATCCCTTACACGCCCGTTACAGCCTACTTGTCACATTTCTCCTTAATCTAATAAGAAACATTAACTTTGCGAATTTATAGAAGGAAGAAGCATTTAGTAGCTCTCTCATTCTTAAATCGTGTGGTGCTTCATTGCTAAAACTACCAGTGAAGCTACTGCTAGGGTAAAAACGCCAGACAATCTCATTGTACACACACATATATACGCATATATTTATATGTACGTGGTATCTGAAATATTATGTTTTGTGGATTTGGTTCTAGCTGCATGCGCTCGTTGTTGCGGTCTACACAGCGGGCGTCGCGTTTGCAAAAACGCCCGAAGGTTTCCGAGCTATTCCCGATGCCTATCACGGAAACAGCCAACACCATCGTGCAAATGGCGCTCACCATATATCCACACAAGCAAACACACAGGTGATCTATTATGTTCATTCACAGATACTTGTATTGCAGGAGACATTACAAAATTCATTATTACTCTAATAAACGTTATAAGTTATCAGACTTATTGGACTGTTAAGGTCAAAATGGAAAATGCTTCTTACTAGCTTTTAGCTTACATCTTACCGACACATAAATAGGGTTACAGCGATACTTCGAGATAGGCTTTGGCGCATGTTTTGTAGCGTTCACTCGTTATCCTTAATGCTAGGGTAAGACCCGTTTTTTTTTTCTTTTTCTCAATGGCACAAGGCAATAAAGTCATTACGGCGGCGACAGTAGGTTCATATTCGTAACATGACCGAAAATTAGCAATTGTTCTCTCTATACAGAGCAGCTGATAAGGGACAAACAGTTTTTTTTTTTTTTTTTTTCTACGTCTGAATAGAAACAGCAGAATGAAAAAATCATTGTAAACAAAAACTCAGTGAAACCGAAAGACGAAACTTAATTGTACGCATCTGCGTCTATTTCTTAAGAGTACATCGACAGGCCGTCTTCAGTTTTTCAGCAACGAGAAATCATTCGCCGAGGATATAAACATGAATCTCAGGAGCGACGTCTGGGCACGATCCGGAAGATGTTTCTGTTAGGGATAAAACTGAAGCCCTAATCCGTGTTCATATTCTTAATGTTTTTGAAACACTGTTTCGCTATACTGTTTTAAAATAGCGTATTTTTCAACAGTGGATTTTAATATTGAAATCGTGCCTGGTTAGCGCGTTGGGCCGCAAATTATACGTTTCTCATAAAATCGCCAAGCGTTAGCTGACGGAGCATTCGTTGATGTCTTCAAATAAGGACCTATGGCCGCTAGATAGCCTACATTTGAATCTACTGGATTACTGTATATCGAGTCTGACCGTACTCAACTCTAACGAATCTCGATATATTATTGCCGAGCTCAATGTCGCAAATACAAAAGTATGAATAGAAATCCTTTGACGCGAATAACAAGGAATGCTTCTCTAATGGCATATATATTCCACACTACCTACAAACGTCTTGAAAAGACGAACATGGATCTGGCGAAAGTGTCATTCAAGTAACATTCGAGAATCATGTTTTTCAGGAAGCCCGACAAACCCCAATTCCACTACACAATATGAATCGCGTTAGAGGAGTGTACCTTGATGGAAAACCCGTCGTAGCTGGAGTATCACAGGCTGTGCCTCTGACACCCATTGGTCAGCCGAACGGTTTGTATTAGGCAAAATCTGCTTACCAATGCTTTTGTTCTCCTGTTCTTACTAGTCTATCCAGCTAACGGTTGATCACTGTTATTCGCTAACAGGAACCCAATCAAAGTAAGCAGCCATATTATTAGTGCTGGTATGTGTTCCACTAAAGAACTAATACTTCGCTCATATAGATAACATAGATGTTTGATACTGCTTGCTTATCAACAACACAACATTACATTCTGAATTTTGCAGCTGTGGTCGACTCGCCTCGTAGTAAATCCATATTTGGGGTTCCAGGAATTGTTGCACCTGTACAATCACAAGGTATCGAGTATTACGATGATTTCGTCAATGGAGCACCGTTCTCTGCTGGCTCCCCAGCGGCTTCCGCTTATATTCCTACTGCACCCTATCCTGCGTCTGTCTATGGGCGCCCTCCGTTCTGGATTCGCCTTCAGAGGTGGAACCCCTTTTCTAGGTTGGTTGAATGACTTGTTCCAATTCTTTACCGCTGGGAGGAGTACGTAAGAAAATTACATCTATACTTGCCTCGTTACCTTCAAAAACAAATATTGCTCCCGTAATTTCAATATATATATATATCGTAGTCAATTACTCGTCATGTTATTAAGTACGTAGTGCAGTACTCTTTAGAAAAAAACCTAGTACACCTGTCAGTTTTAATTAGGACAGTATTACACTTCTGAATAAGTACGTATCGCTGTTGGACGGTCACGGATATAAACAAATATTGGTAACCTAAAAGTCTCTCTGTGCATTATTATCAATTTTTTTTCTTTGTAAAAACAAAGAGGACAGCCGAAGCATACTCAGAGTTGGATAACAGGTAAATTTTCAGCCATTTCCTGTTTACATAACTAAATACAACGAATTGTCTGAACCTCGCATGCTGAGAGTTTTCTAATATACCTATGTTTGATACGAATTTCCCTTTCAGGTACTACCGTGCAACATACACGATTGGAGCTCCAGAGTATCCTAACTTACCTTCGTATGGTTACGTGGTGCCTCCGGTAATGGTCATTCCAGCGCGACCTGTATCTACACTTGAACCCATCCATCCTACACGTGTTTCAACGAACTCACAGACTTTGGTCACTTCTCAGAGAAGATACGGGAGACGCTGACATTTCCTTTTTGGCTCCGAGTCCAACGAATCGAGTGTACCTGAAACGGGAATAATGAGTAATTTTGTATGAATTTGAATAGAAAGCAGGCAAGCTAAACATATTAAAAACTGCAAAGTGATCCAACGTCATAAGAAATCAATTCATTTGTTTATGACAATTATAAGCCCTGAACTTTTCTACATATTTGTATATACATTATGAAGCTGGCGTAATAAACTATAGATCATAGAACGATCACATTTCAAAAAAACCTCACATAATAACCTATTGTAGTTAGGGTTAGGCATAAACAATGTGCTTCGACTAGTCCAATAGCTTGTTTCAATAAGCCTTGTTCCCATTTATGTAGCAATAATGTCAATGGTGGTGGTAGTGCCGTTGTCGAGAATAGGTTGTCGCAAAAGTAATGCGTGAGTACAAACTGTGATGAAGATATCGCTGTGAGGTGATGATTGATTCGTAAGGAGATAAATGTCATACGAGGTTGTGGTGTAAGATCTCAAAGTTATTTGGGATAATGGACATGCAAAAATGTTCGCGAAAAAAACATGTTAGTTACTAATTTGGTAACTTAATTTATACTTCGGTTGTTGAATGTATTTAACATGAGCTAATAAAGCCTGTACGGATATAAGCACAAACTCTATTTGGATGCTCGTTGATCGGCGTTCCTTCGACAAGCTTGCCAGAAATGGCCTATGTCTATCCATATTTGTGTTATATATTCTGTTTCCTAGTGAACAGCGTTAATCTTCCAGTGCCCCGATCACTAACGTATCTATATGTTTTGCTGTTAACAGTCATTTGGACGCGCTGACCACGACGTTAGTATGGAACGTGTTGAAATAACAAAAGCAGTAATTGCTAATGAAATGGTGTCACTAATTTGTTTTTGAAAATATACTATATTTTCAACGCTGGTAGGCTTGACGATGCGCCCTATCATGACAGATATATGTGAACAATTCAATGCCACTATGAGCATATAATGCTCGTACGTTAACGTCACTGTGGACTGAAAATACAAGGAGTAATTTTTCCATTCATATTTCGGGACTCTCCTAGTGATTGCTCGAATCTGCTCAACACCCAAAAAAAAATCATGCATATTCAATGAATAAGCGACTCGTAAACATTGGTAAAGGCACATTCTTCGCATATCGTGCCTAACGGACGTGCCCGTGCCCAATAAAACTCAGTCTCTACTATAAAAAGAATTGAATTTGATTTTTTTGCTTTAGAAGATTACATCTTAGCATGTCGTCTTATTGGTAGATCTCCATGGGCGCCAGAACTGACCTAACGAGGCAACTTCAGCCATATTAGTTTATCCACATTTTTATCGTACAGACTTGACTTTATCTACATGGCGGGTCGTTGGCATAGTGTGTAGATATACACACGTTGCACAGAGTACACACAGTGACTAACTGCACTCCTACCATGTTATTACTATTATCTATTTAAATAAATACACACTGCTCTCGAGACACTGTAGTGATTCTTTGTGGGGCATTAAGGGTCCCCAGCTGTTATTAGGCGTCCGAAAACCAATATCTCTATTATAATCTAAACTGTGTTGAATCGTGTAGAACTATATCGGCTGACGCTTGAATCTCTAACCGATATATCTGTAACAAGTTCGAAGGAGAACATTATCCTTGTTTATTGGTGACGACGTTTCTCATTTAGGCGCGTAAATGATTTCTAGCTATCGGCTAGTGAGCAAGTAGTGTGCACCATGTCCCTAGTCCATATCTGTATTATCAGAAAATTGGCTAGCGACCACAGTCTCGAAGTGGCCATCAGGGTACGAGAAAAGTAAGGTGGCGCTGTGTGTATATCGTTCATTAGTTGGAATTTTACCAACGTAGTTGATTATCGTCATTAACTGCTGCTGCTACCGAATGTATTTTGGCCATGAACACGACGTTCCTTATATTACGATTGGTTTCATAACGCCGAAAACGACTTAGTTCATCCGTTTGCTGACACGTCCGAATGTTCGTTCAATACCGCTCCCACGATTCCGGCGCCGCCTGGCGGCGAGCGATCGAAGCTCTTACCTGCGCTTAGAAAAGGGGGTAGTTGTCAGTTCTGAAGCGCACCTCCAACGACGCGTGTCGATTTTCAACTGAGCGCGTTACTGGCATTGAACAACGTTCTGAAAATAGCTATCTTTGTGAGTTTTAATTGCTGATGATAGACTATTGGTACACTGATATTTGGAGCCGTGAAATTGCACCTATGGATATGCCAACGATCGTACTGTAGTGTTAATTAACTGTGCATCACTGTATGTACGTGTGGCGTGCATCGTATGGAGTTATACAAGCAGTAGTGAACACTTTGCCTGCCAGGGAGAAATTTTTCGACAAGTCGGCACAGAGCTCACCGTGGTATGCAGTGTTTTCCTTACAGAAGATAGCGTATTTTATCAAAACTCTCGCTTGATATCGAATTGTAAAAATATTGATTAATTACTTCGGAAAAATATGAGATACGGGCAAGTATTTTATGAGCGTCATCTTTTGGGGACGAGATCGTTTTACGGTTTTTGTTTCTTTTAAACACACCGTAGAATAGGGAACATTTCCGAAACGGTTCACGGATTTCAAATTTCAACATTTTAGCCGTGTTTTTGCTTACCTTTGCTTTTTTTTTTGTCATATACAGAAATATCATTTGGACCCGACTATTGCTATTATAATTGTGATAAAATTCACTAGTAGTCCTTGAGTTTATATCTTGAGAAATATATAGAAAAAAAGTAGACCGTTCTGCTGGTTGTAAACATTTTGAAGGTAAGATTTATGAACAAGTGAACAATAGAGGCTCACATGTCTTGCTCAGTATATTTTGATTGCGAGGGGTGTGGATAGAGCGAATGGAATAATTGATAACCGCACTGGCTGTCTCCTTAAATGACTATGACGTTTTTATAAGTGGCACGTCACACCGGAGGGTGAAAAATAAATGCATGAAGCGGATGAAATAGCAACCATATTCTATTGCCAGAAAAAAACATGATTTGCTTTAAACTCTACTGAACAAAAAAAAAAATCAATTTTCGTAGAATTTATAGTGGGCGCTTAATTTTCTTATTGTTCGTTGGAGTATTACAAATTACCGCTATTTGTCGTACCGGGTACAATTACAATGTAAGCGATACACGTGAGTGGCATACGTTTCTCTTATTATTTAGAGTAAAATATATATTTATCGATTGCGCTGATCATCATCATGTACCGTGTATAAAATTCAAATATTACGCGAATAGGCAAGTGAAACACAAGGTTCTAGAATATTGTTAACATATTTTATTTAACTTTGTTATTCTACTTTATAATACTAGGCTTGATTTTAAGTTTACGATATTATTTATTTTGTCAAATAAATGCACCCCTTTATAGGCGTTAGATATAAGTACAGTATTTGCTAGCGTACTATTCGGGAAATGGCAAGTTCCGAATTTTCTTATTTTGATAGTATTATAATCACGATGTATTATATGCGTCTTATAGATACATCGCGTAGCAGTATAGTGTAATGTTACTAAGGAGGATTAATTCATAATCATATTTTGATCTCTGCGAAAATTCTTCGCAAATCCTCCGGGATTTAGCGATATTGCGCTATTGAATCATTTGTCCCATCTTTGCCCCTAGTGTTTTTTGGACAGCGCGCGCCAGGAGTGGCTGGCGAACTTCTACGATCGTGCTCGAAGACCCGGGCGCGTGAGTGTACTTCAATAAGCTCAAAATTTTTAATATCGATAATAAGACGACAATATCGAAAAGCCTGGTAGAAAAATAATTTATCGCTACCGACGCAAGAATGTTTATATAGTGTAACGAGCATACATAATGAAGTGGTAGTGCACTTGACAAAGATGTACGGCTCTGAAGAGTAATTTGTACAAGTATCAAGAAATTATTACTTGGATACCGGAGCAATAACAAACTAATGAATGTGCCAAGTAATAGGAATATCCCAGAAGATCTGCAGTGGTTCAGTGCGCAACTTAATTATCTTCTTGTTAATGCTTATGGATCATATAATTATAATTAAAGCACAGTTTCTTAGCATAGTTTCATTCAGCGTGTGCCAAAATTCTGATATTTCCTGCATCGTCTTGTCTTCACCAAGTCCATAGCTGGGCAAGTACTCGCTCTATTGGAACTACGCACACCATATAGATCAACATTTATTACAGGACTGCCGACAGGATGTTAGAATACTCGTCTGTACATCTGTCTGTCATGCACTCTGTGTTGCTTTGTTCGACAGTATTGTCTCCTGGACAATCGCGATGATAGAAACAATTTTTTCCTTTTTTTAATTCATTTGACTCACAGGAAAATCACGTTTCGAATTCTCTGTTTGTTGGCTCTCTTCATTCAACCAAAATGGAGCTTCCTAGATCCACGTGATGAGGAAAGATACTGCGCCTTTGATTTTTTATTGGGGCACTTGGTCATGACGTTCGTTTTCGCATTACTATTATAATAGTTTACCTCGAAACCTAATATAGTGACGTTCACCAGCTATCGTGTGCCTGAAGGACCATCTTGTCTGATCCAATAGCCAATGCTATGAACTTTAAGGAGACAATGTTTGTTATCGTCAAAACCCATGTAGCAAACAAGTGTTCGAGTCAGATGCTGGAACGTCCTTTTTCAATTGATGCAAACTATGATAGGACCTTTGTCCTAGATATCCACGTATCGATCATCTCACTTGAACAATTGATTGGACAAAAAATTTCGTCGTTTCAAAGGTATCCATCACCTTTAGTACAGTATATTTAGCAGCTAAGCTCGGGGATAACTGAGCTTTCTATAGTAAGAAATAGTTGAGTTAATATCGTCAATTCCGAGTGTGCCACTTTGTATGGATTGTTCCGGCAACAGGCGAATTCGATTAAATTAAGTTCTTCTAAGTCGTAAAAGCTAACTATAATAGCGCTATAGTAATATGTTTAATCTGTCTAGGTAATCCAACTTGAACTTGAGGTACTGTCGCGTATATGCATGGAGCCTCTGCTCTTTCAACGATGTTTGTTGTTGGCAGTCAGGTGAAATACCTGTAATTTCCGCTGATCGCGTACAAGCGTAACTGTTATTATGCTATTTCATTCTGATGATGCCACTTTCAGTTTGTTTATGTTCGAAAAAACAGACTCTCGTATCGCGCGCCGAACAAGCCGGAAAGCGTAAGTTGTCAGAGGCCAAAGTTTTCCATCTGAACAAGAATGATACCACCTCTTCCGTCTGTTTGTAGGGAATTCGATGAAAGCCTGATATGAACATATGTTGCACCGGTTCAGCTTGTCAAAGGACAGCAAAACATCATGGGACAATAGCCCCATACAGAGATAGCTACAAGTACGAGGGATCGATGGTAGAGCGCTGGAAGCCCAATGGTTTTTATATCGTCAGTAGATTTGTTGCAAGCCAAGTCTTCAGTAACTCTTCATTCGTGCAAATAAATCACGTTTGAGTCACTCAACTGAAAGCGTCACTCAGTATAAGAAATGTGTATTGAAAGGAAGTCTGAGCGGGGGGGGGGGGGGAGTGATAGCAACAGGAGGGCGGCAGCTTCCACCGTCATCAAGGACACCTGGTTGATGTTCTGTACGTTACTTTTCGACAAGAGCTGCCCCTCCTTTCCTGCGAAGGGATAGATCTGACCGGGTAAAGTAGCAAAATTCCTGCTGTGCAAACTGTTTTCTTAGTTGTACGGTTTTTTGATACGCGTCTAGATAACTCCTATCATTTGCGGGATGAAAAAGACCGCCAACACAGCTAGCACGATCGATATTACAAGTTTACTCAGTTCAGTATGTTGATCTCATAATTTATATTATTAAATTATAAAATCAACGTATTGTCTGCGTAGTTCATTGGAAGCCTCAAAATAATTAGATGAGTTCCTTGGCCAATTTTTCCGAGCTTGTGAAGTGTAAGTCGACATTAACTGACTAAATCTGCTAAAAGTCCAGTTTAGTAAAAACCAATTAGGCGCTGGATATTGTAAAAAAGGATCATTTAACAGAACGCTGGGAAGATTTAAAGCGCCGTGCTTCCATGTAGGTTTTTCGGCAAAATCTCTGCTTTTTTTGCCTCGGATATGAAAAACGGTACGCATCGGTTCTATCTGGAGTTCTATCTGTAAGACTCTATCATTTGGCAAAAATGTACGCTACATATTTCTATTTCTTCGACGTTTTGTGCCGTACTGCGCTTTGCGTTTTGTTCAGTAGATCACCGTACGCCAAGCATGCTTCATATTTTCAAAAATGTTTTGCTTTCATCTATCCTAATTAGACCGCTAAGTTAATTCAGTTAATCTCAGCTTCACTGCAGTCAATAATGTGCCCAATTACCATATTATGGGAACAATTATAACAATATAGAATCCTACGACGGTAATTAGACATTTCGGCAGATAAATAGCGATATTCGGTCCAAGTTATCCAAGCGTTACTCTGCAATGTTGCACTTACTAAATTTAGAAAATAGCATTACGAATAAGAGGGAGGACGGTTATAGGAGCTGGCAGTGGTGATTATAAGTCGATCTACTCTCACACTGGTAACAAGTACCCGTCCGTGCTGCGTGACGAAGTTCAGCACTTCTTACAGACATATGCCCTTACGGTGCCGTTTACTGATGATGATGATGAACCAATCTGTAATAAAGAGCTTATAATGCGTTTATCGCTAGAGACCCTTGAAGCGAAAACCAAAACTGCCTGTCACGGAAATAGGTGATCTTTTGGTAACATCGACTACGTCCTTTGTCAAGTTCTATTATTGTTGGCACATTTGTCGAGATCTACGAGCTGTTGTGTTTGACATATGCAAACCGCTTTTATAATTTCGTCTCTAAATGTGACTCAATTCAGCTCAATATGGATCCAATTCACTGCGAACATATAAAAGCGTGTTTACCTGTCTTTCGAGTTCTGAGCCCGAAATCGAGTTTGCAGTTCGGACAAACGGCGGACCTCCTGCGTGAAACCCAAGTGACTCTTCCGAGATTCGAAAATGAAGGTTTTTGTTTTTTTAGCGTAGCCTTTGTTGATCGCGCTGGCCGCATTGAAGCTTGAAGGTTCGGGGTCGTGCCTACTAGGTAGTACCTATTCTAAAACATCAGCTTGTCAGTTGAGTTATACGATCCACTAGTTTCAGTGGCAGTTCGCAGCATAGTAGACAAACAGCCGATAGAGTCATTGATTCTTTTGGATTATGGAATAAATTACTTTGAAGGACGACCGTTAGGATGACACAGTTTGAAGACACTCGAGTAAACGTCCACCTAATCTAATAGGGAGCGTTGTTAGGCATAGCTAGCTACCAGCTTTTAATACTTTTTTCCTTTTCTAACAAATATAGAAATAAGGTGCCTTATATACGAACCGCACGCAATTATTCTCGAGATTTTGCATGTAATACATATTTAACATTGTCGACCACAAGTAGATGTCCATTATCTGAACTCGCTTTATTCAAAATATACGTGGAGTCATCACGGCTCTTGTTGGAAACGTGACCATTAGAGGCAGTGTATTGCCAAATTCATGACTCTGCTTGTTCACGCCCTTTGCTCCAGGCATTTTTCCAACGGGTATCAAGCCGGTGATCAAATCTTCACTAATAATCCTTCCTTAGCGAAGCCCACCTGCAACACACAAAGATCAACACCTTCTTACATTTATAGTTGTATATCTTCCGTTTATGTCACCCTTTCGAATACTTTTGCTTGCTCACTCCCATTTACGACTTTAAGTGAACGAATTAAGAATTTTTGCAGATGCATTTAGGTCAGGGCATGTCTTCAGATCAAAATTTCACACCGTTCCTATACCCAAAACACAGGATCGAAACATAGTGAAAATGCTCGTATGGTTTGACCTGGTAAGCGTTCCTGCTATGATTTGAGAATTGAACGGCCTGCGCTTGGGCAGACAGTAAATATCCCTTACGTCACAGCCGCTTTATCACATACCTATAGATCCTAATGCAGTTTCGGAGTACTGCTTGTTCACATTTTGTAAACATAACAAACGATATCGAATATAACCATTTTAAAGTTCATTAAATTGTAAATTCGAAATTATGCTTCACGTAATTGCTCGCTGCGGTTACATCAGACAATCTGGCCGAACACTGACTGCCACAATCCAGTCGAAAACGCAAAAAGCATATTATCAAACACAACTAGCCAAACTTTCCTTATCTTTATAACACATAAAGATATCACCAGGCTTACTCTTATCGTAGACGGCTACATTTTTTTCTATCACGAACTTATTCAGCACTGGTAAAGATCGCTGGAACAATACAGACTTGTTACAGCTGAATGGCAGCAATTCACAGTCTGCTTCTTCTAGGCCATTGAGAATGCTGATTTTCAATTACGTTTTAGCCTAATGCGTTGTCTTCTTGCTTGTTTTATTTGTGTTTTAATATCAAAATTTATTATGCAATAGACGTTGGACAAGCTGTCGTATAGATAATAAACAATAAGATCACGCGAGTGAAGATTTGATGGTAGATTAATTGTAGTCAGATTGCTCTTCTCATTCTTGTATCGCCCGAAACCCGAAACTACAACACGGACCAGCATCGAGCAAAATTGTAGTGACTGTTATTTGTACCACACAATTTCTATGGACGTAGTTTGTAAGGCAGAATATAAGATCGAGAATTGCTAATTAATATAGTTCTTCGCTTTTTTTTTACTTTTGGCTATTGACGACGCTCTCGTTCGCTCGTTTGTACATCATTAACACGAGTGAACGTTGCTTGCCTGTGTGCAACACTTCGCACGGAAGACCGTATATTCAGTTTGTACGAACTACCGTACCATGTTCTCATACCGATCGCGAAGATCTCGTCGGAAAAGATCAGTATTCGTGGTTCTAGTTGGGACAATATTGGGCACTGAAAAATGACAGCTCGAAATCACCAGTTTATTTTGCATTATATGTAAATTTTCTGTTCCACATTCTATTTGAGTAATTCACATCAATACGCATGTTCTTGCTTTCGGCTCAGATGTGGGTACTGAGGTAGTGTCTGGCTGAGTATCTGGGTCCGCGCTTAAATTATCTGTCCCTGACCCGTTACAGGGCGACCCGGCACCCGCAGCAGTCGTATTCGTTGACACCGCGCTTGCCCGAACAGGAACTGCGTAAGCGTATGCACTGGGATTATATGCCAGCGCGTTCGTGGCGTTAGGTGTGCAAATATATGCGTTAAAAGGCTTACCATAATTACCAGCTTGACCATACCTGTTTAGATTGTACGCCGCGGGGTTATAGGGTGAACAGGGACCCATTACTTGGTAGACTGGGCCGTCGGCGGCTGGGATAGGGCACGTACCGCACGATGTCGCAGCAGGTGTAGCCGTAGCGCACGGATATTGGTAGTAAACCGTGGGGACGCCGCAACTGCTGTAGCCATTACCGCACGTCCCTTGACCAGATTCAACAGGACAGATCGAGCGAGCTGCGTTAGTAATGGGACATCCAGGACGCGCACTATTAGCAATAGGACACCACGAGCTTATAGTACCGGCAACAGCGGTGCCGCCACATGCGGAGACGCTTGTGACAGGGCTGCACGGCGCTGACTTCATCGGGCAGACAGTACAGTTTTGTCGAAGTGAGCCGAGACAATAGTTGTAATTGTCACAGGTTCTGTTATAAACCGCAAGGTCGTTTGCGGTTAGGGTACGACCGCAACAGCTGTAATTATCCGAATTCACGTAGTTAACAGGGATACTGCGGGCGCCAGACTTAGACACGCATGGCGAATTACTCTGCACAGAGCATCGGCAGACGGTCGAACTACGTGAACAGTTACACGAGTTTGAAATTCGCGCGCTAGAAGAGCACGACGTAGACTTCTGGCTAGTTAAACTCTGGCTTTCGGCATTTGATTTTTCTGCAGGGTATTTACATGAGGAATTGCGCTTCTCTGGAGTGCACGAGGGTCGAGTGCAATCCGTCGAGGTGCGTGCATCTATGTTACATGGATCGGCTGAAGCTTGCATGTTTCCATTTTTCGTCTGGCCACACGATGTTCTGCATGAAGATACATTGCATGACGTTGAGTTACTGTTCGGGCCGGTGGAGTTACGCGAATTAGTTTTTACGCTAGAGTTCTCCGCAGTGGCATTAAAGGCGCTTGGATCACTCATACGACCGCTGGGGTACGACGGCGCACTGGGATTGATGGGTTCGACACTGTAGCCACTTGGATTGCCACCGAATTGGTTACATTCGCCAGTCCTCAAGTATACTCCTGGGTGAGTGTAACCCACAGGATTAAACGCCGCAGGAAGGTGTTGGAAAGCAGCTTGTTCCCTGTAACCCACTTGTCCATGATATACAGGAATCGTGTGAGGCACGCTTCCGCCACCAAGCGCGTTTAGAAATGGATAATAAGGATTTTGAAATGCAACGTTGCTATACGCCATAGAAGATTCGATAGGATACACCTTTTTCACACTCTATGTCCTGCAACGGTTGTTTTTCTGACAGGTAGTTTTTGAATTTGCGGCAGTGAGATCAACGGGCTGACAATTTTGTTATCGTTTTCTTACGATGTTGACTAGCGACTGCTATCGGCAGTCCTATGCGATGGATAAGTACGGAATTGTTAAAGTATTTTTTTTTCAATCGAGCCAATCCCATCGTGCGTATGAACGAATTACGATCGAATTTGTTTTTAATGTCTGAAAAGCTTCAGGGACTGCGAAACCTCATCATTAATTGCGTTTACCAAGTAATTGGCGTTCAACTGTATTTAAAAAGTTTCGCTAAATAGCTGTCATTTTTTGTTACCATCAGTGGGGCACCAATATGTGTATTGCCCATAAGCGGGTACCAAGATAATGGCGTCTGCGACATGTATTAATATTTATGTCCTTTTTCGCGCTCCTGTGAGGGCTTTACTGTTTGAAATACGGTAAAGACGCATTATATGCTCCAAAAGTGTCGAAACTATTTTTCTATTGATCGCGTCCTGCTAAAGCAAACCTTACCACCATGCGAGATCTGGTTATTATTGTAAGTCAAATAAAGCGATAAACAATAATTATAGTGAATACACATTTTACATTCATAGGGTTTATTTTTTTAGCATGAAGAATCGGCATTTATACCATGAAATCCGAAAAATATTTTTCAGAGCTTGCCTACGCCCCATCCATTCTCACCTGTTAACACACACAATACCGCATCTTTGAAAGCAGAACACATCTGGCATTCGAAAAGAGCAAAGTTAATTGTTAAAGCCAGAGGGTTGGTGAGGAGCGTTTGTTTTAAACAATCGGTTTATCGCAAGTAATTTTGACCCGAAGTAACAATGCCTTACCTGTTGGGATTGTAATTTCGATGATGAATGTACTGCTCTATCTTTTATGTATCAGTAGCTCACCTGTTTACACTATTCCCCATGTGTTTTATCGAGGCGCTATACCATCTTGTTGTTAAGTTGTTCCGTTTGGTTTATGCAAGCACTCTGTTATAGCCCAAACGATTAAGTTCGCAAGCTATTTCCGTTCCTGCTAGGTCGTTATGGGGTGATCGGTATACTCTTTGTACTGAATAATCACATAGACGATCTTTGTAAACAGGGCTCTTTTGTAAAGGGGGCTCCAAATTTACGTACCTTATAGGGATTGGCATAATACATTAGAACCTAGAGCAGCGTAGGGCTTCTGTCAAACGGTATTCTTAGTCTGCCGAAATGATACCTATTAAACCTGTAGCTCTCATATTCCTCTGCGTGCATCCTCCTGGCCAGAGCGCACGACGTTTCAGTAGTAGACTGTCGATGCACACAAATAGCTTCTTTTTCTATACAACAGAGATATGCTTAAAAATTCTTATGCCTGCTAATGAATTGCACGAGGAAGTATGAAAGCTTTCCATTTCCTGACGATTCCTGAATGCTAGGAACGCGGTCGTAGACTGTAGCGCAAAAAGAACCCTGGATATAGAGATATACCTCTTCTGCCGCTTTGCTGACGTAACGGGTTCCATAGAGTAAGGTCCTGTACGCCTAGCCGATTAGCGGTATTTAGTTACGTATAGTATTAACGAATGCTTCCGAGATTAATCAATGAGAAAAAATATCTACGCGGAAAACCTTATTGCTAGAAAACTGTCCCAACTGATTATGACCGTACAAGAAACCAGCAAGGTCCTACTGGAAATGGCCCCAAACCCGGTACTACAGGACGTTTACTTATCATTCTAAATTATGAAGCCTTCACTTCACTTGTAAAGAGTTAAGGTATAATATAGGCCAGTTCCGCTAAAACTAAATTACCAGAGCTGTTGCTCTATTTTGGAAAGAAGCAGTTTGATTTTGCCAAAGTATGATTTTTTTCTGGCTGACGCTTTATTTCTATTAAGATCTGGTAATGGCGTCAAGTGATCAAGAGATAAATTATATTATTAGTAACTAGTAATGGCATTTAAAAATACATAACCTATTTTATACATAATGTTTAGCCACACTTTAGATGTTCAATGCATGAGATTGGTAGGCCTCTACCTATTCTATTTCAATTAACTTAATTATTTGGGCTTGAGCGATTTACCATTAGAAGATTTCAAATTTTTTTTTACATACGGTTTACCAGCCGGTCAGCCATAGTGGTAAGGGGGCCGCTGCGTTATCTCCGAGGGCAACTATACTAATATTTCACGGATGGCCATCCTAATCATTAATTAAAATCTCTCAGAATAATTCGGCTAGAATTTTTTAAAATGTCCGGCTCCTTTTGTCTCCACTGGTTAGGCTTCTTTGCATCTGTCAAAAATATGTTGTTGTTGTTTCTCATATATTTAGATATCAAAGACCTGCATGCAACGTAATTTTGTTAAGCATAGAACAGAATTAAATCAATATACGTTACTTAAAGCAATCACACATTTTGTTACTTCTGCGATTACAGGCCAAGTCGGTAAATAGGTTGTGAGGTCTTCGCTATGGAGGACTCAATTGTCGCCCTTGGCGCAATTGGGGCTCTAAAGGTAAAGAGCAAAGTTGGAGCTTATGAATTCTTAAACTGATTTATAACAAAATAGCTTTTGTTCGGTTGTAAAGGCACATTTTAAATTTCTTTATGCGTTCTTTCTTTTTTAGGCTGCCAGTGCGTGCTACGATGTCCTGACGTTGCCGATCTACACCCTTATGCAAAGGCCCTGGAACGAATGGAAAAACAGGTCAATCCAAAAACAATTACTGTTGCTCTAGACGATGAATCTTTATCTTTTTTTGGATTTGACTATAATAATGGGTAAAACACACAAAGCTGGAAAGTTATTAGGCCCAAAAGTCGCATCGAACACGATATAGTTAATTGCCGCTAATATACTACGATTTTCTGGAAATAACGAAATAGCTTTAATTGACACGATTAATAAAAAATATATACTGTCACATAGCGCCATTGAGCGTTTAGACTTAAATTTTAAGGTCTTAGGCAAGTTATTTTACTGAAAAATACAAATAGTAACCAAAACAAGAAAGTATTTTAAGTTGCAAACGCCGCAAGGTGGACAAAATCGGCTAGACCAGATCACCCATTGTAATGAATAGAGCTTCTTTTTAAGTAGACCACGTTTCGAAAGGTGCCAGTTCCTATATTTCAGCTCAATAATTATTTTTGATCAATTCTAGTATCGTTATTCAGGGTGGCTATATATATATATATATATATATATATATTGGACCAGCGACAGCGGGAATAAAAATAAGCTGCTTAAAAAGTAATACAGGTGTTGCATATATATTTATCGCAATAAGTAAATATCAGCTTGGAAAGGGTTAGTCATTCAGTGGTAATCGAATTTCCATCACAGATCCCACTTTTGTTACGATATCATACAATTACGTCAAGTTCCGCTTCAGACCTGCAAGCAAAAGTAAATTTGCTATTTTGTTCTCACTGTCCTTCAGCGGGTAATTGGTGTTACCAATAACAGTCTGTCTGGAATCAAGGGCAACAATAACAACCAGTACAAAACCCGATTCAGGGCCACGTAGTGCATATACCATGCATCGTCGAAAAATAGCGTGCCACAAAACCCCATTATCTGGTCTAGCAAGACGAGTAATCGTTGAGCACGCCGACGGCATCAAAGTGGGGTGGACTGAAGGGCTTACGAAAAGGGGATGATGACTTATATATACCTGCTGCTAGCGTTACATGAAATGACCTTTGTTCATAGTACATGAACAACTGCGTACAAATACTCTAGCTAGCCTGTCGTATTTTGCAGCCGTAGTCGTAGCCAAGCATCTGCGAGGTCGCCCATGTCAGACGTGAGGCGAGCTGGCAGCGATGATCTAAATCTTCAAATACGTGGTCGCCTGAGATCAATTGGAACATTCTATCAGATCTGAGAGTGAAAAGGAGCGAAAGAGACAGTGAGAAGGACAAAGGGATGTGAGAGCTATGTGTAAAAGCTGGAAGGTGTCTGCTTTCTAATGATCTGATTCATCTCTGGAGGAATTAAATATTCTCTGTTAATCATTCCTTCCTCGCAGACGGAAGCCAGGAACAGAATACACTCTCTAAGGATCCGACGCGCCATCGAGCATGTGCACAACAAAACAAATTTATTTACCCAAATAAAGGCCATATGTTAATGGATAGCAATCTACTGTACCATGAGATAATAACTGAACAAAATTTAGATCCGGTTTACATTAATATCGACCCTGAAAACTCAATCTATATATTATTACTAATATACGATTTCGTTTCGTCTCCATCCTTTAGAAAGGGATTCGACAATGGCTTGATTGACCCTTTTGACATTGAACGCATTCTTCAGTAAATGCGGATAGTAGATTGGTCTTAATAATGCTGACCTAACATTAATTAGATGAAACAAAAAAACATAGAAGAGGAAGTGAGAGCAGACGAATCCGTGCCCTTCGAACGAGACGATCTTCTTTTTATGAATGCGGTGACAGATATAGTTTATGTACATCTGTTAGCGTGAACGTTCTTCTTTACCGTTCGGATCTCGTCTACCCTCTTTATTTTCGCATAGGAATAGTTTGGATAGCAAACTTCTCGCTGTTTTCTTATTGCTAGCAAATAACAGGGACTGTGAGTTAACAAGGAATCCATTAGTTCCATTCTCCTCTGGGACTTATGGAAGCGAAACAAAATATCTGATTGTGTTCTAGAAAGTTATGACGCAGGCTAAATAATTGATGTTTCCTATTGATGAATACAAATGTAGTGGAATTTTGGTGAGATAGCGCAATAGAAGACCGTCACGCAAGCTTGAGCATATATTTATATAGGCTTAAGTGGTTTGGTGATGTCTGATAGAATGAAATAAAGGGCACCAAGAGCTACTTCTGAAAGCCTTGCCCTAATTGAAAGTCTCATATGTAGACTACGCTGAAGCACCATAAACGACGCATTTACATATTGCGGAGTAAAAAATAGGTCTACAATAGGCACTCAAACCAACATCTTGTTGCCTGATCTTAGAACGGTTCGCCAGCTCTTCGAGCGGTATCAATTTTTTCGCTTTTTATCAATCGAAAAGATATCTGCATTGTGTAGTATCATAATAATCCGAGCCTGCAGGACACATGCTGTCCACGAACGATTTTAATTTCGTTCTGAATTTATACTGTTTTTCCTATTTGTTGTTACGCCGACCATTTTCGCAGCTTTTGACCCTGACTGGCCTGCTGCCCTAATCACGCCAGCAACGCAAGTCGCCGCGACTGTAGTTTCGATAGCGTTCACTTTTGGCACTTGTTCGCGCGTTCGTAGACATCCAGTTTTCCCGGACTGCCGCCTTTCGCTAGAAATATATTCCGCTGTACCCATGCAACATGTCCGTTTCGATGATGTAAAAAAGCAAACGCGGCACGGCAAGGGTAAACCTCGACAAGATTCTCAGCTAAGCAATCAGCATTCATCGAGTAGGAGATTTCCAGGCTCAATTTACCGACTGCCTAGTTTTCCGCGCCGACTTATAGGCTGTTTAACTTATCGAAACGCCAGTTACGATCTGCCACCGTAGCCATAGCTGTCAATGGCTGTGTCCTCAATTCAACAATTTGATAGAACATCTCTTTGCTGTCGTTGTGCGATAAACAAATTCACTTCAGTCACTGTTCACGATGAGCAGGTTTTTTCTCCTATTTCTACCATATTTCGTAGCAGTAAATCGCGACCATTGGACCCAGGATCACGATCTTTTGATGTGTGCCTTCACAGAGATGGTGAAAGACCGTCAGGGAGTAAAAGTAATTAGACATTACGCTGCTTGAGTCATCTATTCTAAATGACCAGGTCTTGAAAGTAAGTTAGACATGGATTTTACTCAATTTGTGCATTCGTAAATGAACAACTTCCGTAAAATGCCGAAGGAAATTTATCGTTATATAATTTCAATTAACAGATTTATTAGCCATCAGTTAAACTTTGCGTAACTATGTAAGAAAAGGAAATATAAGTCGCGATAATTACTTCATAATCTATTAAATTTTATCTATAATTTAAACAAAAACCTGACAAGGGAGCTAACAATAAAAGTTTCTTTCATTTATATTTTTAATTATATCAAAAAATATGTCATTTGACCTGACTACATTTTTTACAAATTACGATGTTTTCAAATGCATATTTGCCATGTACATGGTTTTTGCATCCCGATCAAATTTTCGTAGCTCCGAAATCTTGGCAATCGTTGGCTTGACAGAGCTTTCGTACGCGTGAATCTGAATTCATACTCCTTGATGGTTTCGGTATATTTTATCCTTTTTCTGATTCTTCGACATGTTCTCCTCCACTTAAACCCGTTTATTCCAGTTGGATCTAGAACACTGAAAGACATCCGGAGGGACTACCTATAAGATTTTGCCACAACACTTGAAGCAAGTTTTATACTATTCGAGAATCTAAGTATCTTTGGTGTACGCTCATAACTATTTTTCGATTTATATTAAGTTATACATGTAATTTAGTAATCGAAGTATTCGATTTGTTTTAATACGCGCTGGAAAATTGTGTTATACTTTTTCTAATTTGGGCCGATTCTTGTTTATTCTTACGGATCACTGCTGCTCTTCTTGCAAGTTGTTTTGTGGCCGGTAAAAACAAATCGTGAGAAAAGTCTGCCTTTACTATCTATCCGCATATATATAGAGGGTTCAGTTCGGTTTAAGGACGATGAACCCTCTCAAGTAGAATTAAAGCTTTTTCTTTTATCGTTTCCCACATGGGAAAATCGATTTCTAACGTCATATATTTGCTATTGCCACGAACATATAGCAGAGTAAGAAGTACATCGATCCTCTGTCTCGTCTCAATTCAAGCTTCAATTTTTCCTGCTTATTTTCCAACATTTTCAATCAATCCGCTTCTGCGCACGTTCTTATGTGTTACATAACATGATGATCAACGATCAGAAACCGCAGCATTTGCTTGTCCTTTACGATACATCTTTTAGCTTGTTCTATTTGAGCAAACACTTCTTTGTTCCAAACTGACAAGATGACAAGAACTCGTGATCTTGTTAGTTTAGAACGTTTGCCTATTTCTTTCCAGACTGTTCCACCATAAGCATTTTCAATAACTTGGTGCTTTGTAGCGTTCTTACTTTCGGAACTAAGTAAATACTCTCAATAGTAATCTCCACCTTTGTTACTCGCGATGCTTATTTATTAATCTTTTTTTTTTTTTTTCGCTATCGTTGTCGACGGAATTTAGTTTGTTTTTTTGTGTATAATGTCTCGTCATCTGTTTGTGTATTGTTCCTCGTTTCGAAAAGTTCTTCTTTAAAAATACCTGATCGGTCACCCGTTATCTGTGCTTGTCTCATTTCTAATACCATCATAATTTTCAAAAGCCTTGACATGTTTAGGATAAATATTCGTCGCAATATACTGCACTGTGCATGAAATTTACGTCAAAGTATTGATAATTGACCTCTTTTTTGCCTAATTAGCGTTTATAATATAAAATCGCAAACGAAGCGCTTCTGCGGTACACCTTACAACTACCGCTGCTGCGGTTATTTCACTTCGCGATTTTTTGAATTCTACTATGTCGCTTGCGTTTAAATTTCATGAAGTAGTGTTATCAATCATACACACACATAACTTCACAGCGCCTCGTTTAAATAAGGAGGCTGATTTGTTTTGAGTTCGCTATGACACGATAAAAATAAAAATGGCTTAGGTTTAGAAAAGTAAATATCATATTATTGAACAGCCAGAGAGAGTGGCCGCGACAGGCACGGTAGGCCTCACATATATTTTCTGAAAAAAAAAAGTACAAAGGTAATTTGGTATCGAAAAATACGTTGTACGCCTGTTCTAGAAAAAAAACTCTCAAGTTCAGTGGGGACGCGGTAACATTCGGATATGTGAAGTATATGGTAAACCTTGAGAGACAGCCAAAATTAATCAATAATGTTGAGCTAACAGGTGGTAATTAGGTGCTACGACCATAATCATAACAACGACAACAGCACTGCCATTTCCTTCTAAGAACAAAACCGCGACTAAATTCGACACGTAGAAGCCTTGAGGTGTACAGACGTGAGATAGAAGATACAAAAAAAATGCTTATTAAAGCGTACGACATAAAGCATGCGAATTCAGACCTAATACTTCATTTTCCTGTCCTATCCATAAATTAGGCCGAATGCTCTTTGCTTGCAACAAAAATCATGCTCTAAACTGGTTACGGTTACGTCACAACAATTTAACGTAACTGACGCAACGACGGCTAGTACGGGTTCTGTTTAAATCCTCCTATTTGTACGTCAAATATGATTCTTCTCTAAATTTATTTGTTTTCATTACAGAAGGTTGGTGTACTCTGTTCCGCTAAATCCCGGTCAACCGCTACCCTCAGGAATGAAAAGGGCTATTTCACGTAATAAAGGCGTTCTGGACGGGATTACTACAATGGATCAACTGATGAGAAGGTTGACGAAAACCACATGACAACTTAGATTCCATAGGTCAACCGAAATATTAGATAAACTAAATGATGTTAGTATCAACGCTAGTTGAACTTTGTGTCTACAAACAGTAACTAATAAGCAATCACATAGAATGAAGGTGAAGTTAGAGGTAATTAATTTATCTTTTGGCTACAGGGCCATCGAGAAATTTGCTGATCGTAAATGTTTCGGGTCGCGTGAGGTGTTCGCAGAAGACGAAGAAACACAGCCTGATGGGAAGATTTTCAAAAAGGTTGGTACACTATAGCGAAAATATTATTCGCCCAGATTCTTTTTTATTTCTTACGATGACTTTGAAGGTATTTACACTATCTATAAAATCTTCATTTTTAGCCATCTTCTGTGTCATTCCGATCTTAATTGAATCTTCTCTCATCTTACAGTATACGTTAGGTGAATACCGTTGGTTGAAGTTTCGTGAGGTTGACGAGAAGATTAACCATATTGCTTCTGGACTGTTTCAGACAGGCATCAGGTCAGTAACCAGACCGTTTCTGAAAACTAAATGATTAATCTAATTCTCAGAATGTTGACTTTACTACCAGTTTACCTTAGCCATTATAAATCAATGAAAATACTACGTATTCACTTGGTTGCCAATTATTATCCACGAACGTATACCATCCTCGAAGTGATAGGCCATCCTTCGAATGACCTTTCGAATTTAGAAAACGGTAACTTTAGAATCAATTGTACTCTTAGATAATCCATAAGACGAAATGGACTTTAAATAAAACAAAACATATTTTTTTTAGTTCAACCCTTAGCTATAACTTAGAATTCGTAATGTCTCTGACCTCTGAATAGCTTCAACTTGAGAAACTCAACAGCACGCTTGCTTTATAGGTCCCGACAGAATGTCGCGGTGTTTGCCGAAACCCGAATAGAGTGGATGCTTACCGCCCAGGCGCTGTTAAGAAACAATGTGCCTCTTGTCACCTTGTATGCGACCATAGGAAAACAGGCTATCATACATGGTAGTTATTATATTTTGCTTTTCCGCACGAGGTATAAAGCTTTAAGAACTGGGAGTCTTATTGAGCTCGTACGGACAAAATGATACATTTTATTGAAGATCATATTACATAGGGCTACCTTTATACCTAACTTTTCTATAACAGCTCTTCCTCATTTCAGGTATCAACGAGACAGAGGTTACTCATATCATTACCTCACAATACCTTCTTGAAAAGATCATCGAAATTCTGCCCCATATAAGCTCATTGACACATATTATCTACATGGAGAATCATGGTTCGAAGAGCTTTCCGCCGAATATTGGTGGCATCAATCTTATTTCTTTCTCCAAACTTATCGAGATTGGAGCTAACTCCGATAAGGTAACTGCTATTAAGCGTAGTCATGAGCGGCACTGCATTTCGTTAGTGCAACGTATAAAAAATGTATTTTACGTTTTACTAAGAACGGCAGTAATATCGGACGGACGCAACGTAACAGAAACACTATTGCGCATGAGAGTAATGTACATATAGAAAATTATGGCGTTGTACTGTAACTATGGCGCAAGGAAAATGTGCCAATCTTTAAAACAGGCTACGAGTATAATATTTGAGCGTGGTCTGTCCTATCATACGATACTTTAAATTTAGAACTATGCCATGTTTACAGCAACTATTTTGTTTGAGGGAAGAGGATAAACGCTGGCGTTTTTTACCTTAAAAAATATTGTTATTATTTACAAAAAGGTACGTTATTTGCTAGTCATTCTCGTTATCTAGGGCTTAATCCGGATACTTTCTTCGCTTGCCAAGTGGTTATAGATTAGTTTCTTACCGCATTTCAAAATAGGCCAGACAATAATATTGGCCAGATACCTATTTCAGGGTGTCTATGGAGAGGTACCTGGTCCTGAAGATACTGCAATTATTATGTACACGTCTGGTTCGACCGGGGTGCCGAAGGGCGTCATAATTACCCACGCCAACCTCGTGGCATCTGCTAAAGGCTACAGCACGATCTTCCCAGACGTAAGTCCTAGGGACGCAGTGGATTTGCATTCGATGATCTCTTGCCGGTTTTGTGCTCACTATTAACATCAGCAGCAGCGCTAAACATGTCAGCGCAAAACTCTCACGGCTTAAGATAAGCTCATATACAAACCCACAAAGATATTTGTCCTTTTATTTCCAAGACATCGAAAACCACTGCCAGTGACTGACTGTGTTGGCTGAACTTTCCTTTTGTTCACGGGCTCGGCAGAACTTAGGATATTATTGTTGGAAATCTTTAGTTTCTAAATTATTTCTTTGCAGTTTTCTTCGATATGATTAAGGTAGGCAGCAAAAAGCGAAGTTAAAGTCTCTCGAAGTTTGTCCAAGAAACATAGTACCAAAAAGTGGAAAGCAAACGTTTGGACAACCACATGATATGCGCTGAAAAATATTAACTTAAACATGGAGTAGGGCATCATGGTAAAGAACAGTTTTCAGCGTTGAAACACCGTCGTCTCTACGAGGATGCTTCGCTGGAAAGTTAATATAACGTGGCACATCCGCGTATACACTACCTCCAATTGTTTTCACAGTGTGTCTGCCATCTTGATTTTATCTCCCGCAGACGACGAAAAAGGACTCATATATTGCATACCTACCTCTGGCGCATGTCATGGAACTCGCCTGTGAGTCGATGATTATGGCGATGGGCGCTCGAATCGGTTACTCCTCCCCACTTACGCTCACTGATAAGGTATTGTATTTATTATTCGTTTTGGTATCGATTCCATCATTTACCGTCATCGATTGAAACGGTCCAACAAGAACTCCCGTTCTACATGTATGTTCATTGCGTTTTTAGGGTACAGGAATCAGATCTGATCAGAGAGGAGACGCGATCCTACTCAAGCCGACTATGATGCTGGCAGTCCCTGTCATCCTTGATCGCATCAGGAAGGGAATTATCGAGGCTGCAGAGGTACCACGAACGCTTCCCAAAAGTAGCTCTAATTCAAATGAGTACTATTCTCCAAATTATGTTCGATTCCTGTCGAATCTTGCGTTCGAATAACATACCCTTTCCAGACTCTTACGACGCACATAAAAATCGATAGATGCTTATTGTACATAAACTTGATATCTCTTTGGCAGTGAGTGGATAACGGATAACTAATTCTGGCAACAGTGGTAAACAGGAGCTGAACTGTAACACATAAACGTCAGCACCCACAGAAAATAGCCCACCCAAAATCACGTTCAAGATAAAATTTGATGTTTCGGCGGCAATTAGTCATTTTATTAATGATTTTTGACGTTAATTAGTTAAAATTGTTGCTAATGAAAATATAACGATACATTGGCATTTGTGTTCGTATCGAGTAGACCTTGGTGTTATGACAGATTAGAATTAGATATCTGCTACGATGTATTGTGTAACGTACTACTGCTCTAAATTTAAATCATTGAATGTTTTCTTGTTTACTTTCAAGGCGAAGGGGTCATTTAACAAGCAGCTTCTTCGTCACGCGATATCTTACAAGGCGTTTTGGCAGAAGGCAGGCTATCAAACACCCATTCTTAATAAATTTATCTTCGATGGCATCAAGGTATAGACAATCACCGGTAATGACTACTGTCACGCTTATTGTTAGTTCTTTCTGCATGCAGTCTATTAGAGATAGCAAACACGGCCCAGAAATGACTATGGGGCATTGAAGTCCTACTCCACCACTCCCGATTCCAAGCATCCAGTGAACAAGGTTCATTGTTATATTCGGTTATGGAGCCAAGGTACATTTTGTTTATTAAAGTCATAATATGTATTTTTATTCACTAATGATTACTAACGGAATTACTAAGCAGTTAATGCGCAAGTAAAGCGTACTAATTATTACGAATTCCTTTCATTACATGTAAAACATTTCTTTCCATTTCTAGGCGATCCTAGGCGGCCAGCTTCGAGTGTTGGCCACGGGTTCTGCCCCACTATCCGCGGAGACCTTTGACTTTGTGAAGGCCTGTTTCGATCTGTACCTCATGCAAGGGTATGGACTCACCGAAACCACTTCGGGTGTTACAGTCACCGAGTATTCGGATAATATCTCCGGTACTAGCGGTTGTCCCCTCGAAGGAGTTTACGTACGGCTTATCGACTGGAAGGAGGGCGGCTACACTGTACATGACAAACCAAATCCGCGTGGAGAAATTGTCGTTGGTGGAAATACTGTCTCTAAAGGTATGCACCGTTCCAAATAATGAAAATTGATTAAAACTATATATGTTCCTAACCGCGGTTCCGAAAACTACTAAGCTGTTCCGGATTAATGTTGGTGTGTGTAAATTTTTAAAAAATAGTACATTCTTTACGGATCACTAAAATTATGGACCTAAAACCTTAGTCAGGTCGTTCAGCTACTTCGATAAACGACTAGAATTCCGCACTGATAAAATGGATCACTGTCTGTATTATTATTAGCGCTATTGACACAAGATAGCTGTTAAGTTACTGATTGTCTTCGTGACGTTTTCTCTATTACTTATTTCAATAGGGTATTACAAGAATGAGGCCTTGACTCATGAGGTGTTTTTTGAAGAAGATGGCATGCGTTGGTGTTACACAGGGGATATTGGGGAATTGCTTCCTGACGGAACCATTCGCATCGTCGACCGTAAAAAGGACCTCGTCAAACTGCAGTTCGGAGAATATGTTTCATTGGGAAAGGTAGATCGCGAACACTTCAACGAAATGTCCTGAATGTCCGTGTATATATGTGCTAAAATTATTTTTGGATGCTTGCTATGCACACTACTATACCACAATAAGTATACGGATTGCCTTACGCTTCTATCGATTAAACAGGTGGAGGCTGAGCTAAAGACGTCGCCGCTTGTGGAAAATATCTGCGTCCATGGCAACTCACTATCCACGTTTCTTGTCGCGCTGATTTCGCCCAACGTAAAGGCACTGAGACAACTTGCGATGCAAGTTGGCCTAAATCCAGTACACCTTAGTTTCGAGCAACTTTGCGAAAACCGTCATATTGTACAGGCAGCCACTGAGCAGCTGATTCGGCACGCAAAACACTGCAACCTTAATAAGGTGATCCTATTGTCCTTAATAATCCTATTGGATAAGTCCTATTGTATCTTAAATATCCTATTGTCCTGTTATAACATTCGCTCGTAATATTATGACAATCACATGTTTATTTAGTGGAAATCGGTGATTTAATGGCTGAGATAGTGCAGTCACATAGCCTTTAGGTAGTATTAAGAACGACCACAATTTGAGCCAAACCTTGAGCAATTTAAATTATTTCTACATAAACGCATATTTTTTTGTTACTATATGTTGGGCCGTATGACTCTAGAATAATGATATAGTAAGGAAATTTTGGATGTTGAGCTATACTTACCTAATGTTTCTTTCAGCTTTTCAAAAAAATACCTAACGTTGTAAACTTCGAGATCAAGGGTAGGATAGATAGTAAAGCTGAAACTTAAGCATTTGACTGGATCACGTTTTCACCACGTAGTAGGTAAACATATATATATATATATGAGAACAAACCAGGAATAGGTTTAACTTTGATGGGCTTTTGGAGCTAATGCATACGACTAACCCAGCTGATTGCAATATAATAGAATTCAATAAATATTTGAAAACAAAACAACGATCAGAATCAATGGAAAAGATGGGGTGTACAGGATCGCTTGGAATAATCGGGAAAATCGGATGTGTAGTTGCTGAGTGTTTGAGTCCTGCAAGCTTCAGCCTTCCTGTTTTTTTTTTTTTTGAATCGGTCTTCTTCATCTTTTATGGTTCTTCCACCTAGGTGACTGCTAATTTTAAGTCCTTAAAATTAAGCTTGTTGAAATCTTGTATGTCTATCATTTTAATTAGTGCAAACCCATTAATGAATTCTATCTATTGATTCTTCAGATGGAAATTCCATGGAAGATAAAACTATGCGCAGAGGAATGGCAGCCGGGTTCCGGGCTCGTCACGGCGGCGCTAAAAATTCGCCGAAAAGAGATTCAGACGTTCTATCAGCGTGATCTTGATCGAATGTACGGGACGGCAACCTCAAACCGAGTCTAAAGAGGAATATTGAGACAAACCAGCTTCATTAAAACATACAGGATATATTTCATCGTCCCATGATCAAGTTTGCAGCATATTTCTTTAAGAATAGTTAATAATATAAAAAAAAAAGAAACATGATGTTTCGTAAATTCAGATATTTTTTCCCTCTAAAATCAACTCTAATTCTTGCATTTACTATTTTCATGGTCTAATTTACCAGCTACTAACATGATGTTTTAATATGCAAAGGTTTTCGACATAAGATTCAGCATTCTTCTTGCACAATTCCTAAGAGAACAACGTAAAAAAATCGTTTAGATAACTTCTAGTTCCAAGTTCAACAAGCATACTCTGAATATAGCTTTGTATTAATTTCCTGGAAAATACCGCTAACGTATCACAACTAGGACTATTTAGTTATCACCTATTTTAACAAATGTACAACAGAATTTCGAACATTATCACATAATATGATAGTAGCGTTGGTTATCGTCGACATGTTTTGCAGACGTTCTGCCTACATATTTAGTTATGTCCGTTTAGAAATTCAGTAGCAGAAAGCAAATGGTCAAGGATTTGCAAAAAGACACTGATCATCTTGTTATTTATGCAACAACAGTACAAATCAGTATGAAAACCCCCAGTATAAAATGCAAGTTCCCAGACGGTATGTGTTACTGACACGGCCGATCTCAACAACTTGCTAAGTGCTCTTTTGGTTATTTTCAATATGAAAGCTAGTAGAGCCTATCTGATATAGGGATTCCGTGAGGCCTGCTTCGATATTACGGCGCTTTGTGGGACGTTTAGAATATCTACCGAAGCAGAGGAACACCTTTATGTGTCGGACCTACCTTCCATAATATGATAAGATGTATAGCGCAAATCTAATACACCAGGCACTCAGGTATAACCAACATTTGCTTAGACAAGAACATTATCAAGTTTAAAGTATATTTGGATATTAAATATGTAACTTCCACACGTTTCAAGTCTACTTTCATGTAGTAAGTGATGCATAGAATCGAACCGCGCACAACCCCACAATTGTTCTGTAGACGAGCATGGTGCTCTAAATTGATACTTCGTCGTTACATCTCTCTCACTTCCTCTCTCTACATGCACATTTATATATACATAAGTTTCAACCGCCGCGTGATTTTTCGAGTACTTCATAATAATAGCGAACAACGATAGTTAATCTTAAATAAGTCGGTTCCATTTTTTTTTCGTTTTTTTTTTTTGTAATTTCGACTAAACGACAGAATAAGCAGCGCTGGTGTACCCTGGATGTGCTACTATATGAAATAATGCACAATATTTGTAAATCTTCTTTGAGGAAAAAGGTGATAGGACTGCCTCATTTGGCGTTACGTCATACGTGCGATTTCCGTTCGAAGGTCACAAATTTTCAATTCAGTAGATTCAGTAAATATCACTGCTATGTGATAGGCGTACGCTTTTCGGGAAATGCCAACCTGAGGCTAGCCGTTCCTTTAATATTTATGTGTAAATTTACTCAATGCCAGAGTGAAAACTCGAGAAAAAAACTCTAATCAAGTTTAGGGCGGCAGAAACAATTTAGCTTTGCATTAAAATACTTAGAAAATTCTTTGCATTAGAGACTGTAAAAACGATGAAAGTCAGGCCGTTACGAAAGTAGCTTCTTCGTAATGATATTGTAGGATTCAACTTTTCTCTATGGTCTTAGGCGAGTACAAAAAAAGCGGTTAAATTTGATCTCTCATTTTAGAACCCACGAATAATGAATGTTGTTATGACGTGTTGCAAGAACGGTCTCACTGCATAAGTGGCTACATAATAAGTCATTGTTTGTTTCAATGGCGTCATTTCTTGCGCTACCTATAGGTAGAATCTACAGTTGATGCCACGTCACCTGCTCAACTGCGCTAATTTAAAAAAAACTTCCACAAAAACACGTACACATCTCCGCGCATTTCGCTATTTCAACTTAGATATGTCATAAGGTTTCGTCATTACCGCGTGATGTATATATTGTTCTAGGCACTAGTTTTGTTTACCAATTAGAACGGCTAACGGATAAACAACTACCAAATAGACACGTAGCTTAACTGGGCTAAAACACTGACAACCCACAAATGGGTAAACTGTAATTTCAAGCGCACATCGTACTGGATTATATGAAAAATGAGGGAATACCCATTTCTTTACGTGACGTTAGGTAACGGGATGGCAGAACTGAAAGCACAAGCAGTTCCTGCTAAACCCCGTTGAATCTAATATGTGATTTGCCACCACCTCGGTAGATTGATATAAATAATATTGTGCAAAATGTTCAACTGTGCTTCTATTCAGTCTGATCGTGTGATATTGTGGTGACCGCCTGGTGATGTGAAGCGTATGGGCACTGGCACCAAAGGAGAATAAATGAATTTAACTAACTTTCTGATGAATATATCCAATCTTGGTATCAGGTGTAAGTTTCGAAACAGGATCAGATACTGTGTTCGAAAGGTCAAAATATAGGCCGAAATATATTGGGAGAGAACACGAATCTGAGCACGTAAAGCGCTTTCGACTTATGTGATAAGTATCCACCAAGTATTAACAGACTTCCAACTCGTTGTCCGCGCGAGATTCCCTTCAGCGCCACCATGGCGCGTGACTTTTTGGGGTACGGCCACGTTCTTCTACTCGGTATTCTACAGTAGTTTAACGAAGCAAGCATTAACAGGAGCCTCTACGGGTGTGATTGCTCACTACGACAGTCGCAGGTGGTTTCTGCAGAGGAGCATGGGCACAGGTGAAAGGTCACGATCGTTGACCGAACCCACCTAAGTGTTCATTGTTACACAGTCTCCCCAACAGTAGGTCATACAGCACGTCGTCCTGTTCCGACCAATGTTCCTATGCTGATCAGGAGGACAACGTTGATAGGAAAGCATAATTGCACCGCGTATCAACAATGAACAGATATGAAAACGTCAAATTTGATGACGGCCTGACGATTCGTTCCGCCGCTCTATCAGCGACTCTTGATCGGTGACGCGCTGCGAGCTACCTCCTCCGTCTTCTGTCTGCTCTCTTCGCTTTTCTGGAGCGACCGTTGTTGGCGCATCAGAACAAGCAGCAGCAGCAGCAGCAGCAGCAACACTTGCCGCTGCAGCGACGGCAACAGCCGCAGCGAATTACGGGACAGTCTACAAAAAAAGATCGGTGCAGCGTTCGAATAACTAACGTATAACACCGACATGGAGTGCGCGTGCATCCAAAACCACCCCGATATACGCCAATAAATGCGGTCGTCAGCTATCACATCTTGTCCGTGCCCGTCGCCTGTCAATCGCTGCAGACGGCGGTGCTTTTCTATCTATAAATAGACAGACCGTCGGTTGGGTCTACTATTAAACTCGCCACTGTCGTCTGTGTCCGCTTCTGTTACTTGTTAAAAAGAAGAGAACTCACGTTTGGTTGTCATTATTGCCGGCCTTGTCTGTCGATGGCCCGCTAGTTTCCTCCGGCCGAACGGGGCGGCGGGAGAGGTCCGCCGCAGCGCCTGCTTCAGCCCGCCAGTCAGCGTCCAGATGCAGCGGCAGCAAAGGGCGGATGGGAGAGTACAAAAGTTTGTTGCTCTCTGCGCGGGCCTGTCGGAAAGTGGTTCTCTTAGTTAACCGCTCCGCGCATCAAGAAAGTGGTAAAACGAAAGAGAGGACGCTGTCGCCACTCGACAGAACTCTGTACGGCCAGCCGTACCGACCGGTTGTTGCAGTAGTTGCTGATCGTTCGGCGGCGCTGGAAGCCACGGCGACGCCCAACAAGTGGACGAACAAAAGGAAAGGGAGAGCTAGCGCTAGCGGCGGCCCGAAAAAGCCTCTTAGAAATTTTTAGTTGGTGGTAGTAGTTCGGCTGGCAGCATTAGTCGTGTGCGGATTAGACGAAATACAAAGAAGTGATCGTCATCGGAAGACAGAGGCAGGAATAAACGAATTTTTCATTGATGTTTGTGTAATAAACGCTTGTCCGCGTTAGTTGCTGCTGGTACGTTTCGTAGTAACATGAAGACTGTCATTGTAGTTTCTCTGAGGGCGGAAAGTGCTCAAGTGTTGGGCGTAGAAGACGTTGCTTGAATAGCTTCACTGGAAAATTTTTAATTCCATACCGAAGCATCAACTTTACTTTGACTTTTGGTTAGCCAGATATATCGAATCAAGGACATACTGACAAATCTTTCCCGTGTTACTTGTTGAGACAACAAAAGAGCGTGAACTAGAAGGTTAACAAAGGTGGCGAAGGAAACGTGGGTTTGGCGTGTGCCGACATCGTGTGTCAAGTTAGTCACTTTCTGAACATTTTGCAGTGACACAACCCACGTGTGGCAGTCTACGAAAACAAGCCACCTCGTAGAATGTATCGACATTAGTGAGCTGATTCGTCGATAAGGATTATCGTTCATACATTGACCGAGTTACCAGGGGAGGTGCGCGAAGGAGCCAAATCGACGTCGACAGGCGAAAAAGTTCAAGGGAAAAGCGAAAGTTGTTCGAAGAGGCTGTCGGACCAATAAGAGGCAAAATGGTCGGAGAAGGACCCGGTCTGTGTGTTTTAAAATGTGCCCTCTATCTCCTCAACACAGTTCTCACGGTACGCATATATTATCATTATACCACACACGTTACAAAACTGACAAGAAGTTGATCCGATGCTTTAACGCTCGATGATCGAAGCGATTAGATATAAATAAGATAATAACTGACGCAGTCTCATCAGACACACCTACTGATTAACGTAATTCGTGCTATAACTTTTTTATCGCTGACACACAGTGTGCAAACGGGAAACAACTGAACGACGAGTGTTTTGATCCGAGCCTTTCGGTGGCCCAAATAATCAAGGCATATACCTGGCCTTAGCTCCTTTTTTCTATTTAATTGGTACTAAATCGTCTGCACTGTAAGCAATGAAGATACCCTAACGTAGATTTACATTCGATCATTATTGATTACATCACACAACAGCCATAACAGTATTATGATGGTAATCGATAGCTTTAAACGGTGAAGAAACCCAAATTTCCTCAAATCCGATAAGTGTATCCGATACACTAACTAAATACCGATGATCACGAGAAAATGAATGAAGATATACTCAGCCGCCGCAGATTGGTCTTTCCGTTGATATTAAAAATGCTGACACAGCATATCTCTCAACGTTCCTTGTACAAGTGTACAACACGGCGCATTAGATGTACGTGGCCTACATTGCAGGAGCGCCCCATGTCGATATTGGTTTAGATTTTCGATACTTACCTAAGCATACGCTAATTGGGTTAAACGAGGGGACAATGTTTTTAGGTCTCTGTTACATGCTTCTACCTATAAAATCTGCTAGAAAACTACATATGTAATATGTATAGATTCTGTTGTATACAAGAAAGCACGTAGATGTGCTTTAGCACTGTATATATACCGCTTGTCCTTTACTCTTCGTTGAAGTTAAAAACGTTCTTCTAAAGTTAAAGGGCCATCCGTGACGGCTCTCTTGAGTTCACCTGTTCCTTTGTTTTTTTTTTCCGCTTCTCTTTGTTCTTTTCCGTTTCGAGCTTCGAAGCTAAGTAAAGATAAGCTACTTTAATCATTTGCACGTTACAATTTTCACACGCTACTGAGATGGCAAATGCCTTAATACTGATGATGCATCGTTAGCATTCGCTATTGCTTACCTGGTCTCAGCAGCAGCTGTGGAAAAGCTCGGAACTTCAGAATCAAATGCAGCCTGCCAATTCAGGATCGTTGGCAGCACTGGGAGTCAGTATTAGCCGCGGCGTCCTGGTTTGCTCACCACTTCCTGCGGCCCGCCTCTTATATTCTCGTACACGCCCATTCATTCTAAACGTGTTCAGCGATCTTCATTCTGCAATGCCTTTTCTCTCACTACAGCCACTGCTACCACTATCACTAATATAGAGATGATTTTCTTCAAGCTTGCTTGTTTCCTCTTTGCTATCACCGGCGTTTCGTTGCTGTAGCTAGCGAATTGCTATCTTTTATTTTACGGTCGGTACCCTCCGTTCATTTGTCTCGTGGTTCTATAAATATAAACTAAATTGATTCGAAGAGATGACGCAGTGAACTAGACTAGCTCCTAACGGCACTGATTGCGCCTTTTTCTCTATATGATTCTCTTATTTCACTTGAATGAGGGAACAGGCTTATTTCGAAACAGCCATTTATGCTAACAAAGCTCGAATAGGCCCTGTAAGACCTTTTCGGTTTATTGCGACAGTTAACCAGTACTAAGTGGGCCTGCTTATGTGGCTGGTTGTCATAAGCCGGCGAGATTCGCAGCAGTAATCAGCAACGCTGGTTTTTCCTTTGTTTGCGTCGTCTCTCGCGTAGAGCTTCCAGCCAGCCTATGGATGCGCTGCCACATTTGGTACCACTGTTTCTAGTGCTAAGAACATTTATCATCGCCTTGACCGAAATTGTTCGATTTAAATAGATAACATGGGCGTCTCTTTCTTGCTCTCCCTCGCTCTATGGTGAATGAATGAAAATAGATAGTCGTAACTGGTGTTACTTTTTCGTCTATATTTAGCGGAGCGGAAAAAGATTTCAATGTGCATTTCAATATATTGAGATGTTTTATTTAACTAAACGTGTCCGTTCTAATTAGTGGTTTTCCCGCCTAATAGTGGTCTCTGCGATCGTACAAGTTTCCCCTAAACAATACACTGTTTTTCTATCGTGCGCACAATTAATGGGACAGTATGAGACAGATCTGGCACTTCAAAAACACTTTTTAAAGACTCTCTCTAACACAGAATAGATCGACCGATTTACATTGATGCCTAGTGTGTTGCTTTTACGTAGACCGTAAAAGCTGGAGAAAGAAGCTGAACCACTTTTGCCCTTATCACGTATATCGATATCTCGTTTACAAGAATATGCAATATTGACGATGAACCAGTATTACTAAACTAAGTATTTTTTTTTAAACTTTTTCATCCGCTAAAAGGCGCACTGTTAGCACCAGCTGGTGTTGTTACATTAATTTTTGCTGCTTCTGTTTGTCTTTACCAAGCTCCTGACACATAAATGCGCATATCTGTGTGTCTTCGTCATTTCGCGTTTGGCTGGCGTAGCGAAATCACGATTCAGCCGATGCCTGCTGACGCATGGTAGCGGAAAGTTCTCGAACAGGAGTCTCTATTCTATTTTACTGCATGCCACGGATCTGCTCTGCTGATATTTCTTGTTGCTGGCTGAATAGTAGCAGCAGTAGCGAAGATACGATCCGGGATAGCTACTTGTCAGGAGATGGAGGACGCTAGCACTGCTTCCGCCCCGATCGTCTTCGGTGGACGGCTTGATGGCCCAACGAACCCTAAAAGGCCCTGTCCTTGTCTCTAGTTGGCGGATGTCCATGTCAATTTCTGTTGTCCTTTGGTCTCGAGCTGGCGTTATTTGACTGTCGCCAACGGCTTCGTGGCAGTATTTTTGGTTTGAGTAGGAAATAAATATGGCGTTCTTTTCCACTACCTACGAAGATACATGTAACAAAATTGCCTAACCCTTGCCAACGTCAAATTTCGTTAGCTGCGAGTATTAAGAGACGTCTTGCAACCAGCATATACAATATATACGTATGTGACATGGAATCCAAACTTTTGTGTGGCATGAGCTTCGTATGGAAGATTTAAACAGTTCTATATTATACTAATTGCGTCTATGTAAAATAAGTATCATATTTACCGTTTATCGGTTATATTCAGTATTATATCGTTTTCGATCGATGTCCCAATTTTTTTGTCTATGTTTTGGCTATGTCCTTAACGGTTTTTAGACGGTCCAGGTATACTGGTATTAGTCTCAGCCTTTATTTAAGCGAACAACCTATGATCTTTTTTTTAATATAAAGCAATAATCAGTACTAGTAAATAGATATTTTATAGGATAGACTATCTGACCATTTCATAGTAGAAAACGTTATTACCTATTTGACAACGGATCTTTGAATCTAAAAAAAAAAAAAGAGAGATCAATTTTACTAATTTGTTAGACATTTATATTCCTTTTGACATATTTGCATAGTAATCGCATAAAGTATATATAATATATATATATATACATATACAAATAGTGTATGAATATAAATTTGGCGGGCACCAGTAATAAACATATAGCTAGATTCTTCTATGTCCGATATGTTTTTTCGTCAAAAGAACGCTCACACAAATGCATCTTAAGAAAGGAGATAAAGTAGGTGGTAAAAAGATTCGTTCAAAATAAGACCAATAAAGGTGCGAAAGCCATGTGTTCAACGTATGTTATTGCGTAAGTTGTAAGTTGCTTGATTCGAATTTAAGCTTGCATGAATACTCTATCATCTTGACCTAGATTGACATTGTTAGCCGTTACTATTTGTCACGTTTTTCTCATCTGAAGCAGTATCAACAGCTGAATTTACGAACGCAAACGTCTTCGGCCGGACGTTATCCAACTGTATGGCACGTCATAAAACTGTAAAGCACATGCCTAACAACAAGCGTTTTACTACTCGATTATCTTACTACCATAATGACAGACTTGAATTGATTTTATCGTACATAATTTTTTGCCGAAGCTTGTTTTTGCTTCATAGCGATAGCAAGGGAAAGAGCTGACTATCCATATCTCCACCAGTTTCTAGACTGACGACATGGTCTTTCGCCGATTTTTCGTATCGTGTAATGATCGTGTAACATCAAGACAACGAAACCTTGCCTATACGGTTAGCCACTGCAACAAAACGTCGCAACACAATGCGTACGCACCAATGGGCGATGATAATCTTTATAGCCTCCGTTGCCGATATTTGGAATGGCGTATACCCATATGACGACTGGCGGGCGATACTATATGGCAGCGGCGACGGCAAGCAGACCGGCGGTTCTGTTCATCAGACGGTTTTCCTGCTCTGACTCCGAGCTGGTGTAAAGTAAACGAATACGAAAACGTCCAGTTGCTGCCAGTCGTTTTACTGATCAAAGACCTCGGGGCAACAGATTTGCCATGATGAAGGATCCGACCCGCTGTCGATGCTCACGAAATCCGAGATGATACAGACGATACACCGATTCGGTGACAACGAATAAGCCAACATATAATAGAAGGACAACAAATGCCACGGAGTAAAAGTACATGGATCGAAATTTTGCTTAGCTGAACTAGCACAATGCCTTAGTTACAAGTAAAACAGTGTATTTTTTCCTTTTCAAATTAAACAACAGAACATTTTGGCGTACACCTTATCTATTATGGTCTCTCACTTAAGTGGATACTTAGCATTAAGCTCTCTTAGCTTGGATTTAGTTATATTCGCCTGCTGGTTTAGTAGTTTTTTCATTGGTTAGCAACTCGGCTTCACCTCGTCCTTGAAGTTCAAGTGCACGATTTGGCGTGAAGAATCGACACCGCTATGTTAACTAACTAAATTTTATGAGTACGTATTGCATTTTTGTTCTCAAGCCTAAATTTGACTGAATGTAAATACGATCGTCTATGGTCTCGCTTTTTTTGACGGCCATTCTACACCAGCTGTGTGACGTCAGCGGCCCTTTTTAGTCGAAATAGACAAAGTACTAGATCAGACGCGGCCACTTA